TTTTTGTTTTGTTGTATGTTGTTATTAAAATAAAATACTAAGATACAAAAAAAAAAGAAAGTACAATAAATAACAAAATTTTGTACTAATAATGAAGTTTAAATATAAAACAGAAGATAGTAATTTACAAACAACGGTTTTTGCATTTTGTTTTCCAATATAATTGAATGAAAACAAAATGGTTTAAGTAACGAGTTACTTATAATGAATGCTCGCTTTTTGCATTCCATATTTTAATCAATCTACGATCTGCATACGATCGCTTATTTTATAAGTGTAGTTTTGTTTCCAAAAGCAGCCAAATTCTTAGCAATTAAATTTTGATACACAAGAAACCTTTTTTGACCTACGAATAATACGCTCTTTCCTCTTTAACACCTAATATTTTTATAAAAAAAACAAAAAAATATAGAATAAGATACGGTGTTCAAACTCTAAAATTTACTGAGATCAATTGTAAAAAGATGACATAAGAAAAAACGAATTCATTGTTTTCGCATCACTAAAATCTGATCGGTCAGAATGTTGCCAGTTTAATACACAAAACCAAGAGAAAGAAGTACTGTTCACTGTAAATATTAAAGAATATAACAAACGACTTGTCTTCAAGTAGAAGTGTTTAACAAGATATCTGAACTGGATTTTGAAGGGTTTCGTTGAAGTCAAAAGCTAATCAACGAGCATCCATTTCAATTGTCCTTCTGTTCTATAACTGGAGAATAATCAAAAAATATTTATTTTTCTAACTGAACGATTCAAAACAAAATAATTGAAGAGAAAAATAAAACAACAATATCGACAGAAATAAGCGAATAGAAATAGATTGAACTAAAAGATGAAGACACATGATCCATATGGTTTTGATAGTCGTCTCCATCGATACGACTGCATGAGGCAATGAAACGTTTTTTGAATCTGTTATTTAGGTATATATACACGTGAAATTGTTCGAGTAATTTGAATACTCATAGTATGAAGTCGTACTTGTTGGATAAGTAGAATCATTAGAGAGCTAAGCTTATTAATTTTTATATGAGAAATAATGCAAAGTATATGAATTATGTTATGTCAAACGAGATAATTCTTATATTTTTTCCGATGTAAAAATGAAGAAATATGAAAATATTTTAATACTTTCTTGACTACTTGATATATTAGTATATGGAAAGACAATTAAACAAATAAGAACAATATACTTAGTTTACCATTATTAAATATTTCAGATCGTTTTCCACAAATAGTATACGCAAGTGACAGCTTTCAAGTGCCTGACCCACCCAGGTCAACCAATCCAACGTTGGATCCGATCACCCGACAGAATCCGACAGGATTCCTGGTGACGGATTTGCATTGGATTCCGTATGGAAAATTTTCAGTCACTTGCTGCAAATTTGATGAGCGGCGTTTTTAGCTATTTTCTATGATGGCCTTATGGTCACCTATCGGATCCATCTAGATTCGTTTGTTGGAAATTGTGAGATCCGATGTAGGATCCGATGGGATCCGACCACAACGGAATCCGAAGTGATTCCGTCACCAGGAATCCTATAGGATTTTGTCGGATTCCGATAGAATCCGGCATAGGATCCGATCGGATCCGAATATGGGATTGGTGCACCTGGGCATTAAACGATATATTTATAGAAATCAATAAACCAATAATCATTATGAGTATTTTGTAATATCAAGTATCGCAAACAGAAAGAAAGTACTCAAGGCACATACCAATTTGAAAAAGTACTGTATTTTGTATTCTGGTTTTCAGGAACAATTTCTTCATTTATCCTCTTTCAATTGGATATATATATATATATATATATATATCGATATTTAATACTTATTTTTAGTTGTTGTTAGATACTTAGTATGTATTCTTATTTTAGTTGAATATTCAATATTTATTCATATTTTTGTTTTATATTTAGTACCGTCACTATTCATATTCTTCATTTATTCTTGGTTGTTGTTAGATATTTAGTATGTATCGATGTTACTGTTGAATATTTAATACTCATTCCTATTATTGATAAATATATGGATTTGGATATTTAGTACTTATTGAATACATAATTACAGTTAAATAGTTTATTTTATATATTACAAAACTTTTTTTTGCACAGAAAGATATTTTTCAGTAAAATCGGCAATTAGTAATGAGTTTGTCTCTTTTGTTTTAATCAATCATATGCCATGGTACTTTGAGGTTCTTTGCCATTTAGAACAAAGTATCAACAAGTGATTTTTGAATAGAACATAGTACCGTGATATACTTTGTTTCACATTTCCGCTAAAAACGCTGCAATAATCTATTTTATTTACAACTAACATGATCTAATTGATTTTTTATGAAATACAAAAATAAATATTCCTATTTTTATTTATAGCTTTAAACAAATGTCCAAATCATCCGAAAATAATCGTGCTGTATTTAACAAAGTTCAAAAAAAGTTATCTAAATTAGAAATTAAACAAAATCAAAATGACATCGAACTGATCTTAGCTCATTTTGATTTTGACGTTAATAAAACAGTTGAAGCGTTTAGAAATTTATCTGTGAATGAAATTCTTCAAGATTGCCGGCAATCATCAACAAAAAATAAACAAATACATGAGCAACGGAGAAGAACATCAGCACCAAAACCATCTTCAAATTGAATTGAACCTAGTCCAAGTAAAATTGATGTAAGTTGTAAAACAAAATAAAAAATTCGCGTGAAGAAGATAAAATATGTTCGATCTTTATAATTCCAGGTTAAAAGCAACGGCAACCGAAACAACGTAAAAACGGTATAAAACGACAAAAGCCGGTGTTCTGTTGTCACTATAATCCGGCATTCCATAAAAGGGTTTTTTTATTACATATCTAACAATACAAAAACTCGTTCAAAGTAATTTGAATATCTCTTGGACTTTTTCCAAATTAAGTTTTTTATGATTAAACATAAACACTTTTCTTTCGGTCAACCTTAGTTAAATCAAAAAGTCAACACTCGAAATCGGTATACTTGATATGTACTTAAACGAAAATAATGACGAATTATTATTAGATCAAGGTGAACTTAATGAATTTGCCAGTTTTATTATTGCTTTTCCGAACATTATGTGTGATGATGATGACGATTTAATCGTTATCGACGGTGACGATAATAATCTGATCACTATCGGTGATGATGAGGATGTAATCATTATCGAAAATAATCATCGAGCAATCATCATGGCCCGATGATCATCGGCAATGATAACAATACAATCGTAATCGATGATGATGAAGATCCAATCATTATCAACCGTGACTGATGAGCACGATTTCAAATAACTTCTGCTTTTCACATTTTTTTCTTTTGTTGAACTATAATATTGAAATAAACTTATCCATATTCAGTCAATCTTATCTCATTTGATAGACGATCGTACGAGAAGAAAACCACCTATTGAACTTCTTTTTGATGGGATCATTTGTTCCCGAGGTATTCATTAAACACGATGAACAAACAATATCTTATCTGTTGTTACAAAAAGTGATTTATGTCGTGATCGAAAAGAGATAGAAGACCGAGCCCTATTCTAGTTCCCGTAGAGAAGAGTTTAGCAAGAATAAATTGTTTGCTTTCTCGCTTGCTAGTGTGTCCGCACTTTACGGATTAGGCTAAAAACTTGGTGAAGATAAAAAAGGATTTTTTTCTATGAGAGTTGACCGAAGGGTAATCAGAGTCGAAGAATTCAAATCTGACTTCTATTTTTTATAGTCATATAAACCAATAGCTTGATAATTGTTTAATAGTGCGATTTCTACGAGAAAGAGCTGAGCTAGTCTTTAGATGAGCTTCACTTGTTAACCAAAATTGAATGTTTCGTATTCGATGATTGTTATAACCGGTAACAGAAGTTAATCTTTAGATGAAAATACCAATTTGATAAAGAATATTGTATCATAATAAAGAACATATAAAAAATGAAACAAATAAAGATTATTTCTCTACATCTTACTCATTGATTTGAGACTATTGGTTAATGCATACTTAATATCACTATATAATGTAATAGAACATATTTCATAGTCTTCTATTCGTATGAAAACGAAAAAAAAGAATATTCGCCATAGAATGATATTCTCTTTCTCGTAGAGAAGAGTCCAGTAAACATAAATTGTCTGATTGATTGTGTGTCCGCAGGGTCAAAAAAACATCGAAAATTAATTTTTCAGATACTTCCAGAAAACTTTGACTGGGAGGTAATCGAGGACGGGGAACTTGAACCTGAGGTTAGTTTATTAAAATTAACTAGTTAATAATTAGTATTATTATATGTTCGAGTAAAGTTTCACCAAAGGGTAATCGAGTGTGGAGAATCCGAATCTGAGGTTATTTTTAGTTAACGATCAATTAATAATTAATATTATTAATTTTTGAAATATTTTCGAAAAAGTTGGACCAAAGGGTAATCGAGTATGGAGAACTCGAATCTGAGATTGATTTATTAAAATTAATTAGTTAATAATCAGTTAATAACTGATAATATTAATTTTTGAAAAAAGTGTGACCGAAGGGTAATTGAGTGACAAAAATTCGAATGTGAGGTTAATTTTAGTTAAAAATCAATTAATAATTAATTAATATTATTAATCTTAGAGATAGTTCCAGGAAAGTTTTAGGAGAGGGTAATTCGAGAATCGATTTTTGAGAAAAGACATTTTTGGGGCATTTCGATGCGGAGACTTCGAATCTGATGTTAGTTTTATAAAATAATTTTATGGATCACTTTTTCAGGGAGAGAACCAATTTTTATAAAAAAAAAATTTCATAAGGGGTGATCGAAGAATAAGTGGGGTGGAAGAACACAAATCTGGTGTTAATTTTTTCAAGCTGTATAAGCAAAAAGTTTAGTATTGTAGAATACGATTTCTACGAGAGAGAGCTGAGCGAGCTCGCAGCGAGCGTTACTTGTCTATTATTGTAGAGCTTTTCTATGACACTTCAAAGATATCATGTTTTGTTTTTAAAACAATATTCTAAAATACTATCTAATAATATTAGTTTCGATATTTTATTAAATTCTGAGGAAATGAATAAATATTGTAGAAGAAAAAAATATAAAGAAGTAGTTAGTCTGACATACTATAAGACAGAGAAGATCAGCAATATAAAATGATGACTAGAAATTTGCATATTATTAAAAATGTGTCATGTTAATAGTAGTATCGAGTGAACAGTACTCGCATTGATGATAAAAAGAAACAGAAGAAATAAAGGAGGAGCGTAGACATTCAATGCAACATAAATGACTACATGAATTACACTTGAAGAATTGTCTACTATTAAAATATATCATATTATTGCACTTATAACAGACGTGATAGCTAACATAATAAGCATTTCGTTGATTTTGAATTAAATGTGAATTATATGAACTAAGTATTTATATTGCAATGAGGTATACTTCCATAAGAAGTGGATATAAGAAAATTATTTTGTTGTAGATTATGATGAGTTAATGCATTTAATAATGTTGTTGGATAATTGAGAGTATGGGTGTAAATGTGGAATAAGAGTGAACAGAGCTGAATTACCTACAGTCACTCCCACGATGGTAAATAAGAGCACATTCAATTGAAAGATAGTGTTCGAGATATGATAATAAAGAATTTTGATTGCTTAATTCGTGAATTTACTGCTTTCATCACCCATCTGATTTTGGTTGCGTATCTTGACTGATTCGCCTCGGCTGTTGAAGACTGATGAAGTATCAGCATATTATAAGATCAAACTTTTTTCAATCAATTTAATGTTTGTTCTGTATTTCTATATAAGATATTATTCAATTGATGCATTATTATTAGAAGAATCGGGAAAAAAAGGACCGACACAAGCAACTATGTAACCGGTAGTGGATATAAATATCATGGGTTTTAATAATGATCGCTTCTTATGGAGATTAAACGGCTTCTTTCGAAGCTATTATTTCTAGATTTCTAATACAAAAAATTATTATTATCAAATAATAATAAATGAGGGTCCTCTAATTGAATGTGTATATATGTACCATCAGCAACAATAATAGCTTTATCAGATTTATCGGAACACATCAACTGTTGAAAAATTGACCTTTTATCTGCCATTTGAAATAAAATAGCTAATAGACTGTTAGGCAAGCCAAATCGAAGCTTGCATAATAGAATAGTAATTGTAGTACGAACAGATCGATAAATTGACTAATGAATATCGAATATTGATGTAAAAGAAACAAGTTCATTAAACTGAAGTTTAGAGACACTTGTCAAAGTTTTATATTCATCATCAGATAAAGAAGATTCCAAATTATCAAAATTCAGACGTTTTTGTGTTTCAGATATTATTTGTTATCTACTTATTAAAAGTTGATTATCAATAGACGATAGATTTAAACGTTAAATTGATGATGGTGCGATATAGTCAATTACTGTCATTGATAATTAAATATTCGAATAAATTTAATTTATAAAAATCTTTTTCTTTTAAATATATAATATATTTTATTAATAAAAATACATATGATAGTGATAAATAAATATAATTTCATTTAAATAATTATCTAAACATAAAATTTCTCTTAAAATAATATAATACATATTCAAAATAACTTTATAAAAATTTTCTTTTATATAAAAAACATTGACTAGTATGAATTAATATTTATTATTATCATTATTAACGATTATATAACATGAGAATTATAATTGATGTATAAGAAAATATTCTCTTGAAAAACTTTAAAATAATCAATCACGTGCATCTAATTAAAGATATTTGTTTATGTTTTGTTTTCTTCCATTCTGTTCTGTTCGTTTTCATTTATGCTTAATTAATTTTATATTCTTTTTCGTACCATTTTTATCATTGTTTGCGCACTGCAATTATATTACATCAATAATATACATGATTTTGCGAAGGTAAATACATTAATATAATGTGAAATACATGTATTGATGTGTAAGTTAAATCAAAACAAAAACATCCATTTCTACGCTGGTAAAATACTGAAAAAGTTAAATGATTTTACACTAACGATGAATTTTTGTTTTTTATTCAAAAGAACGAATAAATATTTTTGAGAATTCTCCTAATTATTGCACAAAATAATTGCACATAAAATGAAACAAAAACATCGTCCAATTATAAGCTTTCGAATATAACTACCTACGTTTATTTTATTTGTTTAAGATAATTGATCAATTATTCACGTTTATTTTTCCTATCTACTTTAATTATAAGCAATTAGTGTTACACACGAAGAAAAACAAAAATATTTATTGTCGCATCTGCTTAATTACTTGTTAGTTTTTTTAATGAGATAAAATATAAACAGAAAAAATGAAAACGATTATTCATATATCACTGAAGCGTATAAAAACAAGAATATAAAAGCCTATGCTCTTTACATATTCGTTTAATTATTTGTTTTCAGTCATATTGATAACACATATATTCCATTATTCCTCTCCAATTTCTAGCGTCTTCGGATATTATTTGTATCGAGTTTATACCATTCCAACAATATCATTCATTTTACGAACTGTTGTTCTATTTAGAAAAAATGTTAGGTGTTTAGCGAGTTCCAACCCGTAACTGTTTACTAGCTTTTCGTAGACATCATTAATTGACTTGATATAGTTGGAGACCTTTGTTTGCATAGTCCGAAAAAAGACAATGACAGATGTGAACTAGAACTTCGATAATAACTAGAAACTTGTAGACTTCAAATCTCTAGCTAACTTTTCTTTGACACTCAAATTCATATTTTTCTGCATTTCAAAGCAACAATCTATCAACGAGTGAAAAATTATGGCTCACGTGAAATTACCACGTTCTGATAGGTAAGTTGTGAGTGTTTCTAATGAATCTTGTTCTCTTTTATCACTTGCATAGACCTTCTAAATGTAATCTTTTCGTACTGTTGTTTGTGGCTATCGCAATCACAATTTGTATCTCACTGATTCCCGCATATTTAACAACACCGTTTTTCAAAGTTGGCAACAAAACGGCAACTACTAGTTAGTATTCGCTTATTGTTTGTATTATATACACATATTTAATCTTTATTAGAACAATCGCTAACTACATTAACCATCTCATACATGTTGCCACCTGGATTAGTAAAAAAGCGTGCCACACAGTCTGTCACCAACCGTCAAACAACAGCCGTTTGCGTAAGTTTTGTCTTTTATGTTGGTTTATCATGAGTATCATGTTTTAGCTGCAACAAGCAATCAGTGCTCCTAAAGCATCCATTGCTGTTACCACCATCAGCAGCGCAAAAGCAACCACTACTAAAGGTCGACGTCGCCGTCGCGAGTAATTTTATTTTTAGTTAATTATTGCGAGCCATATTTGCCTATAACTTTACATATAGCATTCAATGCGACAAGACGGATCGATCAGGTGTTGCGATTGTCTTTGACGTCTCATTGAATTATCCACAAGATTTACCATGCCAAACAGTGACCTGTCAAATCGATTTATTCATCGGCATCCATGAAAAACTCAATACTGTCAGCGATGTCAATATAACGGCGGACGATGGAAGCAGCTTATCTGTGGAGCTTTGTCACGTTCAATCTTATCCCAATGGCAATAATAACAATCAAAATAATCCCGGTGTTATTATCGGTGAGTACGCGTTTTCTTTTATCATTTTAAGTCACATGATTCAGACATGTTAGAGTGCCAAATCGAAAACCAAAACTTTTGGAGTTTGAGGATTTTGATGCTGCTTCTCTATTTGAATGATGACATAGATTGTACTTATAAAGTCCTCTTCTGAAATTCGCAAGCTTTTCATTCATAGTAATATAGTATGATGCTTACTAAGAATAACCAGACGGCAACATTTAAATCATGACGCAAGAACTAAAAACCACCGAATATTCAAAACTTTCAAAATTAAAACCCCAAAAGTCGAATTTTGGTATTGTTCTATCTCTTGTTAGATGAAAATTTGATTTTAAAAATTTAAATACGTTGTATTAAATGATATGTTTATTCTGATAAAAAGGGAGATCAAAAATATCCAACCGATTGTCGACAGAAATGTCAAACTCGAAAAGATCATTTGAATGAATTTTCTAAAACTAAATCCTACAAAATGTTCCCCAAAGATGAACTTCGTATGCCCAGTTTATTTGTTATCTCTGGAAATTATGAAGCTCAGGAAAATAATTCTAATGTATTTTTTTATTTGTTTTTGAATAAATATGTGCTTATTCTTTTTCAGATTCATGTTCATCCGTTTGTCAAAATGGTGGTCAATGCACAGGTCCTACAACTTGTACATGTGCTACAGGATGGAGTGGAGACACGTGTACAACTGGTAAGATAAATTCAGAGTTTAGTTGATTGTTATAATTTCCGTCGTTTCTTTCAGCTATATGCGCAAATGGCTGTCAAAACAATGGTACATGTACAGCTCCTGATAATTGTACATGCGCTACAGGATGGACTAATTCAACATGTGAAACCGGTAACGAAAACTTAGAGTTTAAGTGATTGCAATAGTTTCTGTTGTTTCTTTCAGGTATATGCACAAATACTTGCCAAAATGGTGGCAATTGCACAGCTCCTGATACTTGCACATGCGTAGCCGGTTGGAGTGGTGCTACGTGTACGATTGGTGAGTGAAATTTAAATTTGAGGTGTTTTCTATGATTTCTGCTCTTGAGGATTAGGATATAAGATATATGAAAATAAAGACTCAAAACATTGTCATTATCCATCTGGTCATTGTGATAATGAGCTTTCTGACTGATAAATTCATATAGAAATACTAATTTTATTTCACATTAATCTCACTTAATAGAACATTTAATTCTATATTCATTTCTATAAGATCAAATCTATTAAGGAAAATAATCAATGTATTTTATTTACTCATTCATTGATCACTAATCCTTAGTAAGCTACTATTATTAAAACATAGAGAAATGATGAATGATGAAGAAAATCTCATTCAGTCTACTTATTTCATATAGAACCAACAACGACAATAGCAAAAAGAACAACGACAACAAAGAGAACAACAACGACAACAACAAAAAGAACAACAATAACGACGACAACAACTAAAACAACAACAACGAAGACGACGACGACAACAACTACAACAACCACAACAACAACAAATACAGAAACAACTACAACCACAACAACAACAACCACAACGACGAAGACTACAAGCACAACAACGACGACGACGACGACAACGACAACCACAACAACGACGACAACAACGACGACAACAACAACGACAACAAAAACCACAACAACGACGACAACATCAACAACAAATCGTGAGTGGGATGTCAGATCATTTGTAATAGTTTCCTACCCAATGATTATCTTGAATAAGATATACGAGTAGACCACCTAGATAGCCAATCTGTCATAATTTTTATCTCGCTCAACTCTGTAAAACCCGTAACTTGAAATAAAAACCTTTTAGTATTGTGATCGAGCAGAGAGCATCATACATAGTCACGTAATAAATAATTTCGAGCATTACAGTTGGGATAAAAAAGTTTTTTATTTTTATAAAATAATCTGCCTATAAAAATTCTTTTTTCCCAGAGTTTTACAAGAATATATGAATAGAAATTGGGCATCATGATTTGTCCATTTAGTTGATGGGATAGTCACAAAAATCGAAAATGATTGATAAAAGTTTCAGTATTTTCTTTTGGTTTCTCTTTCCATTATATAATATATTACATGGTCAAAATAGATAGCAATATAGAAAAAAATCAAAAACTCTATTTCATGTTCATAAGTCTTTTCTAAAAGATACAACAATATATGTAGTTCTCTGTCATGATATAATATTTTAATATTTCTTCGTAATATAGTCAGAATATGTAAGTTTGATAAATAGTATTTCCATTATAATGTTTATGCCATTTAAACTAACTTCATATCATTAAGTTCATTTTATTCATGTTTTTGAGTCTTATAATTACGTTAAATGAACAAAATATATTTTGTGTTTGACAGCTTGTAGCAACACGTTTCTCGCACCAGTGAAATATACAGCTACTTACAATTTGTACGCAATGGCAATGGCTGATGTGAATGGTGATAATAAACTGGATATTGTTGTTGTAAATAACGATGGGACCAGCGTTGGTATTCTTCTGGGCGTGGGCGATGGTACATTTGGTTCTCAGACTACTTATCCAACTGGTGACTCTCCAACTCAAGTAGTAATAGCTGATGTGAATGGTGACAATCATCCGGATTTAGTTGTTCCAAATTCCTCTGTAAACAACATTAGTGTTCTTCTCAATTCAGGCAGTGGTACATTTCTTCCTCAAGTTTCTTATGCATGTGGTGGTAATGGTCCACAGTCAGTAGCGGTGATTGATGTGAATGGTGATAATAATCGAGATATTATTATCGCAGTTTCCGGTGCGAACAATGTTACTGTTCTTCTCAATTCGGGCAGTGGTACATTTCCTTCTTTGACTTCTTATACAACTGTTAACGCTCCGTATTTCGTAGCGGCAGCTGATCTGAATAATGACAATTATCCAGATATAGTTGTCGCACTTTCTGGTGCGACCAACATTGGCGTTCTTCTCAATGCAGGTAATGGCACGTTTCTTGCTATAACAACTTATACTACTAGTACCGGTCCATGGAGAATAACATTAGCTGATGTGAATATTGATACCCAACCGGATATTGTTGTTGTAAACAGAGATTCGGCCAATATTGGCGTTTTTCTCAATGCAGGCAGTGGCACATTTTCTGGTCAAACTACTTATACAACTGGTTCTAGTACCTTTCCAAACACACTAGCAGTAGCTGATATGAATAGTGATAATTTACCAGATATTGTTGTCGGACTCCAGTCTACAAGCAAAATTGGTATTCTTCTCAATGCAGGCAGTGGCACGTTTGGTGCTATAACCGTTTATACAGCTGGCGTGAGTCCAGAAGGAATGGCAGTAGCTGATGTAAATGGTGACAGTAAACCGGATGTTATTGCTTCAGGAAACAACGTGAACTCAGTTAGCGTTCTCCTACATTGCTAAAATCTACTGATAAACTGAACTTAATTTGTTATTTGACATTATACTCCTATACTAAGGATATTATTCTTATGAAACATTGAACGATACGGACGACTAATTTTATTTGATTTCATGCTTTTTAATAAAATTTTCTCAATTCTAGAAAAAGATTTTGATTAGTTTTCTATCAGATTTCAAATAAGAAAGTTTTGAATAGAAGAAAATTGATCAAATAGATTCAAGAGTTTCTTTTACAGAAAGATTCATCATTTGGTGTAGATAAAGATGTGTTTTGATTCGATATTTTTTGTAAAATAAAATTTCTCATAAATATAAATAAAAATATTTTTCATCATTGTAAAAAATACACCTATAATAAAGTGGTTTTTTTTTATAGTTGAAGTCTTTCATAATGAAGTATAAGATGAATTTCACCACAAGATGTTGATCCATTTTTAGCTGGAATATGAACCCAATTATCAATATGACCTATTCAAAATATAATATTAAATAAAAATGTATTAATTTTGACAAGAAACCTTTCTTATATAAATCATGTAAATCAATATGGATCGAACCAATTTTTTCATCTTTAACTGAATCTTTATCATAAATATCAATATAAAGAGTATCTTGTCCTGTCAAATGATTACTAAACAAATAAATAAGAATCTAAAATAATTATAATAAAAAGGTAGACTATACAAAACAAATGATTGATTCCATTTTGGATTATTTGAATTTTGTATTGTTTTTGATTTTTGTTTTTGACTTTTATCATCAAAATAAATTTTAACATATGCATCATTTTCACTAAATGTATCTTTTTGTTTTAGATTACATCCTTCAACAATAATTACTTCTAATTGACCCATTTGAATATCTAAAAAAAAAAGAAAAATATTCATACACATTTTCTCTTCAATCTGATGAAAAATATCGTGTTGTCATACGAGAAAAAACACCAACATATGGCAAGGATAGTCAATAAAAAAAAAGAAAAAAAACGTTCTGATTACTTTTTAAGATTGCATGTTATTTGAAACTAAATATTGTATTTATAATTTTCCTGTATACCTAACACAAATATTTGCTTTCTTCTTGAATAACCCGATAGCAATACCAACATTAGCAAGGCACTAAACAAATTAGTTGAAAACAGAACTTCACATTAACAAATGTACGTTAAGTTTCTAAATGAAATATAAAATTCTCGAGAAATATTATTTGATTTTTTTATAGATTTCAACACTTCTGTAATAAATGAAGAATAAATGCATAATGTAGTAAAAAGAAATTTACTCACGTGTTATATTTTTTTAAGCTAATGTTGTTTTTATTGATCTTCTATAACTATTTATCTCAATAAATATTGCTGATTATTCATCGTTACCTTATCGAGAGATTTCTTTCGTATGATATATGCAATTCAAAGCCTGACTCAATATTGTTCTACTTTAGCAATATGAATGTTAATTGATTAATGATCCACAAATGTTCATTTTATTTTATTCAAACAAAAAAAACAAGTTCAATGAAAACTGCAATAAATGCTTTTATAATCAAGAAGATAGAGTGAATGAATAAAATATATTTGGATCAGTTATTATCCATTGTGGATTATCTAACATAAATTGATTTCTTAATGAATTCGAGGACAGAGCTTTAGCTTGTGCATATGTTGTTGTTTTTGATGATAGATTATCCATTAGTTGAAGATAAAGTTTAAATAGAGAACATTTAGCTATTGAATTTGCATATTGTTGTTTATGTCTTAATTTTTTAACTTGTCCTAAAGGATATCCATCAGCTGTAATTACAGAAGAAGATGGATCTAGACCTGTCCACCAAGCTATCGACATTGCACACGGACGAATTCGTTAAGATGATGGACCATAATCAAAAGATTCTTTCACAGATATAACAGATATGTCTTTAAATATAGAAGATAAATCAGTATTTGTTTGAATAATTAAACCAGATAATTTAATTGGTGATAATATTAATTGATTTAAAAGTGTTCCTTCAATACCTTGATAAATCCATCGATTAATTTTATTTGTACATGAAAGACTTGTTGTTTGAAAACCTTTTCCTGGTTTTAAATAAAGTTCTTCTCCAGATGCATTTAATGATTTATGTTCAAATTTTGGTCGTTTTATTGGATCAGATACATATGCAGCTAATTCACAAGGTGGATATGAAACAAATAAATATAGACAAATGGATTTATTTAAATAAAATTTGTTTTTTTCTTGTTTAATTAATATTGAATTATTTTCATTGAGAATTTCTTCATACAAGAATCTCATTAATGCTCTTCGTGCAATAACTTCTGCATGACTATCATGTAATAAACAACCTTGTGTACCACGTTCATCTTTGTCACCACCTAAACATTTTGTACCAGTACCAATTGAAAGTACTTGAATATTATCATCATCTTTAACACTAACAAAACCTGCTAAATGTGTTCATTCATTTGATGATGGTTTTCCACGATATGATAAGGGATTAAATTGATTATAACAAGATAAAGCTATTCGTTCAGCTAAATCATCTTTTTCTTCTTCTTCAAATGATCGTTTCATTTTCTTTACTTTTTATTATTCATAAATTTTACAATTATTTGTTGAATATTTTAACGAATCAAAATTATCTAGGTAAATAAATACACACACACATACGTAGATATCACAAATATTTGGTTTTTATTTCTCTAATTCAGATTCAAATATAATTAGAAGAATCTTTCTAGTGTAAGATGATACATATAACAGCAAAAATTTATAGTGCCATCGTATTGCTTTACGAGCTAGGTAATTAAAAATGAGTATTTCTACAAATATATTAATATTAATTTGTTTAAACAAAAACGATTATAAATAAGTTGATGGCTGTATATAAACTATTAGATGCTTCTCCTTATTCACAGACTAATAGCGTTTTTGATGTGAAACGAACAATATTTTATTGTGGATATATACATATTCAATTTCTAGAACATTTCGTACTATAAATACTGTTAACTTTTGATTCTGACTCAATAGTTTATAGTTAAAGATCAAACATAGCGTTTACGTGTTACATCGTTCGTGTCCATAATGATTTAATTCAGTAAATCTTTTAGTATTTGTTATTGACTCAACACAAAATAAAAACTTCAAATTTGAATATTAAATAATTTAATGATTTAAATTGATAAATAGCGGCATCTCATTACGATAAAAGAATGAATTGATTATATAATTCGAATTTTATTCTTTTCTTCGTTCTTCTTGACTAACCAAGTGAGAAAAGAAAAGAAAAGAATTTAAATTAATAACATAAATGTCTTCTCATCGTTCAATAAATAAAGAAAATGAAAAACGTTTATCATCATTTGGTCAACGTCTCAATCATTAAGTGATACATTTTATTCATCTATTCTTGAAGATACGAAAAAACAAAAACCTCTTATAAAAAATGCACGAGAATTAGAACATTTACGGATATCTGAATGTGATGATTTTACATTTAATGAATGTTCAATTAGTCAAGTAACATCAAATGATAATTTTAGTTTTACTTTTCATTCATTAGAACAACCAAAATTACAAAAAACTCGAAAACATCAAGTATTTTATTAATAAATATATTTCTTTGTATTCTTAATAGAATTTATTTATTTTTTATCAAATGTTTAGTCAACACGAACAAATCATTCATCAACTCCATATTCAATTCGTGAAGAAAATTCAAGAAAAAAATGTGAAGATGAAACAGTTATGGTTGAAGAAAATCGTTCTCATCCTGTTCAACCAGTTATTATTGGTTATTATCCAGTTATTAGTTATCAACCAGTTTGTCTTCCATCAATAATTTATTTATCAAATCAACAAATTCAATCACAAATAAATGATTGTTCAACATTAACAAAAGTAACACCAATGAAAAAACTCTAAATATTATCTTATTGTATATTAAATATTTCTTTAATTTAAATAAATCTTCAATTATTTTTTAATATATTATTTCATTGAAAAACGTCTTTCTTTCAAATATTTCTGATCCTTTGAAATAACATCGAGCATATTTAATTTATGATTTACTTGTAAAAGATTTCAGATTACGTCATAGAACTAATGATGTTTATTATAATTCTCTTTCTCGTAGAGAAGAGTCCAGTAAACATAAATTGTTTGTTTGCTTGCTTGTGTGTCCGTAAGGTCAAAAAAACATCGAAGACCAATTTTTCAGAAAAGACATTTCTAGAGGTATTTCGATGCAGGGACTTCGAATCTGATGTTAGTTTTTGCAAGTTATATAAGCAAAAGGTCCCGTAGCATTGTAGAACACCGTTTCTATGAGAAAGAGCTAAGCGAGTCCTTAGACGAGCGTTACTTGTTATTTAAAACGAAAATAAAGATGATCTTAGTAACAGATTTTATGACTAACTGATTTCTATTTGTTTTTTCTTCTTTAATCGTTAAATTCATTATGTATTTTAGCTCATGATAAATCATCTCCTCCTTTCTAGATAAAAAATATGGATTTACTATTCCAACAAGTACGTGACTATAATCTAAACCAAATTCATCACCAGTTTGATTATCTGTTTCTATTTACCCATACACTAATTGCGTATAAACTCAAGATTGAGGTAACAAAAGTACTTCTTTTTTTGAAACTGTACGTGTATGTATTTGTTTGATGGTGTGGGCGTGGATGTGGGTGTCTCTTCTTCATCCACACCCTCACTCATCCAACCCGTATCCACACGCTTATTATATTAGTTCATCTACTAAATTACAAGAACGCATAAATATATTATTAAAAATTTATAAGCAAAACTCATATGAATCAAAAGTATACATACAATTATACTCAAGCTACACACATCTTCATCTTCATCCATTGTAATTGATAATGGAATACTACAAAGTTCACTATCACCAATTATTATTTTATTCTCAATAGTAATAAAATCAAAAGATATATCAAGAAATGTAAGTTTTAAACAATCAGAATGTTGTGCAAGAATATGTTGAAGAGGAAAATATAAATATTTCATCTAATTTGTTGCCAAAAAAAATTGTACTCAAGCCACTAACTTTTGAGTTGACTACTAAGCTAGAAGATTATATGGCAAAAAATAAGGTCATGATTATTGATCCACCGTTCTTGGAGTTCGACTATGATTGTATTACACAAATTTCCAGCATAAAACGATACATGATAGAGATCTTCAACCTCATTGATTTTACTTCACTACCGATTATTACAATAAATGGAACACATCACGACGAAGAATCGATTAAAAAATTTACGAAACACTTCTTTAATTATGATGTCTTCTCTATCGATGGTACAAATTTATTTGGAGGTGTCATAGTTGCTGAACATAAATCAATTCATACTCAAATAATAGTTGGATTTGATAATATACGGAATCGTGAGGGTGGGTTTGGGTGTCTCTTCTTCATCCACACCCTCACTCATCCAACCCGTACCCACACTCTTATTATATTAATTCATGTATTAAACTACACGAACGAATAAATATAATATTAAAAATTCATAAGCAAAACTCAGGTGAATCAAAAATATCTAAAAAAATTATCATCGAAGGTTGATTATCTTCTACATTAAAGAAATGATCGATTGATCGTGATTTAGATTGCTGGGATTCCAGATCAACACGGACTGTAGAAGAACAAGACGAATTTAAAAACAACCTTATCACCTATTATCATTGGGGCCAAACAAATACAAAACAAATAAAGTAAATGATTTTAAATACATTTTTTGATCGAAATTTAGTAAGGGCCTTTCATATATGGAGAGCTTCAATTAAAGGCGTCAGATAATCAAACTTCAAATTACAAGAAACAGATATTAACAATCCATGCAATGGCCTGTTATTATATAAATCAATCGAAAAAGCATTCGACAAGAAAAGTCTGTGTTTTATGTACAACCCATTTGCCGCCAATTTATTTACCAAGATTTTATGTTCTGATCTTAAAGAAAAGTATACTGTGACGATGCCACAAGGACAGCTGTTAGTGCATTTAGAACATTTGTCCCGGCTCAAAAAGCAACGGCAATGTAAACGATGTAAAAACACCGTTTTATAATCGCTTCCAGCTGCTTGAAACGCCGTTTCCGATGGTCAGAATAGTCGTCCTGGGTTAATGATATTGATCATGCTGTTTTGTACTTGTGAGATTTAGTTTCATTATCTGGTGATGCTATTAAGCAATACAAAAATAAAAAATTATTTTTTTTTGTTAATTTGTTTCATGTTTTTCTTTATGCTATGAGAATAAAAGATTAAAAATCTTCACGAATATCTAAAAAAACAAAATTGAGACAGTTTGCATGAATAGATTCTTTCTATCTGTCTTTTCTTTAAAATTTAATTAGATACAAATAGTTTTTCATTTATACATTTAAATAATTAACATGATTGAAAATGCTATATATATATGAGAGTGTGAGTGTGGATGTGGCATAAAAATAACACCCACACTCACTCTCACCCACATTCATACACATCCTTATCTTTGAGTTGTGTATGTTATACTCAAACTTTAAAAGAATACTTTTGCTATTTTTCTTCGACAAAATATTTGAAGAATGAAAAGACGTGTCATCAACTTAGTTTTTCTACGTAGTTTAATCATGAGATTCGATTTTCTATCGACAAAACAAGTCAACTTTTTGTTCCCATCATTGTTTTATTCATATCCGATTCTCGTTTTGCGAAACAATGTAGTTTATATTATTATGATTGTAATAGAGCCTATATGATTTTACAAGCTCTCTGTTTCTTGTTTTGTATACATGCAATAAATAAATGAAAGAAAAACAAGGGAAACATTTACTCGAGGAATTATTTTTCATTGAGAAAGCAAGTACATGAGAATGTGTTGTTATAATAAATCAATATTTAACTAACTTTGAACTCCTAAAAGTACTGTTTGTTTTAATTTATCTAATAAATAAGATGTTAACACTATGCTACATAAATATAAAACTCAATTCTTTGGATCGTTTTCAGATTGATGAAGAAACAAATGATTATCTATTCAATTACAAATTATAATCAATCAAAAATAGAAGAATAATAAAAAGAAAGATTTTCGAAATGTTTTTATACTTTGGGCTATAGAAACTTAAGGTCAAGTGTGTTTGATTTTGAAGAAGTGTTCAGCTTTTTTGTCTAATCAAACAACTCATCTAATTATTCTTCGTTTAGATATTAAAGATTAACTTTATTCTATATGAATGATGTGACAGTTCACTGATATATTGAATAGTCTATGAGATACTTATGAAGTATTCAATTTTGAATATATAAATAAATTTCACCTGCAGCTAGATGTTTGATTATATTTTCTTTTCAATTTCAATTTTGTTAGATTAATAGTTCTTTGTGTTTTTCATCTTTTATATAACTCAAAAGCGCTATCGATAAATATATTTGTCCACAGATAACATGTAAACACGTAGGAAAATCATCTCGTCAGAAAGATAATTTTTTTTGAAAATAAGAAAAGTCCTGAGTACTTTTGTTGATTAAATAGATGAAATGAATTCTGAGGAAATGACGTCAAGACTCTATTCTCGTTAGATCAATAAAATGAGTTCTGAGAAAAAGATATCGGGACTACTTCTCCGTTAGATTGATGAAATAGATCCTAGAAAAAATCCATGCATTACTCGGTGAAATGAGAGAAGAAAAAAAGAATTTATTTCTCAATAAATACTTTGTCTTCTATTATGAATTGAATTCATTTGATCAACTTAGAATCTGATGGTTGATGACTTCAACAAGACTTTATTTATGGCTTTCATTCATGATGATCACACAAACAGCCGGAGAAGATATACGATCAGAGCAAATGTTTTTAATACCTAATTCTAAATTTCAATGTGTCAATACAACTTGTTTACCATTCATTAGCGTTATTACAACAGATATTAAGAATTGTCAATTTGCTTGTTTAGGTCAAAGTCAATGCACAACAGCAACTTTTCATCGATCAACTTCAAATTGTGAATTATTTGATAATATATTGAATCAAAATGGAAATATGCTGGCTGATGTGGATGCTACAAGTATGAATGTTATCAGTGAAACACGATTTCCACCAGGTCAGTATAAATACAACAGATTTAGAAAAAAATAATCACAGATTGATTTGACTCAAAATGACAGAAAAAAACACATTCAATCAAATTCTTTTCGGAAGCAATTCTTTTTGAACTAAACGGTCTCTTTTGAGATTTATGTTTTGAATTCGACTTTGAAAATATCTGAGTAAAATGAAATCTCTTTGACACTTGAAACTAAACAATCAATACCATTGAACATTAAAAGAATAACGAAGAAAAAATGAAATATTTATCCCATGAAACATCTATGGATATAACGCTTTCATATCCATAAATTTATACAAAATATCAATACCTGTTAAACAAGTTTTTTATTAGAATTCCATAGAAATATAACGCATTGAACGGAACCTTAAGAGATAAATAGTTAGTTACGGGTATCTTCATTAAGGTGGTGATCACAAGTAGTTTGAGGTTAGTTTTGCACCTTAAATTTTCTTCTGTCTCAGCAACAATCTCTTAACAGTATAATTAGATACACTACAATAATGAAAAATTCTGAGAAGAAAATCATAAATTAGATCAATTCAATTTTGTGATCTTTCCTCATTCCGTTAGAATTAGTTTCTGATCAGAATATAATCTTGAATAAAATTGAAAGTTTCTAAGAAAAGAATCAATTTTCAAATCTTACATGACTCAATCTGCGTAATTCGAAAAGTTTGATTAGTAAGCTTATTAGGAAATGAAAATTGAGTCGTCAAAATTATTATAATAGAAATATAATTAAAGTAAATATCGCAGAATTAAACTCATAACGAAAATCATTCAAACATTTCCTGTTTAACTATAATCGACTCATATTTAACGTCGACGTATTGTTACAGAAAAAACAAATCTTATCCAGTCATTTAGCCTGACTGTAAAATCATTTTTTCAATATAGAACTGACTACGACAACATCAACAACATCAACAGCATCAACATCCACAACAACATCCACTACATCAACAACAACAACAATAACAACCACAACAACAACAACTTCAACAACAACTTCAACATCAACATCCACAACAACAACAGCAATACAGCGTCAGTACTATGTTAAATGATTTGTAGTAGCTCAAGCGATGGTTACTAGAAATGAGGATATCTAAAAGATTTGATTTTAGATATTGAATGACCGTCGTCTAGATAGACAAGAGCAGGGAACATTTCCTATCATAAGTCGAAATAGAGACAATTTTTGATGACTAGATTTGATCTAAATTCATTTAAGTATTGAATATTCTCTTTCTATTCAACAGTATCAGACGAAAACATTGTTAATAAATAGATGTTCATGCAATAGAACTCATAGATCATTTTAATAATCAGTCATACCAACGCACTCTCATGATTTAAATCGCATTTGTATAGAGTTGAGTAACTCCAAAAAATATGGTAGTAATATAAAATGCAAACGTCAAACTCAAGAAAAACGTCTTTCATCATGATATATTAACCCTTAGTGTACTGACTTTCTCATGAGAAAGATGCGAGAATTATATTCTCTTACTCGCAGTGACATCCTCATTGACACATGCATACATCACTCATCTAACATGGTCAAAGTACGTCTTATTTTCACTATGTTGAATAATGTAGAATGACTCTCACTCAAATTTGGAATTCCGACCATTATTTATCATAACTAAATTGTAAAACAGTACATAAGTTTCATTAGTTCGCGACACCAGTAGACCTCGAAAAATACTAATAACGTCGTTTATAATAATTTTTTTAAACAGTTTAACTTGACATTTCATAATGAATCTTATCTTAATCATGAAAACGAAGAGAAGCTTATTGAACGCTCGAAATCATTTAATTTGTCATTAATAGAGAGACAACTTACGTACATGAGCGATTCGAAATCATTTTAAGAACAGCATTTTAAACTCACTATTCTGTCTTATTTAGAATGGACAATGACAGGAAATATGAATGTCGCACGACAATATCACGCAGCAACCGCAGCAGCAAATGGATCAGTATTAGTCGCTGGTGGATTTAGCGGTAGTAATTCTTTCAATAGTGCTGAGTTGTATAATCCATCAACAAACACTTGGACAGCCACAGACAACATGGGTACCGCACGATATCTTCACACAGCATCCACATTAACAAATGGATCCGTATTAGTTTCTGGTGGATATAAGACTGGTGTTGGTATTCTCGATAGTGCTGAATTGTACAAACCATCAACAGGCACTTGGTCAACCACCCCCAGCATGAGTGTCGCACGATATCAGCACACAGCAACCACATTAGCGAATGGAAAAGTATTAGTTGCTGGTGGATTAAGCGGTAGTTCTCTCAGTAGTGCTGAGTTGTACAATCCATCAGCAAACACTTGGACACCCACAACTACTATGAGTGTCGCACGATATATGCACACAGCATCTACATTAGCAATTGGATCAGTATTAGTTGCTGGTGGATACAGTGGCAGTAGTTATGTTAATAGTGCTGAACTGTACAATCCATCAACAAGCACCTGGACACTCACAGGTACCATGAGTACCGCACGAGGTTATCACACAGCATCCATATTAGCAAATGGATTAGTATTAGTTACTGGTGGATGCGGTGGTGCTGCTTGCAATAGTGCTGAATTATACAATCCATCAACAGGTACTTGGACAACCACTGGTACCATGAGTGTCGCACGATCTTCTCACACAGCATCCACATTAACAAGTTCATTCGTATTAATTACTGGTGGATGCGGCGGCGCTGCTTGCAATAGTGCTGAATTATATAATCCATCAACAGGTACTTGGACAATCACAGGTAGCATAAATGTCGCTCGATATATGCATACAGCATCTATATTAGCAAATGGATCAGTATTAGTTGTTGGTGGATATGGCAGCAGTGCTATTCTCAATAGTGCTGAACTTTATTAATTGATATAGACAGAATGACATTTTCTTTTGTAAACTCAATCATAACGCTTTTTTTACATGTAATCAAACCATTTAATCATTCATATTTCTTAATACATTATCATCTACCAAATAATATATACATATCATTATTTTGTCAGAAAAAACAATATTTCTAAAGTACTCATAAATAATGGATTTTGAATATAGATCCAAAACTAAACCGTGAAGTCGCTGAAAAAAACGAGTATTTACGCCTTTACACAATTGAAAAAGATAAATATTCAAAAGTATATAAGTTTAAATCATCATACTACTCATTTAATACTGTTAACAATGCAAGTTTCTGTTACCCATTAAAACGCTCGAATACTAATGATTGGAATAAGCTTAGATGCGTCTTCTTAATTAGATCTCATTTATATCGCAAATGTAAAATTTCATGTATAAAAGCATTCATAATGCTTCCTATTTCATCGTTTATACAGTAAAATTTTTATCATTAGTTACGGAAAAAATTTATGAAAAGAAAATATTGATGATTCTTTCAATTTCATTGTTCATGCAGTAAAATTTTTATTATCAATTACGGAAAAAAACTATGAAAAGAAAATATTTATGATTCTTGCTATTTCATTGTTTACACAGTAAAATTTTTATCATCAGTTACAGAAAAAATTTATGAAAAGAAAACATTCAAAACTTCAGTTACAGAGCGTTTACATGCGTTTTTGCAAAACCTTGTCTGCTTAGGCACACCCACACCCTCAAAATGGTTGAGAACGCTGTTATTAGTCGTAAAATAACTATAATCAGTAAAATCATGTTGTTATAATTCCTGCATTTATCTAGTGAATTATATGAGGCTATTGTAAGAATAAATCCGATTAACTGATTGAGACAAAAATTAAATTGTACATAATAATCTTAGTTTGTAATGTATTAATCAGTATGCTGAACCAAACAAAATATAGCAACGGCTTGTTCATCACCATTCAGAATACGGTCTAGAAATATGATCGCTAGTTACTTTATTCTGTATGACTGAACGCCATTACATATACAGAAAAAAACTGTTTCTTTTTTCTTCTGTTTATTTGATGATCACGATTTTGATTCCATAAATAATTAAAGAAAGTAAGGTAATATTTTCTTTTCTTTTTGTCAAATCTTTTCTCCTTTTTCTATTCTACTCGTTTTGTGTATGTATACTATTCGTGATTGCAGTTATTTTTTCACACAAACCTGACTAACAATCTACAACACTTTTGTTTGTAGTGATTAAATATTGAACGAGAGAGTTCGAGAAAATGAAAGGAAAGAGAAACAACAATGTTTACTAACTAAAATGTTTCTAACAAAAAAGTTTAAAACATCAAGTCATAAAAGATGTTTTGGATATTTTTTGTCTTACTGGTAGTTTCTGCTGGCGATTGTATCCTTATCGGTAAAATAGATAATAATATATTGATTGGGAATATATCTAAATCATTATGGAATATAACTCAAAACCAATGTATATGTGAAATGATAAATTCAAATGGAACAATATCGATATTAAATTATTTTTCAACAAATCAAACTTGTCAATTATTTTATACAAATTTTACTTCGATCTTCATTGAATTTAGTCTCAATTCTTCTTTGATATTTATGAATCAATCAGCAATATTCATAGCACAGAGTAAATATATTATAAATACTGCAAAAATATCATAGTTTCGCTATCCAGTAAACTAGACATATCTGAAAAAATTTCGTAAGATTTTTGTTTCCGGTAAAAATCTCACCTTTTCTAGTTTAGCACGTTAGAGGTTAGAGAAGAATGTTAATATTATATAGATTTGCCATTCAAATTCATCGTGTCAACTTCATCTTTAGATTGATACTCACATTCACCAGTCTAGACGAGTCTTTAATCGATGGGAAGATTCATTTATTTGTTGTAAATATTTGAATTAATGGCTAAGTCAGCTACTAATTATCATTTAGAGTTGATGATATATCACATTCATTAAACAACGCCACTGAAGCTTTGTAATAAATTTAGACAATTTTGACCCCTTACAGCCGAAAGATAACATTTTCCTTTTTTTATTTTATATGCCAACAAAATTCTGTTATTAGTGATAATTCGTACTAATGATAAAAGAAGAAAAATTGAAGGATTACATGTTAACGTATTTAATTTCCAAAAACCATCGAGAAACGATACTTTTTGCTAATGCTGACCTTCCATGTTAATTAGTATATAGTAGGCTATTTTCCAAAAGTCATACGTTTTCATATTGACTAAGAAGTAGGTAATTAATGAGATACGTACCTTTAATTATCGTAATATAAGAATGATACTCGATAATAGTTCTGAAAGAGTTAAATAAAAATAAAAGATTTCAAGAAAAAAAATCAATATGCAAATATTAGATGACTCAATCTGTGTGACTCAAAAAGTTTCTTTTTTCATTAAACTCATAAGAAATACAAATTGAGTTGTCAAAATTATCATAAGAGAAATATACTTAAAGTAAATATCATAGAATTACAATTATAATAAAAATCATTTTAAAATTTCCTATTTTATTATAATCAACTCATATTTAACGTCGATACATTGTTACAGAAGAAGCAACACGTCTTATTCAATCGTTTAGTCTCACTCTAAAATCATTTTTTAATATAGAATCGACTACGACATCAATATTCACAACAACAACAATAACAACAGCATCCACAACATCCACAACATTAACAACCACAACAACAACAACCACATCATCCACATCATCCACAACAACCACAACAACAATCACAACAACCACAACAACAATCACAACAACTACAACAACCACAACATCAACAACAATCACAACAACTACAACATCAACAACAATCACAACAACCACAACATCAACAACAATCACAACAACCACAACATCAACATCCACAACAACAGCAGTACAGCGTCAGTACTATGTTAAATGATTTGTAGTAGCTCAAACGATGGTTACTAGAAATGAGGATATCTAAAAGATTTGGTTTTAGCTAATGAATGATCATCATTTAGATACACAAGATCAGGGAACATTTCCTATCATAAGTCTAAATAGAGACAATTTTCGATAACTAGGTTTGCTCTACACTTATTGAAGTATTGAGTATTCGCGGCCTGTTCAACAGTATCAGACAAAAACATTGTTAATAAAAAGATTTTCATGCAATAGAACTCATTGATCATTTTAGTAATCACTTACACCCATCCACTCTTGAGATGATTCGAATAATTCTACATGTTGCAGTATTAGTTGACATATTATCGGTATGAAACATGTCTATCAACACCTAATGTCATGATTTAAATCGCATTTGTATAAACTTGAGTAATTCAATTGATAAACAATTTATGCACATGAGAAATTCGAAGTCGTTTTAACAGCAACATTTTTTTTACTATTCTGTTTTATTTAGAATGGACAATGACAGGAAGCATGCATGTCCCACGAGCATATCACACAGCATCCACATTAGCAAATGGATCAGTATTAGTTACTGGTGGGTTCAATAACAGTGCTCTCAATAATCCCGAATTGTACAATCCATCAACAGGCACTTGGACAACCACAAACAGCATGAGTACCGCACGATATTTTCACACAGCATCCACATTAGCAAATGGATCAGTATTAATTTCTGGTGGATTTAAGACTAGTGTTCTCAGTAGTGCCGAATTGTACAAACCATCAACAGGCACTTGGTCAAACACAAGCGCCATGAGTGTTGCACGAAACACTCACACAGCATCCACATTAGCAAATGGATCCGTATTAGTTGTAGGCGGATCCAATGGTAGTTATCTCAATAGTGCTGAGTTGTACAATCCATCAACAAGCACTTGGACAATCACAGGCAGCATGAGTACCGCACGAGGTTATCACACAGCATCCATATTAGCAAATGGATTCGTATTAGTTACTGGTGGATGCGGCGGTGCTGCTTGCAATAGTGCTGAATTGTACAATCCATCAACAGGTACTTGGACAACCACAGGTAGCATGAGTGTCGCACGATCTTCTCACACAGCATCCACATTAACAAATGGATTCGTATTAGTTACTGGTGGAAACAATGGTGGTTATCTCAATAGTGCTGAATTGTATAATCCATCAACAGGCACTTGGACAACTACAGGAAACTTAAATGTCGCACGATCTATTCACGCAGCAGCCACATTAGCAAATGGAACAGTATTAGTTACTGGAGGGACCAACGGTGGTTATTTCAATAGTGCTGAACTTTATTAATCGATATAGACAGTATGATATTTTCTTTTGTGAACTCAATCATAACTTTTTTTTATATGTAATCAAACTATTTAATCATTCACATTCCTTAATGTATTATCATTCACCAAATAATATATGAGTTGCAGTAATATCTCGAAATCATATTGTATGACGATTGTTGAAAAAGAGCCATAATTGATAAAAAATAGATCATTATTTCTACAACTAAGTGGATATAAATACACATGTGAAGAATATTAATCATTTTTTGCTCCCAATCCAAGGGGAAAAGAAAGGAATCTTGCAATCATAGATTCTGTATGATTCTTTCGGATTTTTTTGACTTCTTTGGATTCCAGGAATTTCCAAGAATTCTGTCGGATTCCATAGAATTCCGAGATTCCATTCTTTTCCTCTTGATTAATTCTCACAAAATATCAACATGTATATCAAATAATCTTACCAAATATTTATTTTTATGATAAAACTGAATTATGATCAATCAAACTCAGCATTCATTTATAGGTAATCTTGAAAAAAATATTTTCTTATAAAATTTCATTAAAAATGAAATCAAATATTGATTGAAAATGGAGTTTTTGAATAGAAAATATTTTAAATTTAAATAATAATTTTACAGTACTTATAAAATCGAAGAAGAAATAATATTCTTTTATATAATGAAACTTTTTTAGAAAATTAAGAAATTGAGTGAAACATTATTAATTCAGATTTGAATGTGAGATACATAACGCTAGAAGCCTATTCTGTAGAATACATCCTAAATTATCTAATACAAATATAATTAATCTAATTGAGTATTAAGCACATTTCAAAAGTTTTACAAAGAAATAAAATAATCGTTTACTACTACTTTCGTTTTTAGAAATTGTTTCAAATGTTGTCAATGCAGAATACAATCATTTTAGAAATCAAACTATCATAAAATTTATCTGTATTCAACATATATAATAAATGCTATTAGCTAGGTTAGGAATAATTTTGAGAACAATTTCATTCATTTGGAATTACGAAATAGTTTATACTTCAGTTGATAAAAACGACTTTATTTATTCTTGTTTTAAAAATAACTACCTGAACGAAAATTAAGCATTTGTTTTTGACTGTCAAAGTTAAGTTGCAAAGTTCGTCATTTGTTTTATAAAAATTTTCATATGCCCTCAGTTTCAGCAATCGGAAACTAAAACATTGAATGATTTTTTTTCGAGTTTATGCAGCTTATGAGATGTTTAAATAGGGCACTAAATTATTAGATTTCTGATTATTTTAGTGTTCATTCTCCCAACAAATTTTCATTAGCATTTCAAGTGTGTTTTCATTAAATGTCGTTTTGCACAGTAATATTGGCAGAGTTAGTACCAAGAACTTGTTATGGTCCTTCCAACAATCATTTTAATCATTGCTGTGTTTCACGATAATCTGTTAATCTAAAAAACGATAATATATTGATAAAATACAATAAATTGAAAACAATATGAAATAGAAAAAAGAAATTCTAAGCACGACGAATATAGACATGCTGTATATCCAATAAGTTGATAATTTATTTTTATATCAGTTTGTAGATTCAAAATAAAAAAGAGATGAAACTGAAACAACTTCAGTTACAAAGAAATAGTTCGTAGATGATTATTTTTTTGAAAATAAAATAGAATAATATTATTTAATTTTCTTTTCATCGTCACACATTTTGTCTGACATCTATATCTTTCTTGTTACATTATATATCGCAAGTATTTTTATTATTTTTACTATAATCCAAGAATTGGTTAATAAATCACCAATCAACATTTTTTGTGTTTGGGAGAGAGAAAGAGAGAGAGAGAAAAAGAGAGATTCGATTTCAGTATAATACTATCTGACCTATTTCATAAAAATAAATACAGATATTTATATTCACACTCTATCCACTTACTTTATTTAAAAAAAAAATGAATCGTATTGCCTGCAATGCTATTGTTCGAGCAACTCGAATTAATCCTGCTATAAGATCCGCTGCTCCTTATCGTTGGGTTTGTTAAATATTTTCTATTTAATAAAATAAAATAATTTATTTGCTCTTTTTTTACAGAATTCCAGCAATGCTGCTAATGCCCAACAAGGACAAGGATCGCCATTTGCAGCTGGTGCCGCTGGTGGACTTGCTGTTCTTCTTGGAGGTAAGTTTTCCAAGTCACGAGGTAGTACACGTGCAAAGAGTTTTCAGTACAAAATTTTAGAGTGAATCGAAACAAACATTTTTTCTGTCTTTTTCCTTATACTATAGGTTTTGCATGGTATCATTTCAGTGGTACACGACAAGTTGTTAACACTGCACGTGATGCTCTTAACAAAGCTCAAGAACTCAAATCAAAAGTGAAAGAAACTGCTGCTGATTCAGCTGATAGTGCAGCTAATACTGTCAATTATTTACGTTCAGCTTCTGCTACTTTAATTCCTGGTTCAGCACCTTTTCTTGGCAAAGTATTTGATCAAATTGAACAAATTAGCAAAGAACATGGTGATGATGTTAAAAAAATCTTTGATGAAACATATAAAGATTTCGAAAAACTAGCTAAACAAGGTAGTTTAGATTCACAAACAGCTAGTAAAGCTGTTGATATCCTTCAAAAACGTGTTAAAGAACTTCAAGAATTAGCTGGTGAAGCTGGTAGTGATGCATACAATAAATTAATCGCTGAAAATCCTAAATTAAAAGATCAAATTTCAGAACAATATAATTCATTAAAAGACGTAATCGAAAAAGCTAAAGACAAAAAACCAGAAGCACAAAAACTTCTCAAAGAAACATCATCGGAATTACAAAAAATCTTCAAAGACAATGGTGTATCAGAGAAATCTGTTAAACAAGCCCAAGACTTATTAAAAAAGAAAGGTGAAGAAGCAAAAAAAATTGGTGAAGGTGTTGGTGGTGATGCATACAATAAATTAGTTTCTGAAAATCCTAAATTAAAAGATCAAATTTCAGAACAATATAATTCATTAAAAGACGTCATTGAAAAAGCTAAAGACAAAAAACCTGAAGCAGAAAAACTTTTCAAAGAAACATCATCTGAATTAACAAAAATCTTCAAAGACAATGGTGTATCAGAAAAATCTGTTAAACAAGCCCAAGAATTATTAAAGAAGAAGGCTGAAGAAGCAAAAAAACTTGGTGAAGATGTTGCTAAAGATGCCAAGAAAGATAATAAGAAATAAATAAGAAATCTTTTTCTCTGTAGTATTGATTGTATTCATATTTTCTTTTTATATGTTATTCTCGCATATTTTATATTCTAGCAAAATGTTTTTCTTTTACCTTATAAAGTTTCTATCATTCTTTTTATGAAATAGTGATTTGAAAAAGAAACATAAATAAAAATAGTATCATTGTATATGTAATAATTTATTAAGCAGATTAAAATGAATTCAAAACGATGACTTATTTGTATAAGAAATTTATAAATGGTTTTATTTCACCATAAAACATCTCTGTAACTTTGTACTAGATGTAATACTATTGTGACAAGATTCACAACAAAAAAAATGAAAGTTTTTCATTTCAACAAATAACATATGAAAAACGAATGAATATAAACTCAAGCAATAATTGAATTTCCACACATTTTATATCTTTCAACATTATCTAAATCTGGATTTTTATTTGCTGTTGTTGTTGATGTTGATGATGATGATGCTGTAAAAACAATTCCATCATCACTATTCGTTATTGTTGATAATGCTGTTGAACTGTTATTATTATTTATATTCTCATTTATATTAATACCAGGTGTTGATGCTTTAGAAAAATTTGATATTGGTGGACAATTTTGATTATTAATAAAACATTGATAATTATCATCTGCATCTCGAAATGATGTTTCATTTAATTCATCACCACCATCAACTGCTGGTAATGCTGGTGGTACTGATGGTCGTTTTTGATTGACTAATTCATTTAAATGTACAAGACTCATACTACGTGTATGTGCTTTATCTATTGTTTGTGTTACTATTGTTGTTGTTTCAGTATTTGATGAATCATTTGTAGTTGACATAGCATTTGCAACTTGTTCTTTAATTGATATTGTACTACCTAGACTATCTTTTCGACTATTATTAACATATTCACATGATATACCCAATAAGACTGTTCCAACAAAAGTTTTCGTAGCCAATAGACTTTATTTTGAAAAATAAAATAAAATTCATATATATTTATGAAATATTTTTCTTACCATAAAAATGCTAATACAACATTGATGATTGATAGATTGGTTTTAACATTAATTGTTTGAAAAAGAACACCAAAAACAAGACAAGCAAATGGTAATGGAATAAATCCTAATCGACGACTAAGTAAGTCTGTATAATCTGATAAAGCCTTTTGAGAATAAAAAAAATAACAATAAATATTCTGAAATTATTTAAAATTTTACATACAATATCTTGTTTTGTTTTAACCATATCATGAGCTAAACTTAATGTATATTCACGATAAACTTCCGATGATAATTCATTAAATTTTAATATAAAACCATGTTTAACCCAATCAACAAAAAATTCAACAACAAAAACCACAACTACAAAATCAATTAATGGCCAAAATTGACTCATATCCCAATTGAATTGATCAAGATTACGTACACATACAACAAATAATAAAATAACATAATGAAAACGTTCTCGACAATCACTACATGATAATTGAAATAAATTACTTCGATCAAATTTTTTAAATACACTATGTTTCAATTCAATAAACTAAATATATAAAATAAAACAAAAAATATATTATAGAGAATAATTGAAATTTACATTATTTGTTAACATTATAATTAATAACATTTTATTTTGAGAATTAAATGCAACATTAAGTGTTATAGCTTGAAGAAGAACAAGGATAGCATGAATAGCTAAAAAAAATTATTTATAAGAACTCGATTAGCTATTCTCATTAAACTTACTACAATAAACGATAGCAATAATAAGCCAAAGAAGTAATTTTCCAGCACTATGTTTACGACGTGGTTCAGTTGCTGTCCAATATACAGCATCAAGTGTATCTTGACCAAAAGATGATAATAAACGATCACATACCTCAAATTATATTAATTTATTTTTCTATTAAAATTCTATCGTATTTACTTCGAGCATATTAAAAAACATATAAAGTTTAATAGCTGCTTGTGCACGAACTGTGTGATATACAACTGAAATATCCATAAAACACATTGGTACAGCGCATCCAAGGATAACAAGTCCTTTTACCATATCAATAATTTGTGCTGGTTCAAATAAACGATTACTAATACAAAACCCGGAATTAATTTTAAAGAAAAATTTAATAATTCTATTTACTGTCTCGAAGGTCGTAATCGACATAATGTAGCAATTGCTTGAATAAGAGCGATTGTAATACGTATTGGTAAATAGGTCCATACATACAGAAATGTATCCAAACATTGACAAAAACCATATAGCATAAACTAAAACAAAAATTAGACTATTATTTATTTCGAAATAAAGAAATATATGTGATAAATTAAATTTGTATCTTTAAACGAGTGTAGCTGCAAGTAATTGTTTACTTCATGTACTACAGTTGTTCCTCGAAGATATAATTTATTTTTGCGAAAAAATTATAACTTAAGTTTTCCATTAAAATGAAAATCAAGTAAAATTATTTTTTTATTTTTCGCTTTATATTTATGAAGAGAAAATATTTGCATATACCTTTTCAAGACTTGATGACATTAAAAGAAAATTATATATTCTTTCTCGTTTTTCTAAATATTTTTGTTCTTCACATTCAAGCATATAATCTCGAGTAAATTCGGCTTGAATAAAACGCCAAAAGGAAAAAGGAACTATGAACATTGAAAAAAAACAAAATAGAATTTTCTTTTAATAAAAATAAAATTTTTAGAAACCTTTCCGATTATTCGACATTGTCTCAGCCATGATATTATAATGAATACAATTTTAGATAGACAACAAATCGTTCTAGTGTGTAAAGTGCGCCCTCATCTAACAATCTATTCTGCAATATAATTGGTGGAACAATCGATCGAATCAGAAGCTCGTATTTCTCTTTGTGTCAAACGGAAAAAATATCGAATAATCGACTAACTGTTTAAATAAAACGAAGAGGATATTTTTTTTCTAAAATGTACGGAAATATGGTTCCATTAACAACAGTTGGTGCTGCACAAGTTTTACCTGGTACTGTTTTGCAAACAAATGGAAATAATTTACAATCAAATTCAGTTTCGAATAATGATTTAGTTATTATACAAGATACAACAGGAGCTACAAGTCAAGCTGAATTAATTAATCAATTACAAAATCATATAACTGAAAATCAACAAATTTTAATTATAACAGATGATCAAGGACAAGATCAATGTAAATTTTTATTTTTTTTTCATATTTAAATATGTAAACATTGTTTTTTTCTTATTATTTTAGATGTTATTATTGATAAAGATCAAGATATTAATGCACTTTTACAAGATGGTAAGATAATTTAAAATATTTAAAAAAAAAATATCAGTTCAAAAATGATGAAGATTTTAAAGAACGGATATATGATATATTTTATGAATAAAAACCGATACACACTACAATCTGACTGATTTGAACTGAATAATATTTTTAAATACTAATTTTTATTAGAATATTATTCTAATCTGACTTATTTTATGTCCTATTTTTTATTGATAAATTATTTGATAAAAAATTTCTGTTACATGTAAATTTCACGTGTAACATAGCGACATTTCTAATAGTTGGAATTTTACAATTGTTTTTATCTTCAATCTTTTTTAAATACCATCTTGCATTGGTATTTGAGAAATGACACTTTATTTACGACGTATTCTTTTACATAAATAGACGAAAATTATCTGTTTATATTTATAGTGAATATGTTATATATTTTGCATTTCATCGAATTTCTTTAATTTTTAGGCTCTTTATTCAATCATTATACTGAACAACAACAAATGGCTCAAGTTCCTACTGGTTTACAACAACAAATTTTACAAATCGCATCTATGCCAACAATTCAAACAACACATATGCCATCAGTAGTTTCAACACCTGTACCTATACAACCAAAACCAACTCCAAAAGCAATTGCACCAGCTACAATGAATCCATCAATTATACCACATAAACAATCATTTCATAGCAAAGTATGATAAAAACTAAATTCTTTCTTAATATAGTCTACTATTCGGATATATATTAGGTAAATGCAAATGCTTTTCATGCTCAAAATGTTGAAGAATCAGTTCAACGTGTTACAGCACCACCACCTAAACGAAAACCAAGTAAAACTTTTTGTATTTTTCATTTCTGAAAAATTAAATTATTTCCTATAGTTGAAATTCATTATGATCCAAAAGAAAATTCATTTCAAAATGTATTTTTAAAATTTCTTGCTGGAGAAAAACTTCCATCATTAGAAAATTTAGCTAGTGAATCAATATTACGTAAACCAAAAGATAATAGCTATATTGGTGCTGTTAATGCGGGAGTTATTCTTAGTTCAATTGGACAACCAACAGGTACAATGGGTTATCAAACATATATGGTCAATGATGAATCACATATTGAAGAAATAATGGTTATTGGACGACCATTTTATGATGATAGTAAAGGTGTTAAAATAAATCCATTATTAAAAAATCTTCCTTCAAATATGAATAATAATCAAACAACAACAACACTTTTACCACAAACAATAACATTAACATCAGATTCACAACAACAAAATATGAATACACTAACTAGTTTATTTCATAATGCACAAACTGTACCAAATATGCTTAATAATTCGGTAAAAAATAAATTGTTTTTTCAATTGTTTTTATTTTTATCTTTTTTTCAAAATATTTGTTAGACAACAATTACATTACCACAAGATATACTTAATCAAATAAGTAATGGAACATTGACAGTAACACAAACACCTAATGGAAATGAAGGTATTGAATCAGCAACAGCATCAGCTGCTGCAATACTTAGTCAATTAAATAAAATTGTGCAAGGACAACAACAAACAAATGATTCAAATAGAGTACAAAATGAAAAAGTATATCAATTTCATATATATTTAACTAAATTTTATTCTTTTTTATTAACGTAGGATACAGCAGATGCACTTTTAGCTGCAGCAATATCAAAAACAAATTTTGGTACACATAATTCAAGTATGTAAACATAAATGAAAAAGTAAATTAAAATACAATCTTTCATTTAGATGGATCACAGGAAATGTATCAACAATCGATTACAACAAATCAATCAAATAATACGAAGTAAATTTAATTTATTCGCCCATAGTATATATAATGCTTAATTTAATAGTTCATCTTATATGGATGTTGATGGTTCATCATTAGCAGCTGCTGCTTTATATAATATGAAAAATGAACAATTACAATTAGCAAATGCTGCACTTCAACAACAAGTAACATCTACTGATAACAAACAAAAAGAAATGCCAGAACAATCTGTTGCGACAACTACTGAAGCTGGACAAAATTTTACAGGCGAAGAAGGAGGTAGAAAAAGAAAAACAAAACTTTTATTTTTATCATGAAAAATTAATTTTGACTGAAGAAATAGGATCAGAAATACCATATGAACTTGGTCAATTTTTATTATACAAAGGTCATTTTCTTAATCTACTTCATTTTCCAATTTGGAAAGTACATACAAAAACACTTTTACTTAAATATGATACTGTACTTGCTGATTCTGAAATCGCATGGGAAGCAACAGATGAAGTAAGAAAATTTTTAATTTGGGATTAAATATATCTCAAGAGAGATACATATATATTCAATTTTGAATCAACAGAAATAATTTTCTTGATTAACTTTCATCCTGTCTATTTTAGGGAATGTTTTATACTAATGTTTATGAAGATTATATTCCGCTTAAATGTGAAGTTAAAGGTTTACATAATAATCAAGAAGTTGTTCGTATTGTTGATGAATCCCATCCAATAAAACTAAAGTAAACGAATATTAAAATAAAAGACAATAATTACTTTTCTTTTTCATATAGAATTCATGGTCATATGAGTTTCGTACGTATTCAACATGATGTTTATGCTCAAGTACTTGTTAATCATGTTTACGATGTTGATGTATTACCAAGAATAAAAGCGAATACTGGTTTGATATTTTTTTAAACATTTTATTAAATAAAACTAAAAAAATTTCTATTAGATGAATATGCAACATATATTCGGTTAATCGATGAAATTCTCGAACAACGTTATAATTATGTTATTCAATCACGACGCACAATAGAAACATTTCCAGTAGGCTAATTTTTAAATAAATGTTTCTAAAATAAAACATATTCTATTTCATTAGTGTGCAATTGCTAAATATCCATTACTTGATATTATAGCTCAACCACAACGACAATTACATTGTCAAGTAAATTTCAATAAAATTTTACCGAATGACTTTAATATTTTGTTTTTTCTTAGGTTACAGAAGATAAATCACAATCAGTTTCACATACATTACGTTTTCATGGAAATCAATATGATGTTGATACATTAAAAGCTAGCGAAACACCATTACAAGTATTAGTAAGAAAAATTTAACTGAATTTTTTGAATTTCGTTTTTAAATACAAAATAAATATTTATTTTCAGGAAATATTTGTTTGTGAAAATATTGCTGCTCTAGCTCAAACAGCTCATCATCTAAAACATCATGTTTATCATATGTTTTGTCATGCACAACAAAAAGTAAAAACTATAGATTATTTTTTATTTCATTATATTATTTGATTTTTGTTTTCTAGGTTGCTGAATTACAAGCATTAAATCCAACAGCTGATGCAACGGAATTAATTAGTGCAATATGTAGTGATACAACATGGTTACAAGAAGTAAGAGTTTACTTGGCTTGTCTACAGGAGGAGGTGATTCCGTTACGGTCGTTTGTAATAAATGAGAACCTGGACACTGAGTCGTTTATGCGTCATGAAACAAGCGAAGCGTGACGGAATCACGTTTTACGTAGACAGGGCCACTTTTTTATTTTGTTAAGTTTAATTTTTAAATTACTTTCTTTAGTTATTTGATCGATTTGATTCAATAATACAACAAGCTGATACATATATTTTTTCGAATGTTGACATAGTTTGGTAGAAAAAAAAACAAAACGAATGATCTTAGAGATGTATATTCAACGCTAGTCAAAAAAAATTTTTTCGAAAGAAATATATATATATATATCAACATATTCGATTTTGTCTGTATGTATGTATTCAATTTCTTTTTTCTATACATCATGTATTGTAACTATTTCAAAATTGTTCTTTACATGTCTCTGCTCGTTTATGTAGAGCGTTTGTTATTGTATAAATAAAAAAAAACATGTTTTCATAATATATATCATTATGAACATTCAGAAGAATCTTCTTTAATTTTAGGAATAGTTTTATAACAGCTTTTCGATATTTTTTTTGTCTAAGATAAAGAAAATAACAATACAAGATGGATGATACCAAAGTGAATGACCGAATATTCGGCGCATGCCTTATTATATTTCTAAGCTTGAATCAATACTTTTAAAAGTACAGATTATTAATCATTCTATCTTAACCTTGACAATAATAGTTAAAATCATTTTGAATATAAACAAACAAGATATAGTATTTTTTCAATAGTCAAAGAAATTTAATTCGCTCGTATCATATATCAAATCACATAAAAAAAGATTTGTTTATTTTAAATACATATTTGAATATAAATAGAATTTGTTTATGATTAAAAATCAAATGGATCAGCAATTTTTGCCAATGTTGCATCAAGTAAACAACCATCGATAAATTCTGATTTTGTTAAAACTTTATCTTGATTTGCATCAAATGAAAGCATAAGTGTTTCTGTATAGATTTTTGCATCTTCTTCAGGTAAACCAACAATTCGACATATAATATTAAGAATTTTTTCTGCTTCTTTCTTTTCAATTCGATCATTATCATTTATATCAAATACTTCAAATGCATATTCAAATTTTTGACGTTTTGTTCCCGTACTTGTTGCAATATAAGCAAGTAAAAATTCACTAAAATCGATTGTACCTAAATATAAACAGCAACAAGAAAAAGAGGAATATTTAAAGAATAATAGAATAAATATTTACCAGAATGATCAGTATCAAATGCACGAAATATATGATCAGTAATTTGTTCTAATTTTGGATTTTTTTTTAATTTTGTATAATACAATTGAAATTGTCGTTTATTCATTCGATCTGTTTCATCACTTTCAATATGAAAATCTTTATACCATTGACCAATTTCATCTTCACTTTTACCACTTAATTTAACTAATACTGCTATATCTTTAGCACTAAATTGTCGTCCTGTTTGTTGATTTCCCATATCCTTTTTTTTTTGTTCGAAATCTTTATAATACTTATATTCTTTACTTATGATATTATATTAGTGTAACTATTTGCTTTTCTTTTCTTATAGAACAACTATTTGTGAAAAGAAAAAGAAAAGAAAAAAAACACAGAACGATTAACGGATCTTAATATATACTTTGTCTTTGGTCTCAATGCTATATATATATATACTCTATTATATATTTATTAGCAATATCCATTGACGTGCTTTTCTTTTTTACTTTAATATAAATAATAGATATTCTATATAATGTTAAATTTGAATATAAAATTGAAGTGTCAAAAAAAAGGCGAAGACAGTTTTTTTGAAGAAAAAAAAGAAACAATTGTTGATTATTATAACATTTTCAACTTCTTTCTTTTTATGCTAAATATAACTCAGAACGAGAATTGAAGGAAAGTTTTGTTTACAACCAATGTAAACAAAAAAGTAAAAGTGAAATTACATTTTTCTTTTTTTTTCATATTTAAAAAACTACCTCCGTTTCTTTTCCTCCGGCATGCATATACATCAATCAATTATGCAGCATGCTTAAACTGGATTTCGTTTTTTTGTTCTCATATATAACACATAACTTTGAATAGTATTGTTTTCCTTTCATCGTCGTCAGCCTCGTATGCTTCGATTGTGTCCTCGAAAAAAGGTTTACTTTCTTTTCTTCTTTTTTTTCATATATATATATATATATATATAACGTATAACGAAAATGTGCGGAAAGAAAAAGGAAACGAAAATGCACTCAATGCTTTTACTTCCCGCTCGCATTTTGCATCTGTATATATGCTTTGCAAAAAAAAAAAATCAACAGACAGAGAAAAAAAAGAGAAAAGGACCGAAAAAAAAAGAAGAACAACCCCTCAAAAGCCAGGGTGTGCATACACGGATGCTTGACGATGAGGAATGATGAAAGAAATACGGACGAAATGCATGTACACAATCGTCGTGTAAAGAAACAAACTAGTTTGATTGTAGTTGTGAAAAAAAAAGAAGCATCATTCGTTTTTATTGTTTTAAAAATTGTGAGAAAAAAAACGCACACAAACAGCATACACGCGTCTGTTCGATCCATAATCCAAGTGGAAATAACGAAAAAAAAATGTCAGGATTGAAATGGCTACAGGGATGTAATCGTTTTCAGTTTTTTGTTATTGTTGTTGTTGTTGTTATTATTGTTTTTTGTCGAGCAGCTATCGTCACAAATCTTTTTTTTGAAAAAAAAAAGAATCGAAAAAAATCGAAAAGAAAGCAATGCATCGCGATGAAAAGAGAGAAAAAAGGTGGGAGAGAAAAAATGTCATTCCGGAACACGCGCAACGACGTTTCGAAAGTTCCGGGTTGGCTGCTTTGTATTTGTTCTGTGTGAGAACGAAAGTGCGTTGCTACCTCTATTAATGTTACTATTCTATTATTTTTGATCAAAAGAAAAAAAAACGCCGAAATCGGAAATAAATATTATCGCAATCATTTTGTGTGTTAGAAACGAACAAAGACGGGACGAGGTAAGTGAGATTTATCACTTGATGCCTATCCAGGTTATATCTTTCTACATATGTAGATTACCTGATTACATTAGTAGAATAAAATAAACAATTTATATTCGTTCGATAATTTCTTTTATTTTATTTTTTTTGCTTCTATATTTATATATATATATGTTCAAAATATTATATCATTTTGAATGATGTATACTTAAATAGTTATATTACGTAAATACAGAAAATAATATTTTTATGTCATGTTTTTAACCAATGCTAATCGTATATAAACATGTCTAGAAAATACACTTTTTTCCAGTTCATTACTGTAATAATCAGAATATCTTTACAAGCGTTAAATTAACTGATGATGTTATCTATTTTAGTTTTGAAATATTCTAATTAAAGAAGTTAATATCATAAGACTCGCGTCATCGTCATCATTACGACTGTTGTCATATGATTGAAGTATGTTTCCTTGCTTCATAGTTTCTTTCTTTTCGTTTTTACTGTGTCGTTCTCGCATACATACATTTATTGTCTTATCACCTTCATCATAAAAATGACTATGCAAGCGAACCTATCTATCTATCTTTTGAGATGGTAAACAGAACACAAACTTCTTACATACTAAATCGACTTTCACCTTACTTCTATCTTCTTATCTTCCGCGAACAAGTTAACAAATCTTTTTTTTTTCTTGCTTGCTTTCCGTCAAGGGCATATCTTCTCTAAACGTTTTTTTTTCTTCTTCTTCTTCTTCTTCTTCGTCTTCTTCTTCTCTTTTTTCTTTACTCTTTCAAGTCGTGTCCCATTTCCATGCACTAGACGGGAACATTAGAATCGAAGCGATGCATAAGTCAAATGAAGCAAAACCAACAACGATCAAATTCATAGCGTGTAAAATGGAAATTTTACTTGACTATGTCTATTTTACTATTCCATTCTTTTCTTCATCCTTTGTTCATTGAAAAATACGATAGTCGCCAATATACATATATTGAACAGACTTTATGAAGGGCGTCGCTTATTTCTCCTTCACTTATTATATTTTGTTCTTTTCTTCCGATATGAACGATAGGATATGATGATAGCTATATATATATATATTTGCATATGAGAAGAATTGAAAACCTATAACATATAAGTAGTATATTTTTGATAAGAGTCCATCTAGGTCAATGATCACATGATGATAATAATGATGATAATAATGATTATGATTGAAACAAGGGACTGGTTGTTATGACCTATTTTGTTTTATTAGGTTGTGGATTGTAAACGAAAAGAACAAAAAGAAAGAAGAACTGTTGATATGATCGTAGTCTTTACATTAGCACTTCTTCTTATATACAACGAACAGGAGAAATAGAGATTAGCGTAAATGCATGCAATCGATCGATTGATGTTTATCATTTGTCTTATCAGCGACATCATTGCTTGTAAACACCTGCTGATCTTGTATACATATACTCATCTTCTAATTGGGTCAACTAGTAGTCACAGTCTACGATTGAATGATTGCATCTCTATATCGATAATGGTTCTCTTAATGATGATTATTCAGTATTGTATGACATGACAATGGTACCATTGATGGGACATGACAATAAGCCTAAAAAATAGAAGTAGGAGGTGGAGAAATTCAAGAGAGACGAGACGAAATTTTTTTTCTTTTATGTTTTGTTCCGGTCACCTCCATTCATGCACTTCACATTGAGAAAATTGCACATACTATAGTGCTCGTTCTCATTTTGAGGTCACCGAGATAAAGACCGAAATATATATATATATATATATGCTGAGTGCATTGGTGCGGATATCGTTCAACACAATGAATTTAGTATGAACGAGAAAAGAAAGAAAAAACGAAAAATTTGTTTTACTTTATATGCCGTTTCGGACCTTCCTCTTCTCTGTCTGTCGTCGTCTCGACAGGTAGACGGGATGGATGATGATGATGGAGGGGAAAAAAAGAACAGAACAAGGCCAGTGTATATATGTATTTAAAAAGCAACTTGAAATTATTCCTTTTCTTTTCTCATCGCAGAATGACCGAGAGGCGGCAAGAGCATAAAAAACAGAACAATATATGAGAGTAAAACAGAGGGAGAGAGAGAGAGAACGGGATATGTCCTTTACTGTGAAAGAATTGTGCTCTTGAACTTCCAAGGTAGACGACATCAATGTAGACAGTAAAATCAAAAATAATGGATCTCTTTTTTTTCTCTCTCTCTCTCTCTTCTTTTGCTTGACCCACAATAAACTTTCGTAGGAAGGAGGTCATTTATGAGTGTTCTTTCTTGCTCTTAAACAACTGAAAAAAAGAATGCTGTAAGTATAATCAAGACCAAACACTAAGATTCCTATCTTTTCCCATCAATCATCATGTCTGTCTGCCTACTGGCACTTCCCTGAACTTGTCTTTTCTTGTTCTCATTCGAACATTATTATTCTTTATTCTAATCAAATGAAGGTTGTCTCATAAATAGGTCTTCTTTAGACTAGTCATCCATCTTATATATATATACACATATATATATTGTAACGAATCAGCCAGTTAACTAGAAAACATATTCAATTTGAATTTCTTCATCTTCTTTTTCGTTTTTCGTTTTCTTACAATGAACAAAACAAATAAATCAGTATATTGATATGAACTATTTACATCGAACTATATCCTATTTTCCTCCTACCCTCATATTACATATCTTATAATTCTTATCTTTCACCTTCTCATAAGTAAACCCTACGAAATGATGTATTTTCATAAAAATAGTTATACAGAAGGTGATGAAGTACGCTTATTCCCTTGTATACGTCATATATCAATGTCTAAATATACATATATAGATACTTTATACATGTAAAGTAAAATCATAGATTGAAAACGACGAAAAAAATATAAAAGTATGCAACTCTGACAGATATATAATGCAGACGTCATTCGTATTCATTTTATTGTACTTTTCTCCTTGATCAAAATTTTCCTATTGTGTCTATAAATAAGCATCCATATTATATGGTAGTGATTCTTCTTTTCCGTGTGATATTATGTATATTGTGATGCATCATCGATCGCATCCACTCTTTTCCTTTACTTACTTACTTATTCATTCGTTTCTATCTTGCTTTCTTTCTCTCTCTCTCACTCTCTCTCTCTCCACCTCCTTTTTCTCATGTGTCTTGATCACATTTCGACTTGTAATCATTATGTAGAAAGGGAAGCTTTAATATGTGCATAACTAGTCATCGGAAGTACTAATGGACAAATTTTTTCATGCCATTCTTTTCGAATTATTTTTATTATTTTTTTCCTATCTTCACAGTATAACTAATGGCTAAAAGAAAACGACAAAAGAGAGAGAGAGAGAAAAACGTGTCGTTCGTTATCGAGGGTGTGATGACCATATTATCAGGTGCACAACCGTCGACGTTGCCTGCCGCTGTCTTTCGTGCTTCCTTGTGTATATATACAGAAAAGGAAGGATAAGATGATGTGCTTTGCACCGTGCGTTACTGCTCCTTTTTGTTTTTCTTCTTTTTCTCTTAGGGTCTTTTTTTTTCGTTAGATATAAATGTGTGCAGAAGAACAAACCAGAGTCCATTTGTTTATCTGTTTCCTTCTTATTTTAGCATGGTAGCACATACCGGGAATTCTACGGTGACCACCACAACTAACACAACATTACCGACAGCTAATTATTTATCACCAACATTTAAAATGAATTTACCACAAAATTTACGTATGTAATTTGAATAGAATAATATAGAGTTATCATCGATTTATAATAAATTTAGTTCATCCAATTGATTCATGGACAAAAAATGATGTACAAAAATGGATTGAATATTGTATAGAAGAATATTCATTAGGAGATGTTAACCGAAGTGATTTTGAAATGAATGGTAAACTATATATATATTTTATTTAAAAAGAAGAAGACAGAAAAAAAAGAATAAGTTTTAATTTATCTTTTTTATCTTATCAAGGTAAAGCATTATTATTATTAAATGAAGATAGTTTTAAACAACGTTCATCACGTTCTGGTGATATTTTACATAAAGCTCTTCAACAACATCGAGCTATGCTTAAATCATGGCATTGTCAACGTAAATAGAATTATTTTTTTTTCTAAATAAAAACAAAACTTATGAATTGATTTTATTTTAAAGCATTTCCATATCAACTATGGAATAATTTTCCTTTTCCAACTGCTTCATCATCAACAGCACGTCGTTTTAATATTCCACCACCACCACCTCCACCACTACCTATTTCGTCATTTCATTCCAATGCTGCCGGTGTACTTGCACATCCAGCTGCCGCTGCTGCTGCTGCTTGTATGCATCCAGCATTTAATTATATATTTAATCGTCCTGATATAATTCCAAAACCATCTTCGATTAATCATCAATCTAGCTATTTTCATTCACTTCAACAACAATCAACACAAAGACGAGGAATATCACCATCCTCAACTTCATCTTCTCCTTCTTCAGCATCATCATCACGTTGTCCAGATGCTGAATCAGGTTTGTCCAATTCATTAGTTCCAATATATTAAACTATCAGTTGTTGTTACTGTTTTTTTCTAGTCAAAATTTCACCTAAATCCGATATTCTTCATCCGGTGCATGAATCTATGGGTGTAAAACGTGAAGCAATATCACCTAGCATTCAACAAACAAATCGTCAACCCACTCCAACTAGTTCACCTATGACAACAATAAAAACAACGATTAATACTCCTATAAAACAAGAATGTATGGATGATGAAGATGTTGATATTGAACAACATGAAACAGTTTCAACACCACCATTAGCATCAAATTCACCATCATCATCTCCTCAATCATCATCATCATGTTTATCAAAATTAAATCATTTAAATAATGAAACTATTCCATATAAAATTCGTTCACAGTTATTATCTCGAATTAAACAACAACCAAATGATGTAACAAATACAAATGAAAATAATGATGATTTAAATCGAAATAATCTTACACATGATAATACAAGACAAATACGTTATTATCATGATCGAATTGATTTTCGCGGAGATATTTTAATGAAACCACCAGCTGCAAAAAGTATAATATTTTTAGTATTATTTAAAAATTAATTATTCATTTATTTTAGATTGCCGTATTTTATGGGAATTCTTATATATTTTACTTGAAGATCCACATTATGAATCGATTATTCATTGGGAGAATCGTGAAAAAATGATATTTCGAATAATTCAAGCAGATAAACTTGCTGCACTTTGGGGTATTTATTATAATTAAGTCAATTGATTTAAATTTCGAATTTAATTTAATTAATTTAGGCCTTCAAAAAAATCGTTTATCAATGACATATGAAAAATTATCACGTGGTATGAGATATTATTATTCAAATAATATTATATCAAAAGAACAATCGAAACGATTACTTTATCGTTTTATGCGTTCACCGGATGAAATTCGAAAAAGTATGAAACGTAATGGTGGTACAACAAATATGATTTATTCAAGTCTTAATAAGAAAACAGCACTTTCATATCAATCAACAACGAATACTGATGATCAAGAAACTAATGTGAAATATAATGCAGGTAAATTTAATATTCAAGAAAAAAAACAAAATTTATTTAGAACAATCATAATATTATCATAATTTGTTTTTAGATAATGATGATAATTCATCATCATCATCACATTTTACAAATTCAACAACATCATCACAAATGAAACATCAACTTCTTCAATTATTTTCTATTTATTCACCAACTGCTACATCAATGGCATCAGGTATAAATCCAGCTGCACCTTATTTATATGCTACACGTAATGCAACAAATAATTCATCAGCATCATCTGCATCAACATTCAATACAAAATCGATTCCATTATTAACAACAATTTCAAAAAGCGATCGGTCAAATTCATCATCACCTGAATCATTCGATAGTAATCGTGATCGTACAAGTGACAGTGAGAAACAACATTGTAGTCCATCACAATCACTATCATCATCAACATCAACATCATCCTATTCAACATCGACGAAACGTAAACAAGCAGTTCCATTATCATTAACAGCTCGTCTATCTTATCAAAATCATCATGTTGATCAACCACTTAATTTAGCTGTTAATAAAGAAGAAGACACAATATCCGATTGTAAAAAACAAAAAGTTATTTCTTCTCCGTCCATTGCATGATCGAACAGTTTTCTTATTTTGTTTTTTTCGAACAGTCCTATCTATGCCATTCTTATATACATTTTAATTAACATCATTCTTGTTTATGTATAAAAAAAACAATCTTTTGTTAGGTCAGTAGTAGCTGTAGATCAGTGTGTATGCATTATTATTCCATATTGTTTGTTTTCTTTTTTTCTTCTTCTTCTTCCACCATATCATATGCAGTATGTGATAAGAAATGCTATCTTTAAAAAAAAAAAGGAAATCAAAAATTGTTTTTTTCTTTTTGTACATTCCGTGTGCTTGATTTATCCTTGTGTTCATTCTTTTTTTTGTCTATTGTGGGTACTGATTGCTTAAGATGGAAGTTCTTTTGTTTTTTTCTCTTCTTCTTCATGTATTTGTCTGTGTGTGTGTGTGTGTGTTTACACGCTCTGAATGATGAGCGAAACTAAGCAGCAAGAAAATACAAACATATAAGTGTATATTGTAGTTTATATTTGCGTGTGTGTTTTGTTTTCTTCTTTTTTTTCTTTTGAATCAGGTTGTTATCGTTTCTTTTTTTTTGCTCTTTTTTCCATGCATATTGCAAACATAATGAAGTCTTCCCGAGTTTTGATCAAAGTCTTTATTTTTGCTATTTGAACATGTTAGATTATTATGCAACAATACTATTTATTTGATATTAATTAGAAGAAAATAGTTCGAATCTAAATTATATAAGAGTATTGCACTATTGACAGTTAAATTTCATTGAAACGCATGATAGAAGATATTTTTCATGAAAGGTTATTTTCAGAACCTATAAATTGCATTGATTTTTTCTCTCTCTCTCTCACCCTTTTTTATCTTATTAAATATTTCTATGACTATAAGAAAAGATCGAAAATGATAATTTAAATTCGTTAAAAATGATTTTTTTCCTCTTGTTAACATGTATTGTTGAGTATGAAGAAAAAAAAATGTTAACCTTCACATTTGATATATTAGTCTATCGATTTTTTGTTCTCTTCCTATAGTTTGATTATTATGTTATTGTTACGGTTCAGTTCATTGCATGCATTTGTCAATGATAATATATATTTCGTCATTTTTTTTTGTATAAAAGTATGTAAACACTCGTTAATCTGTTTTAGTAACATATGAATATTTCAAAAGTATGACAGTCTTTCAATCTCGACCTACGCGATATCTTATTCAGGAAAAACATTTATCATTAGATAATAGATTTACTATTACGGATGATGCAGGAAATATTCATTATAAAGTTCATTCATTATTTTTTGCAATGGGCGATAAACTAATTATTTCGGATGCAAATGGAAATGAATTAATGAAAATTCGACAAGATAGTTTACATTTTCATTTAACATATAAATTAATTTCTACTCATTCGGGTGCTACTGCACGTCAAATCGCATCAATAAAACGAACTGGTCCATTGTGGCAACATAAATTAGAGATTGATTCATCCAATGGTAAATATATACTACAGAAACAAGGTGGTGTGTCTTCTGATGATTTTACTTTAACAAAAGACGATGTTACTATAGCTGTTGTAGCAAGAGATGCATCACCTATGAAAAATTTATATTGGGTTGATATTATAGATAGTAAAGAACAAGATCATACTTTTATATTGGCTATAGTAATCGTTCTTTCATGTGCTCAACGTTTGCCGGTGAATCCTATATCAAAACCTCAAGTTAATGCACCTAAAACTGACTAAAACTATGTTGTGTTTAGTACATGTAATCGAATATTATTTGATCTTTGTATATTTTAATGATATGATTCACCTTACACTCATTGAATAAAAATAATTAGATCATGCATTTCGTATGCTGATCATGTTTTTTATCAATAATGATTGTATTTGTATATATTATATGTCTATATTTGAAAATAAAAGTATTCCTTTTACTTTCTTCGTAATTTTTGTCAAATAAAAATAATATCGAACCATCTATGAAAAATATTTAACAATGTGATCAAATATACATATTACAACATCTATTATTCTATTTGTTTCAGTTAAATCACAACAAGAAGAATATCCTTCAATTTACACATTGTTCCGTGATATATATATATATACATAACATGTATAATTGGTATCTGTACAAATTCTCCGGAAATAACTAAAACCTTGAGTCAATGGCATAAAACATAATAACAACAGATGATAAGAGAATCATAGGAATTCAAACACAACCAGATAGTTGCTATTATTATTATTCAACAGTATACTCGATTCTGATATTGTCATTCGAGATATACGGTCTTGTTTAATGATTTATATTTTTCTTTTTTGAATTTCTTACTATTTTTATTCTTATTTACAAGAATAAACATATCTTCTATTATATTTTATTTGACGAGAAAACAATTTCAAAAACAAATATAATGTTCAAGTGAGTAAATCCAATCGAATGTTAATTAAATCTTTTTAAGAATCTTTTTTTTCTTCTAAATAAGTAATATCGAGTTAGATTTATTAAAATCTCATTGATTTTATAGATAGATGTCTCTATTGAATATAAAAACTTTCACTTTTTAATCTAATATAGATTACAAATCATTATATGCTAAAATTGACGATCATATGTACTGATAAAAAAAGTGTTAATGTCTTTGTTCGTACAGAAAGACCTTCCTTAATGTCATCATTCGTTAATAATGTCTGGGACAGAAAGACGACGACAGTTTATGTATTGATCGATACGTTGAGCTATTAATCTGATGAAAGAAAAGACAAATTTAGTCTATGAATCTAAGCTATTTTTATAATGACGTATGTCTTCATTCAGTAGATATTTACAGGCAAATGTATGAATTTATTTTAACGAATTACTTCATTGAAATTTAAAACTAGAAAATATTTTTATTGAATATATCATGAACCTTGTAACGCCTAGATATCAGGTCAGGAAAACGATTTATTAAAGAATATATGTTTTGCTTATGACAATCTTGATAGATATCTTTGATGTTACCAAATAACGATGACGATGACAAACTATCCTTCATAAATATTTAATTTGCTTTACTAATGTTGTAATTCATATAGAACTTGACATTGATAATAACCTTGAATCCATATTTATACAATATGTAAATCACACCTGTTTTCTTATAGTCATAAGTCTTCGAAATATTGATAGATAAATGAAGCTACGAGGTAACTACAACAAATTTGTTATCATATAGACGCAATCGTAGACTGATTACAGCACCATAATCGCCAATAGCGTATGCCAAACGATGTTAGTTACATATACAAGTAAATGGTCACTGAACATAGATTATTTATCATATATTTGTTCGAGTATTTCTATAGAATCGATGTTGTTGTTTGCTATCGGCCCTATTATATATTTTCTTCGCTTCTTTGCATTATTATCATCAACTTCTTATACATATATGTATGTATGTATATTATGCTTATGCTGTGATTATTGATCATTTCAGTATGTTTGCCATCTATGCATGCACATCGTATTTAAACGATGATCTATTTCTTTTTTCTATAGATCACGTTCACTTCTACTACTAGTGCTTATATAAGAATAATAACCAGACATATTCTGACTGACATAGAACGCGCGTATCCTATCTTGAGACGTTCGATTAGATGGTTGAAGCAAGTGAGATAAGTTCATATTGTACCTTCCTTCTCTTTTCTGTCTCTCGATCTTTCTTTTCTCTATAAGATATTATAGAACAACAATCAGACAGACACATATATCAACAAAAGAATCATCTTCTCTGCATTTTCTCCCTGTAGTTTTATTGTTGAATAGTTTGCTTATCATTCTAAAGAACGAACAACTTTTATGTACCTATACATACATATAATAACTTGCATAATCGTGTATGTGACTGGCTATATATATATATATATATATATATGGACTATATCGCATCAGGACATCGTTGAAAGAGAGAAGAAGAGGAAAGAAGCTATTCACCAAAGTCAAACAACTTGCTCGTCTCAATATGCTATAAAACGTAAAACGTCGATTGATTTTTGGATCAATATCACTCTTGGGAACACTATTAGATAGATAGACATTGTCGATGACTGATAGACGATATTTGGCAATGAAAAATAAAAGAGAGATGGTGGTATTTTATGAGTGCGTACTAAAGCCTTGATCTATCTTCTCTTTGGTACTCATCGATAGTAGTACCTTAGTTCGACATTCTGGATAACAAGTAAATTACGCGCTTCTTACTTACTTTGATATATAATTTCAGTTTTTTATCTTCTTTTACGTTCGAATCTCGAATGGCTGCTTTTGGTATTTCATTTCCTAAACTTACTTTATCTCGACCATCAATACCAAAAACTGATACTAATATTGTTCCATCATCGTCAACACCAACAAATAATACTCGAAATCTTTCACTTTCGATAAAAAATGTGCCAAGTCAACCACTTCATTATGATGTTTCATCAACAACAACAACCGCAACAGTGAAGAAAAAACTAATATCAACTCCGACGATGCTTGCTATTGATGGTGAGACTAAACAATTACCAAAGAATTTATCTGTTTTCAATGAGCTTCAACTTGATGAGGGTAAGCGTAATAAACATTCTATATGTTTTTTTTCTTATACAAACAAAAAAGAAATACATTTGTGCGTGCCTAGAAGCTGAAGACATCAATGAAAAAAGAAAACGAACAAAGAATTCAACAAATGTTGCTGTTTCTTCATTATTCTCTTCTACAAGAACTATAGATGATCGTCCGGATATTCGATTACTTCCAAGTATTGATTCAAAACAAATATTACATGAATCGATCGATCAAGAAAAACAAATAAGTCAAGAACGAAGATCAAATCATACATTCACACCCCCAACATCAAGTTTAAGTAATGATTCATTATCGGATGATTTACATGTAACTTTATCATCATTCTCAGTCGATTTACCTCAACTTAAATATGCTATTGAAAAATTTCTTGTTGATGATAATAATCCAACTTATGAAATAGCTGAAGAATTTTCAACGGATTGTTCTCAGTCTCATCAATGTAAGATATATATATTTTTTTATTATTATTGTTTATTTTTACTTTCAATATTATAGATTGTCATGAAAATAATAATCATAATTCAAATGTAACGATGTCTGCTTTACAACATGATCAAATGGAGAGTACAGAACTTTATTCAATGCATGAAAAAGATGTTAATAATGAAATACCAACTGATTCTTCACATATGTCAAATAGTTTTAAATGGTATGTGAGTGAATTACGAATCAATCGACCATTGATCTATCGAACACAATGTATAAATAGACAAGAAACTATTAAGAATCGAAAACTTAGTCATTCAGTAAATGATCTTATGCATATTTATAATGTAAAAAAACATTCAGAAATTGGTAAATATAAAATAATATCAAAGAAAACAGATGATATTGCATATTCAACTTTATCATTACAAAATATTCATAATCAACAAATTTATTCTCAATCTAATGATAATATTATTCTTAATAATTATTTATCATGTACAGATGATGATTTTAATATTGTCAATAGTATTGAAAATATTAAACAAATATCACGTAAGTTTAATTGATTTTTAATTAGATTTCATATATGAAAATATTTATCTAGCACTTATTATTCAACGAACATTAAATCGATCATTGAGTCGAGATGATACATTAATTCGAAATGAATCAGTAAAAAAAAAATTATTTGATATATTAAATGACGATGAACTTGAAAATGCTTGTATAGAAGATATGAGTCTAGAATTTGAAAAAATGACTATTACTCATCATCACCGTCGTGATCTTCCAATTATTAATTCATTTTCATCATCAGATGATGATGAAGCTATCTATTCTTCACCACCGAATGAACTTCATTTACCGCCACCACTTTCATCTTCTTACAATGAAAATCTTTCAACGCATACAAATAATACTACGGAATGTTATCTTGGTCGATCGCGTTTAATTACAACAAGTCTTGATAAAATTCCAATGAATAATAATGCATATGATCATCTATCTCCATCATATATTTTACGTCCATCATATGAATCTACTCAACCATCTTGGTATACGTCACCATCACCACAATGGCGTACCGATGATCAATTACCGATGATGTCAATATTAAAAAGACATTCATTAAAAAATGATAGTTATTTGAATGGAACTGATAATATTAATCATAATCAACTAGTTACTGATTATGATATTAAAGAGAATAAGTTTATACCAAAGTATAATCATCATCGAAAAGAACAAAAACATGTGAGCTATTCATTAATGAATACATCAACGCCATTAGTTGATGATTCTACGCCAATGCTTCCTATTATTCAAGATAAATCACCCAATCTTCTTATGTTTATTTAGAAAAGAAAAATTTACTTCGCCATTCTTCTTTTTTTTCTTCTGCTTATATTTTATCATCGCTGCTCTCATGCTATATACGAAATTTATTTACAGATGTTTTTTTTGTAAAGTGATTTCGAACAGTATCTGTCATTTTTTTTCATACATATATGATCGACAAATGATGCAGTACAAATCTTTTTCTTTCTAATGTATTACGCTTTTGTACTATGCTTACAAATCATCTGTATTGTTGCTGCCTTAGACTAGATGATGAATTATTAATGGACAAATAATTCATTTTCACACAGATATTTAAATGTAGTTTATTTAGAACATAACTAATTTATCACTGTATTCTTTAATAAATTGACACTTTATGAATAATATATAAATAGAAGGTTATAAAATATCAAGAAAATCTGTTGATTTTTACCAGATGATAATCATGTTTTACATATATATCGACACCCGCTAAGAGCGATGATGAAGGACATTGTGATTACATATATATAAATATATTTAGCTAGGAATATTGACCTTCAGCTGTTTTGTCTCGTTTTTTTAATGTATAATACTGAACATATTTCATATTGAAGGGATAAAGATATTCATAGTGTACTTTTGCCTTTATTTTCATTAGGCAATAACATATTTGACAGGACATAAATGACTATATCATCAGTCAAAAAACAGCATGTAACATACATGATTAAAATAATATTTATAATACTTTTATTTCAAAACTAATATTAATTGGCGCGTTCAAAATAAATAAATGAATAAAAGATAATAAAAATATAATTACCAATGTGGATATGCTTCTTTTCTTTCATCTTCTTAAAGTAAATCTGATAACAAAAAAAAGTTATTCTTTATATGATTATTAACATTTAACGAAAACGACTGATGTGATTTTTTATTTTATATGCAATAAAATTTAAATATTATCTTTCTCATGGAATATCATCAACGAAATGGTGACGATAATTATTCAACATTGACATTGAGTCAACCTGTCAATTCTTTATCGTCGACATCATCAGTTACATCTATATTAGATTCAACATCAAATACTACTGCACTTATGATATCAAAACAGTCGAATATCAATATTGATCGTTCAATAAATCGAACTCGATCATGGCGTAAACGATATTATCAACAACAAAAACAAATGGAACATAGTATTTCATCACATTCAACAGCAACACATACAAGTGTATCTCATACTACTGCTACTACAACAATAATGGAACAAATTGAAAATCAAGAAAAATCTTTACAAAAATTTTCTAAATTACAAAAACAAGAAGCTCGACCATTAGGTACTTGTGTACGTAAATGTGAACAATGTCGACAACTTAAACATATTCTCTTAGCTGAATGTACTATATGTTTTCGAATGATGGATATTGATCTCAAGGATTGTAAATGTCAAATGTTTACAAATAAAAATATGTCTAATTATTTTACTTGTTCTATATGTAATAATGAATTAACACTCGAAGGATATATTATTTGTGCTAATCGAACATGTCAAACAACATTATCGACATTATTAAATAAAGAAAATACAATTGAAACTCTATCAAAATTAATACCTTCTGCTATTATTACTGATATATATTATCCTAAATCAATGTATAGAACAGTTGCTATACAAATTAATACATTAGTCCATCTACCACCACTTCAACGATTTTTATCAATTCTAAATGATAATGAAAATGAAATATCATTATCATCATCGGAATGTTTAGATACATTTCATATGAGTATTGATAGTAGTGTTGGTGCACCATTAAATAATATTGCAACTGCATTCAATTCAAATCAACCAACAAAATTAGCTATTCAATCTGAACACAATGTATGTAGAGAATATTTTATGAGAATTGAAGAAATCAATAAATTTTTATTTTTGATCTTTTCAGTTAACAAATAATTTAGAATTTGTCGAAACACCAAAATTACCAAAATGTTTAGCTATAATGAATGCTCATAAACGTCATGATCGTCTGTCAACATTACTTACACTTCAAAAAAATCAAATATGTCAAACAAAATTATCTTGTCTAAGAGATATTAATGAAATGATTCAATCCGAAGATATATCCAATGTAACTATTATACAGACTAATAATCCAACTAAAATTGAACGTCAAATTCAAGTTGATACAATTAAAGGACATTTTGATGATTTATGTCAGATTCGTATTGAAACAATTGATGAAAGAATTTTACATGCACTTATCGATGGAGATGGTAAACAAATGATTATAAAATAATATTGATATATTTTTTTAAATAGGACAACGATGGTCCAAGTTTATTGAACAATTGATCAATGAACAATCACATTCTTCACTTAGTGAAATAGCACAACAATTACTTGATACTGTAATCGAAATTTTCATTTTATAATTATTAAATCGATATTTGTATCGAATTTTGTAGGTTGAACGTTTACATACTACTCAAAAATTAAATAGTTTAACAACAGGTCAATTACAACGAAAAATTCGTTATGCAATGTCTTATTTTAAATCTTTGGATGAACGTTTATATTCACAAAATAATCTTAAAACAACAAGAAACAATCGTTCATCAGTTTTAAAATCAAAACAGAATACTGTATGTAATGGTAGAGTGGATATGGCAGTAACAGTAAGACAAATTGATAAACGTCATAATCAACAATCTGAAATATCATCGGAACAAAATTGGAAACAATATGTTGATCGTTTATTTGATCAAGGATATTCCGCGAATGAAATTCAACAGTTATTACATGATGCAGCTAAATCAACTACTCAATGTGATAATCAACGTTTACAAGATGTTTTTAATTATATTCATACGAAAGCAAAACAACAAAGAAAAGTAAAAACAACATCCTCAGGTATTGAATTTATTTCAACTTTAACACAAACAAAACCAGAGATACATCAAGAATTTCAATCGACTAACTTGTTTCAAAGAACTAAAACAAAGGGTAGTCATGATAGAATATTAACAGTAAATAATCTTTTTTTTCATATAATTCTAAATATAGTTTCGTTTAAATTTTTTTCTGTAATCAATAGGATAAACAAAAAATATCGAATGAATCTTCACCTATCGTTAATGATAAAGATCAAAGTTCTATTAAAAAGAGAAAATTCAGTTCTCCAATGACATTACTGAACAGTAGTTTAATTGAACCAGATATTATTCAAGTGGAATTATCTAAGAATACATCCATTATTGATTTGACAATCAATGAGAAAGAACATAGAGATACAAGTGTAACCAATACGGGTTAGTTATGCGTATTCGTTATCATAAAAAATGAATTCTTTTTTCAATAGAACAAACTACACAAAAAGAAAAAAATCATGATCAAGAATTCGATAGTGAAAATATTACCAACCCTTTTATACAACGAACAAGTCAGATTGAAGAACTAGACAGATCTCAAATATCCATAACTAATGAAACAACTAGCTTTCATAGTGTGAAAAGTAATGGAAAACTATATCTCACTGCTAAAATATTCAAAAATAATAGAAGTATTTTTAAATAATAGATTCTTCAACTATTGCCATATCTACATCAGATCAATCAGATGATATTCCTTTGACAAGTCTAGTAGAGAAATACGATTATGCATTGCATGACGTTCAAGATACTCTTAATATTGATATTCAATCCAAAATAAATCATTTAATTCAGATTTTTGAATCAAATATTATTCATCATGATAGTCTTGAACTTTTGATGAAACAATACACTGGACTTTTGGGTAATGAAAAGGAAGCTATTGTATTACAACTAGAAAAAAATCATTATGAAGAATTAGACAAAGAAATATCTCATACATTAACTCATTTACAAACATATGAACAAATAATTACACCATTCACAATAAACAAAGAAGATCCATTATTTAATCGACATATCTCAAATAATGTTGCCCTTATTTCCGATGTTCCAAGTAATCTTATGTCTTTTGTTTTATAATAAAAAATAACTGAATCAATTTTCGTAGTTTTACCACAAAAAATTGAAGAAAACATTCAACAGTCTATAGAATCATCACAGTCAACTCTTGATTTAGAACAACAAACTATCGTATCAGAATATCAAGAAACAGCTAGTCTTATTCGATGCCATCCTATACCATACACATCCTTAAACGAACAAATTTCAAGTGAAACATTCAAACAAGTACTTATCAAGTCGAGAGAACAGATTCCACTAGAGACAAACGATCTGGATAAAGACTTCATAATCACAACTAAGAATGATTTTAATACTATATCGAACATATCTTCAAAAACAGAAAACGATTTACATGATGATCAAGTACCAACGAAATGGTTGAATGCACTGTTTTCAAAAATATCTGATAATGCCAGTAGTACAACCAGTTAAGTGTTTTTTTTCTATACTATTTAAATAAAACTCAAACTATTAAATACTATAGATATTGTTCCAACATTATCATCTTTATTGGTTAGTGATCGAATCAAGATTGATACGAATGATAAACAAAGCATACTATATCATGCAGATATTATCTTAATAAAAGAAGAACATACTCTCTCAATGATTGTTCCAGAATACGGTTCCTCTAAACTTCATGAACAATTTGAACCAACTGAAATAAAAATTATAGAAATGACGACAACAGAAATACCCTCGAAACAAATTCTAAATTTAGAAGATCAGTTACCACCGTTTTATGAAAAGAAAAGTAATGATAATATTTTCAACGAAGAACAACAATCTACTTCTTTTGCTATTATTATTGATGAACCACAATTGCTAGTCACTGAATCTATAACTCATTCAGATATGGAATTATCAAATCAAATACATCAAGATACTCAATCGTTGCAAAGTCTATTTGTTGATAGTGAAAGTGATAAAAAAATATCACCTATTTTAGCTATTGAAGATACAATGGTAAATTCATCATTGTCCATCGATGAGAATGATAATCAAGTAAATTATTTATTTTATTCCTGAAATTTTTACTTTTAAAAACATTCTCTTCTTTTTGTGTTGCTTATAGGATTTAATAGAAACAAATGAATCTAGTACATATATTAACTATGCACCTCATTCTTCTTACGTCGACACATCAATGTTTAGTAAACATCCATTTCGAGCTACTTCAATAATATTCAAACACGATAATAGAATTAATCGATCTCAACTACCAGTTTTAACACAATATTTTAACGTACCCGATATAATACAATCTAATTCTCTGTTAACTCATTTACGTGATCAAACTGATAGTATTTCATTTAAAGAATCAATTCTCAATGATAATTCTACGTCAGATTTAAAAGAACACTTACCAATCGATTTTGAAGATCAAAACAACGTAACGAATTTATTACATTATGATAAAGATAAAAAACTATCGAATGAAACAATCAATAATACAATTTCAGATGAATTTCAAATGACTATTATTTTAGCATTGAATCATCATATTACACAACAATCAACAAATACAATGCTTTCTCCATCACAAACTCCGGTAAATATATAGTTTTTACTTTCGAATAGATTCATCGTACATATTTATTTAGAAAAGTGAAAATATCAAATACAAAAAATTAGATACACCATTACCTTCTTCTCTAGAACCATCTTCATTTCCATCAAAGTAATTTGTACTGTATTTTATAGAAATGATCATTTTACGTATATTTTGATTTTAGTCTGATATCGAAAGAAAATGAGTTAGTAGTCGAACATGACAATATTCCAAATTTGCTCGATAAAGAATCATCTAGTAACAGTATTTATTAATTATACTTTACTATTATTTTATCTTATTTTATATTCATAGAATCAGTAACACCATTGGTGAAAACAACTTCAATAGATACAGACGAGAGATCTCAGAAATCTATAACCGATGCACATGCACTTTCAGTTGATGATATTCATAAAGAAGACTTAACGAACAAGTTAATTCGTAGTAATGATGATTTGCAAAATGAACATAGTAGGAAAGCATATTGTCTTAAAATATAATATTTTATTCTTGCTTTTCAAATCAATAATTGTTCAGTTGTCTCTAAGAAGCCATCAAAAGAATCAGTTTCATTCAATGATACAAATCATGTATCATCATCATTCTCAAAAAGTACAGAAAACTTCAGTATTGATAAAACAGATAATCAACATTCGAAGATTAAATTAACAATTAATAAAACATTTTCTCGACCAAAAATAGATATTGAAGATATTCGAAGTAAGCAAAAAATCGAATATTAATTACATATGATCTATATTTCATTTGATAAACATGTTATTTTTTCTAGGTCCACCTATCACAACATCGCATTCTTCTTTTACATCAACTACTTCTATTACTAATCCTGACATGAAATTGAGGCAGACTCAAATGATTCCTGAAAATACAGAAAAATCTTCTTCAGATGAAAATAGTGTTGAATCCGAAGTAAAAATGATTTCAGCCAATCATTATGTAGTTTTTGCGTATTTTTTTTTAAAGCGCGTGAATAGTAGAGATAACAGTTCAAAAGAAGCACCAAACATTCAATCATCATCTCAATTCGAGCAAAGGTTTACAATTAGTGAAATTCATTTAAAAATGTATAATCTTATTTTATTTTACAGTCTTCGTGACAAAGATTATCAATTGGAAAAGATAAAATCTTTAACAAATGAAAATTCAAGTCAACAGTGTATAAGAAACGAGAATGTTTCCACTAATATTAAATTTTATATTTAGTGTTACCATCTATCTATACAATGGACAATCATAGCGATATGAACGATATTAAACATGAAGAAAAAAATCAAGACCAATTACATCATCATGAATCTAAACGAGTCGATTCACTTTCTTCAACAAAGAAACGATCAATAATGTCAACTACGATTACTACATTACCATCATCTACAATCAATGATAATATACAAGATCAGAATTCAAAATTCTATGTTTCTTCTTTAGAAAATAAAAACGATATATCAATATCAAATTATATATTACCTACGTCAGCAAAAGAAACTCAAGGATTGAATAATATATCTTCAGTCAATCTTATTCACATGAATAAGTATATACTTTGTTTTGATTTCCAAGAAATATTTCGATATTTAAATAATCATGAATCTCTCTTTTTTGTTTCTAGTTTGATCTCTGACAAATTCGATGATTCACAGAAACATCCATTATCTTTGAGTAATTCATTAGTTCGTAATCATACATCTTCACCATCAACAAGAAAGCTCTTATCAAAACGTTCTTCACTCAAACAAACTTCAAATACTGTTCAGCCAATAAGACCAAATACAATATTATCTATAACAGACGTAAGCACATCTTCAAGTAATACAACTACTACCAATCATTTACCAAGTACACAATCAACATTCAGTGATCAGAAAGAAATTATACCAATACAAAACACAAATAAGAAAAATTACTCTAAAGATGAAATTAAAGAAACATCAGATTCTATTACTAAACGTAAAATATTAAGAAAAACATCGCGATCAATACAAAATCAATCATATACATATTCAAAATCAAAAGAAAAAGATATCGAAAAAACAAAGAAGAAATTTACAAATAATAATTTGCTAACAAATTCCGATCTTACATATGATAGTGAACAAGGATCTGATGCATGGATGCCAAGTCAAGAGGATATTAGTCAAATTCTTATAATTGATGAACAAGATGAAAAAAATTCACAAATTCATAAACTATATATGAAAAAACAAAATAAAAATCGAATGATTACTGAATCACAATTAATGCCATTTAATTTAAAAGCACGTGGTGATCATCAAGCTTATACTATAGATTCTTCGAAATGTAAAATTTTTATTTATATATTGACATATATTCTTTGTTCGTTATAGTACCAAGTATAGAACAATCATGTGGTGAACATCAAATGAAAAAATTATCAAATGATCCTTTTCGTCGACCTATGATTCGTCTTCCAGTAACACAAATTGAAAAATTTGAATGTGGAACTATTGGACCTCATCATCATTCATCTTCAATTGCTCGTCAATTATTTTATTTACCATCGATTCATGTTCGTCATCAATCATCTTCTCAATTGTATCAAACAAATGAATCACTTACTCATCGTTTTTATCGTCTTATGTCATCAGAAAAAAATGATGATAAACAAGCATTTGAATCAATAATCAATTGGCAACAACAACAACAACATCACATATCTAAAACTGAACAAAATAAATACCAATATATGTATTTATTAGATCCGTCAATAGGAAATAGAGTACGTGGTAGACAATATCCAATATTAACTGATGAAATTGATTTAATTGATGATCCAAATGCATGTACTATTGTAAATAAATGGGCTTTTGCTGATTTAGTCAATAATGAACGAGAAAAATATCGACAAACATCATTAGATACTATTAAAAAATCTTCAAAACGATTAGATTCAAATAAAAATATTCAAATATATTTACGAAAACGTCCATTGACACAATTTGAACAGAATGTATTTAAAGAAGTTGATATTATAAGTATTATTGATTCTCAAACAATGCTCCTTCATATACCATCGATAACTGTTGATAATCAAGTATTTATTAAAAATCGAATATTTAAATGTGATCAAACATTTGATGAATATTGTCAAATAAATTCTATTTATCATTCAACTCTTTCTCCATTACTCGATAAAGCACTTGATAATAGCAAGTAAGAGTATATAAAATTGTTTACATATTTAGTCATATATATGTACATAGATGTTTATGTCTAATTGGTGGTGGAAAATATTCGGGTAAAACATCACTTCTTCGTTCTTTAATTGATTTATTTGGATTTGATTTAATTCATCTTTTATCAACCTATGATATTTATATAAAATTACTTGGTATATGTCATAATCGAATTGTTGATCTTTTACAAAATTATTCTCCAATACGTTTATTAAAATCAATGAATTGGACATTAATACCCAATGATGAATTTCATGTTAAAACTGATCATGATATTGATTATATTGTATGTCAAATAAAAAAACGTCGTCGTTTTATTCATCAATTGATACAAATTAATTTTTATCAAAAAGATCAATCGATTATTGTAGGTTCTTTAATGATTGTTATATTAGCATCATCTCAATATATTTATTCACGAAATTTATGTTCATATAGAAGAAGATTTTTAATTAATTCATTAAATAAAACTATATTATCATTGAAAAGAGCATTATTAGGTATTCGACAAAATCCAGATCGAATTCGGACAGGTAGAATAAATAATTTTAACTGGATTTATAAATTTGATGATATTATTTAGCATTTAATAATGATATTTTAACTCGATTAATTCAACCATATATATTTCATGAACGATCAAATATTTATTATATTGGAACAATTAATCCAGGTCATCGACATCGTATTGCAACAAAATCAACACTTGAATTTGCTCGAAATCTTCGTTTTTGTTTAAAACGTATTAATAAACGACGTCAAAAACAAGCAAAATTATCTCACATTATTAGTAATGATAATGATGATAAATTTTAGAACATAGTATCAACTATTTTAATATCTTTTCAATTCTATCTTTGTATATGAAATAGTAAAATTTTATTTTCAAACAAATAAAATTAAGTTATGTAATGAAAAGTTCGATATTTTATTAAATATCTTTCGTTAAGACAGTCAGCTAAGATGATTTGTTTCTTATATTCAAGTGAATAAGTTTAAACTTATTCAAAAAGACATTTTATTGTAAATATTTTCTTATAAAAACTATCGTAATAAAAAACGATCAATATTTACAAGGTTAAATCATAAAATTCTTTTATTGTTTTATCAAATTTATCGCGTGATAAAACAGAGAAGTACCTTGTAAAGGTCATTCATGAACAATTATTCATGTTTTAGCGACATCTAGATGTCATATATAGAAATTATAAATAATATTATTTTAAATATTTCTATAATTATAAAATAGAAGTTTAGAGAAATAAAAATAAATTTGTTTTATTGACATAGACATCATTATGTAAGAACTCATTGGTTATTCCGAAAAACAAACACACTATAGTTTAACACCTTTCAAAAAAAAGTCACCATTTTAAAACTTTATTTATTTTTCATTTTGTTACATTGTTCAATTGATTTTTTGTTTTAGATGGAGCATACACTTCTTATTCTTTGGCTCCAAATACATCTTTTTTGTATATTTCCAGTAATATTAACTCAGCAATCATCAGATTTCTTTCCATACTATACTCAAAATGATACAAATAGAATTGAAAAGAACGCTGATGGACTTTTCATTTATGATCATCTTGATGATGATCAACATACTTCTGGTAATCATTCCATTCATCGTCGACAAATTTCATTAAATATTGTTTCATCACAATTTGCACGAATACCTATTACGCCATCATATATTATAATAGGTCCACGTACTGTTCGACCAGCACAATTAGTTGCATTAAGTGTAACTATTTTACGTGATGAATGGAATCCAATGATGGTTAAAGCATTAATATCAAATGATGATATGGATGTTGCTGCAGCTGAAGATCTATTTTTTGTTGGTGTACCACGTTCATTAGAAATGCGCATACCAAATAATGTTCGTAGTGGAACATATCGTTTAACACTTGAAGGAAAATTATTAACAGGTGAACAAAAATTTTATAATGTTTCACAATTAATATTTGAACAAAAAGCTGTAACTATACTTATACAACTTGATCGACCTGTTTATCGTCATGAAACAGTTGTACAATTTCGTTGTATACCTATATATCCTGATTTAAGTGGTTATTATCATACAATTGATGTTTATATGCACGGTCCATCAGGACATATCTTACGTAAATGGGAAAATCAACAAACAACAGCTGGCATGGTTTCGCTTGAAGTAAAATATTTCGATTGACTATTTAAAAAATTCTCTATTTTCTGTTTTTAAGTATCCAATTAATGATGCACCACCAGAAGGTATTTGGACAATAAAATGTCGTGTTATGGGTTATGAGGCAACGAAAACATTTGAACTTTATGAATTTTATGCTCGAAAATTTGAAGTTAATGTTACTGTTCCATATTATTTACCAACAGATACTCCTGGTGTTGGTGGAATTGTTACAGCTAATTATTCAACTGGTATGGGTGTACTTGGTTATGCTCGAGTTGTTGTTCGTGCACGTGATATGTCTGTTCCATATGATCCACGAGCAAATCCATTAAAAGATGTTGAATTTGATCATTCAACACCATCATTTGTAACAACAATTGATGATTTTAATGGTGTTGCTGGATTTTTTATTCCAATTGCTACTATTCGTACACTTGTACCTGATCTAGATGGAAAAGAAATATTAATAACAGCACTTGTTCGTGATCCATGGTGGAATGAAACAAATAATGGTACTACTGTTGTTTCATTCTATAGGCCTGGTACACGTTTACATTTTCTGGGTGGTCCATCAATGGTTTTTAAACCTCGTATGATTTTTACAACTTATGTTGCTGCTGTTAATGCTGATGGATCAAAATTTCCTCCTGGACTTGGTCGATTTATTCGTATATATACAGAAACTGATAATGGTCCAACACAACCTCCTGCTGATTATATAATTGATTCATCAGCTATAGTTTCACATCAATTTCTAGCACCAGCTGATCCATCAATATTATTTATAACTCTTCGGGCTGAACTATATGATAATAATATAAAAGTCGTTGGTAGTGATGATGAACAACGTGCTATACGTTATTTATCACCATCAAATAGTTATTTACAAGTAACATCAAGTACGGGAACACCACGTGTTGGTGATTTTATGTTATTTCGTGTTAATATAACACAATATGTTGATTATGTTTATTATCATATAACATCAGCTGGCAAATTAATTTTTACTAATATTCTTCCAATGGATGGTGCTAAACAAAAAACATTTGATGTTGGTGTTAGTCGTGAAATGGCACCGTCAGCTCATATACTTGTTTATTATGTACGTTATGATGGTGAAATTGTTGCAGATAGTATGAATTTTCATGTAAATACATCATCAGTTACCAATCGTGTTAATATAACAATAAATCGACGAAAAGATTTTACAGGAAATACTATTGAAGTACTAGCATATGCATCACCACAATCATTTGTTGCATTTGCTGGCCTTGGTCTTGTGCAGACACGTTTATTTCCACCAGGAAATCAAATTACTCCAGTTATGGTAATTAAATTTTTTTTTAAAATATTATCTATATGAATGAACGATTTTATTATTAAAATCTTTTTTAGCTTTACGATGAATTATATTCATTTGATCATTATGCAACAACAAGTTTTCAACATACATGGTATTCTGAAATAAATATACCAACAAATCGAGTATTTTTTCCATCGCAATCATATGGTTATGATGCTGGTTCAACATTTAATTCATCTGGTATGCAAATGTTTACTGATGTTAATGTTCAAGCAATACAAACAGCATGTGCACAAAATGGTTTACTACAATGTGCAGATGGTACATGTTATCCACCACCATTAAAATGTAATGGTATTCTTGATTGTCGAGATGCATCAGATGAAGTTAAATGTAAGAGAATAAATTTAATTCAAATTATTTTTTTTAAATTTCATTTCGTTTTTCAGGTAATACAACAACAACAATTAGTCAATATGATTTTACTCCATTATATCGTCGTTTATGGCCATATTGGGAACGTGAATTACAACTTGATTTTATGTGGCATCAACAATTTGCTTATCCAGATGGTCGTGTACAATTTCGTACAACAGTACCAAATGTAATTGCAACATGGGTAATAACAGCAGTTGCTGTTAGTCGTTTAACAGGTTTTGGTGTTCTTGATGTACCATTTATATATGAAGGTACAAGACAATTCTTTATTAAAGTTGAAATTCCACCTATTGTTCGACTTGGTGAACAAATTGGTGCACGTGTTGATGTATTTAATTTTCAATCACATCGTATTGAAGCATTAATTATCTTACATGCATCAGATCATTATCGTTTTATTAATCTTGATCAAAATGGTGTTGTATCATCTTATGCACCAAGATTAACTGAAGGACAACATCATGTATTAGTTATTTTATATCCAAATGAAGTACGACGACTTTATCTTCCATTTGTACCAATTGTAGCTGGTGAAGTAGAAATAATGATTGAAGGTAAAAAAAAAAGAAAAATAATAATGATCACATTTCAGAAGTAGACAAGAAAATCTATCATATTTAAAATAACTAATTATTCTTGATAGAATATATATATATATGATATTCATATTATTTTTCTTTTCATTATGTGAACAATTATATTCTTGCTTTTGTTGTTCTCTGATATGAATAATTTTGATGATAATATCTTTTCAGACATTCGTTATATTAGACAATAATATGATATAAATAGTTTATAAGGTATCGAATTTTGAATGATATAAGGATGTGCATGTATATATTATTTCTTCTGCTATTGAATGAAAAAGAGTGGGTGAGAGAAGTATGCATGGTAAAGATGAAAAGAAAAATTGCTTTGCTTAATAAATTAACCATTGAACATGAAATAAAGATCTTTTCTAAAATGATTTCAGAACTAACAGAGAATTATCTTGATTGTCTTATTATGAATGATTTTCAAGACGAATCTTTCTTATATAATTAAAAACTCGATTTTATATGTATGTATATATATATAGGTATAACTGGTGTTTCAAGAGATTTTTATCGTGAAGTAATTAAAGTTAATTATGAAGGTTTACGTAATTATTATCATACACCAACTGTATTATTACTTAATAATCTACCTCGACAATTAAATGAATATGATATAACTGTTCCTCAAAATTTTATAACTACATTAGAAAATATGTGGGATTATGTACCTGGTTCAGGTACATGCGAAGTATTTGTTTCTGGTGATGTTTCTGGCCCATTTTTCTTATTGGGTTATGATGAATGGTTAAATACAGATAATTTAATTCAACGTACAACTGCTCCAGCTGATTCAGGAATATTTGATTTTGCTATGATGATTTATAATCTTCGTTATATGTTACAAGGTAAATAATACTATAGCAAAATGAAAATTAATTTTCTAGATAATTTATATTTTATCATTAGGTCATGGTGGTCGTGCATTTGATCAAGAAAAATTAATGAAAGTTTTAACATTTGCTAATATGGAATATCTGCGTTTTATGGCAATGTATACTGGTGATAATCCAACTGAACCATGGCGCCAAGGTTCATTTAGTCAATTTGGTTTTACAAATGAAACATCTGTTGAATTAACATCATGGGCATTAATGACATTACGTGATGCTGTTTATCCTGAATGGGAAGAAAAAGCTTTATTTATTGATCCAAATCTTCGTGCAGATATTGTTGGTTTTCTTTTAACTGTTCAACAACCGAATGGTTCATGGGCAGAAATAACAACATATAGTGATAGAAATAAATTTGGTATACGTTATACAAATATAAGTGGAACATATCAACAATTAAATTTATCATTAACAGCACAAGTTTTAATTGCTTTACAATTAAATGTTGATGTACGTGGTATACCAGCCAAATTTTTAACAGGTGCTATTAATCGAGGAAAAATGTGGTTAGAAAAACATTTTCGTTTAATTACTGATGCATTTGATATGTCTATTGTTACTTATGCATTACATTTAACAAATAGTGCTGAACAAGATTCAGCTTTTGCAATGTTAATTTTATTTAAAAAAATGAGTATGTATATACATATATGTTATTTAATTTGATAATATCTATAAAAAAACGTTTGAATTTAGATGAAAATGGAATTTATTATTCAAATTTAAATCTGCCTGGTATGATGAAAACATGGCCGAATATTAATCCACGTTATGGTCCAAAACCAGTACAAACTGATTTAGAAGCACATGCTGTTGCTGCTACAGCTTTTGTAGTTATGACTTATACACAAAAGGCTCGAGTTAAAGAAGCCGAACAATCTGGTAAGTTTCTCATACATTTAATTCCATATTCATTAACTATATGAAGTCTCTGCACCTAAATAATTATAGACAAAAATAGATGAAAAATATAATGTAAAAAAAATAATTAATTATGAGAACAAATGAATTTAAGGTATAGAGATAGAAAGATAATATTAAAATATCTGTAAACAACTTCGCGAAGTAGTTGTTATGCTCTTAATTAGTAATCGTTGCTATGTGTGATGAACAGTAATTTAAAAGATAGATTATAGTATAACAAAATGAGTCATACAGATTATCAATTGAAGGTTTATCATAGATGAGAGTAATAGTAGTAGACTTATATTAGTGATATATAATAAGTGTTCATACCATTAAATAGCTTGTGTAAAATCATCTACTCAATATGCAAATATTGATAATAGAACATGACGAAATGTACGTAAAACTAAATTCTCAAATCTAATCAATCTTATTAAAGCAAATTTTCTTCATTTAAATAATGATTGTTTTTTTTTCTGTTTAGTCTTGTGGCTTCAATCAATGCGTAACTTTATTGGTGGTTGGTCTGCCACATATGATTCTTGTATAGCTCAACGTGCTATTGTTGGTTATGCTGTATTACGTGGTTTTGAAATAACTACATATAATATTCGTATAAATTTAACATCTTCATCATCAGTTGATCATCATCATGATCCAATTCTTATTACGGATGAAAATTTAATTGAAACACAAGTTCGAGATGTTGAAGATGTTTGGGGTGTTGTTTATATTGATGGTTTTGGTAATGGTTATGCACTAATTCAAGTCTGTATATTCGAATTTTGAAAATTTATTTCAATTAAAACTTTTTTTCTTCTATTATTTATCAGATGCATGTTGGTGTTAATGTTGAATGGGATAGTAAAATTCGTCGTCCAAATTATGTTCCATTTGCTGTTGATGTTCAACCAATGATGTCAGGTCGTAATTTTTCAACAATTGATTATAATGTTTGTCTTGGTTGGCGTCCTGAAAATATTGATGTTTTGAAAGCATCACGAAGTGGAACAGTGTTTATTGAAATACAAATTCCAACTGGTTATCGTGTTGAAGAAAAAGATTTGAAAATGATGTTACGTGGTTTATATACACGAAATTTACGTGAAGCAGAAAATTGGCCTGGACAAATTAATTTTGGTTTTGATTATATAGATTTTGATCCAATATGTTTTCAATTTCAAGCTAAACGTTGGATACCAGTAGCAAATATTTCACGTTATTATGAAGTACGAGCTTATGAATGGTATGAGCCTGGAAATATGAATCGAAGTGTTTATACATTAAGAAATTTATTTGCATTAGATATTTGTGAAGTATGATATTTATATATGAGAGAAGCGATTTGAATTTTTTAATAATTTTATTCTTTAAATTAGGTTTGTGGCTCATATCAATGTCCATATTGTCCATATTATAGCCATGGAACATTAACTATGCAATCGACAATGATAATTATTTTAATTCTTTGTTTATTCATACAATTATATATTATTATTACTTAGATATGAACAATTCATTTTTCACATTCCAATACTCGTTTATGTATATTAATTCAATTTATTACTTTTTTTTGTCTCTTTTATTAAAAAGTGAATCTCAATACGTCCATAGCCAATGAAGCTTTGTGCAAGAGTATCTCTCTTATTTGATCATATATAAAAATATTCTCTTTTGCTAATATGAATTATTAAGTGTGTATACATTCCACTTCTTTTTTTTTCTATGTGCTTTTTTTTATAAATCATTTTTGCTAAATAATAGACAATTATTGTTTTTTTTCTCTTTTTTTCTAAAATTATTAAATAAAATAAAATATGTAGTACGATTTTTAGATATGAATATTGAACGGGAATTTCCTTTACATGTGGCAATATGGAATAATGAAACAGAGAAATTAACAGAATTAATTAAAGAAAATAAAGTGAGTTATGTGTTGTAAAGAAAGAAAATTTGTATTGTAAAAAATAGATTATTTTATATTTAATGTGTAGAACAATAAAAATAAAAATTTCGTTATTTAAGAATAAATATTTCTTTTAGGATCGAATCGAACAACTTGATCCTCGTCATCGAACTCCCATACAATTAGCTGTATGTTTGGGTCGTCTCGATGCTGTTCGATTATTAGCACAGAATGATGCTGATTGCAATGTTGTTTCAAAAGATGGATGGAACTGTATGTTTTCTTGTATTTTATTTGATAACTTTTTTTTACAAATTATATATTTATGTAGTATTGCAAGAAGCAATAGCAACTGGTAATCCAGCTTTAGTAAAACTTGTAATGAAATATCGTAATTATCAAAGAAATATGCAACGTATTCGTGGTATTCCAGATTTATTACGAAAATTGAAAGAGGTAAAATAAATCATAAAGTTTTTTTTGTCATTAATTAAGTTTCTTTCTTTGTCTTCTTTTTAGTCACCAGGTATGTGAAATTATGGTTGGTAATTATTCATAGATTGAATATTTATTTTAGATTTTTATGTTGAAATGAAATGGGAATTTTCTAGTTGGGGTAAGAATCATGGGGAAAAAAGAGAAAAAAATAAGAAAAATGGTTTTTGTTATTTAGTTCCTCTAGTCTCAAAACTCTGTCCAAATGATACTTATAAAATTTATAAAAGTGGTAAGTGATAGATCTAAAGTTTTAACAAAATCTATCTTTTATTCGATTATTATTCAAGGTCCAAATGTTCGTGTTGATACTACATTACTTGGCATCGAAGGCACTAGTTGGCAACGAGGAAATCGAACATTTATCTTTTCATTATTAGGTAGATTATCTTCTTTTTTTTTAAGAAAAAAATAATTATGAAGTTATTTTTTAGCTGATTGTGCGAAAATGATTGATATTGATCATGAAACAAAATCAGCATATAGTGAAAATTTAAGTATACCAGGTGAAGAAGTTATTCTTCTTGAACCAAATATGGATCAGATCGATGGTAAACTTATATCACCTAATTTAACCGGTATATTGTCTAGTTTGATTTTTTTTGTTTTTTTATTGGAATTTTCATTTTGTTTTAGTCTATCTTGATGTCGATAAAATCGAATTTGAACGGTAAAATAACAAAAAAATTTCAGAAAAAACAAAAATTTATTTGGCTTTTTTAGAAGTAAATCAGGTGTATGGGGAATGCGTAATGAAAAAACTGAAAATATCAATGGTTATCAATGTAAAGTTTATACAGCGAATAATTTTGAACTTGTTACACGTACACGTATTGAACATATGTCACCAGATGATCGACAAGCTTATGAAGCTGGACATGGATCAAATAAAAATTTTCTTGGAGGAGTTTTCAATTTTCTTGAATCATCAGCATCATCATCAAGATCAACAGCAACAACAGCAGCAGCAGCAACAGCAACCAATTCATCAGCAATGAAATTATCAAACGTATAGATTTCAAAACATTATAATTTTAATCTTCTTATCGTTTTGTTTATTTATTTTAAAGGATCAAACAAAAAATGTTGATCAATCACCTATTACATTTGAAGAATATTTTAATAGTCGAGTTGATCTTAAAAATAAAAATATTGGTCGGCCACGAGAAGAGAATGTAAAAATTCAAACATTTAATGCTCAAATATCTCTTTGTGATGAATATCCACTTAGTCTTCAAGAACAAATTCTACCTATTATTGATCTAATGGCAATAAGGTTATTATTATTAATCAATATATGAAATAAAATTTATTTCTATTTTTTTTATTTTTAGTAATTCACATTTTAAAAAATTACGTGATTTCGTTACACTTCAATTACCCAATGGATTTCCTGTTAAAATTCGTAAGTAAAATAAATTATTTTGAATAAACTAAAAAACGATAAATTATTTGTAATTTTTCTAGAAATTCCACTCTATCATGTTCTTACAGCTAAAGTAACATTTGGTAATATACATGGTATTGATAAAGCTGTTGAAGGTGTATCAACAATAAAAGAAAATTCAATTTCATTTTGTGCTGTTGATGAAAATATCTTTGCTGTACCAGCTGGATATCGTCGTCAAGGTTTGCAAATATCAAAGATATTAATTAACATATGAATGATTTCCATTTTTTTTTGTCTTAGGTGAAGGTGAAGGTTTTCATCCAATGATGTATATGGATGATGATGCTCTATTACAAATGGCTATTGAAAGAAGCCTTCTAGATGGAAATAATGAATCTGCTCCAGATAATGATGGAGGTATATCAGCAAATCAAGTTACATTATATGAAGCATTAGGTCATTCAGGAGGAGCTCGAGCAACTAGACCAGATACGAATAATCGTTATGTAGATTATGATTTACAACGGTAAAAGATTGACTTTGGAAAAAAAGATAAATAATATTATTTTATTCAATTTAGTGCTTTGGAAGCTAGTTTATTAACATCAGGGTTAAGTGAAAAAGAAATTGAAGATATTCGAAAACAAGAACTTGAACAATTAGGAACTGGTGGTGCTTCATCAAATAATATATCTACAATTATGGAATTATCCAAACGTGAGGAAGAAGCTCGACTTAATCGATTACGTGAAGAAGAAGAAGAACTTGAAAAAGTATATTTTTTAATTAAAATAATTTTCATTATTTCTTATAGAATCAGAAGGAATTTACCTATATTCCGATTATTAGAATCTGTTTAGTATTATCTTCATTAATTGATCGACGCCTCAAATAAAAATAACAAAATAGAAATTTGAGTATTATCCTCAAGCATTAATCTTGCATGACAAGAATGTCAGTACATATAGAAGATTATGTATGAATAATAAAAATTTTTTACAAAGGAATACCAGTTGATCGTCATTAACATAATAGAATTACTCGATAAAAGCTTTTTTAAAAAAATTCTTTTCTTTTTTTGTATTATAAAATCTCTAATATAATCATTTTGTATTTTAGGTTCTCCAATTATCACTTCAAGAAAAATAGAACAGATCGAATCTAATCTTTGTCATGTGCATAAAATAAATAATAACAATGTGTTTTTTTTTCTTTATGGTTAATTATTTCATTTCTAACGTGAAAAAACTTTTATTTTTTTTCTTAATTTATTTGTCTGTCAGCCATAATTATAAATACATGTAAACATACTTATAATCGAGAAAAATCAAAACAAAAAAAAAAACGACAATTTTCAATTCATTCTTATTTTTAAGATAAATTAAATGTCACCATCACCAAAAACGCCTGAAGAAAAAAAATTACCAGATGATGATGATAATGCTTCAAACGAGGAATTATCTCATCCACAATTTCATATGCATCATGAATATAATGCTTCATCTGATGAATCAGCAGCAAATTCTGATGCTGATGAACATGATCATAATATAGATTCAAATGGTTATTGTTTATTACCACAAGAATCTGTTATAAATCAACAAGAAAAACAATATGATAATGATGATGATGATGAAAATGGTGACGATGATGATGAATTTCTTCGTTTTGCTACACTTCGAGTGCTTTCAACAACTGATGAAAATCGAACTTTACAAATATTAAATCCAACAATAGAATCAGTTTGGACATCAAAGGTCGAATGTGAATCATTTCCTGTTGATGATGATAAAGCTAATTATATAAAAAATCTTATGTCGTCAATAAAATTACCTGAATCAAGCATACCAGCATGGGCGCAATTTTGTACTGAGCAAGATTGGCAAGAAAAATTACGAGAAAAAATTACATGCCGACAAACAACTTTTTTTCCTAACGAAAAACAATAAAGAGAAAACAAAAGATCTATTCTCTATGTATATTTTATTTTTAATAAAAACGATAACCGAATATTAGACGTAGAAGGATTTAATATATATTTCATCTATGTAATTTGTAATATGAGAAAATCAGTAGAAAGAAAAGAATGAAGTAAGGAAGCAAAAATGTAATTATTTGTCAAGAAAAGAGACAGACAGAGAGAGTGAAAAAAAGTGAATATTATGAATACATATATACATACATATTCATTTAGTCATGTTTTTTTCTATTCGATCTTTAAACGACATTTTTACTTTAAATCGTCTTTAAAGTTCATCGAAAATATTTGTTTGCATACGTAAATGTACGTACGTTTTGTAAAACTCAATTATAACAATAACAACAACAAAAACATATCGGATGTCTTCAATTACGGTAAAACTGAAAATGAAATTTTTTTTTAATCTTATTATAGTGATTATATTATAAGGATTCATTAAAAATGATTACATATGTGTTGGTATAAATACTTTTTCATTAATAAATATAACATCAACAAGATGAAGATATATATATATATATATATATATCTATTTATCAGAAAAGACAAAAAAAAATCAGAAGAATCTGTAGCGTAGGAATAATTGAATTGCAGAATCATAATGATGCTATGCATGCAAATAGGCCGACTATCAATAGAGTATTTACATATCTGTTGATAGGACGTTGAAATCCCTAACGCAATTTGCGTTTTTTTGCTTTTTTTTCTGACATTGACAAAATGAATGCACTATTTTCAATAATAAGTTTTTCTATGCTATTTACATTATCTAAATAATAATAATAAAACGAAAGAAATAACGAGTTATTCTAAGTTTGCTTATTGAACTCCATATAATCTTAGTTCATTGACCTTCGAATAGATTATATTTACTTAATCATTCTTTCCTCTTTTTTCCCGACTGTGTTTCTTTAATAGTGTGTGTATATATATATATGTGCATGTATGCTTGTAAATGTGATCAAGCGCAAATTTCTAATCAACTATTTGAGTTGGATCAATCAAAATCATTTTTTTTTCTTTTTCCCTTTTTTTATTACAGTCATCGTCTGTACCACGACGACCATACATTGGTGCACATCGTAATCGGCATTATATTAATAATTCTCTAACACCGACATTATCATTATCAAATGATAATTCTTTATCGGCCACTTCTTTATCTAAATCAATTCAATCAACTGAAAAAAATGATTTGTTAAATAAAGAAGTAACAGATATTCTACAAACGCAACAGGAAGAAAAAACTTCAGTAGAGCAATTCTCATCTACAACTCTACTAGACGAACGGCAACTTCACCAGCAACAAGAGCAGAAAGCAAAAGGTTTTTTGCCGTCATCATCATCTTCCTCACTTTCCCTCTTTCCAACGACTCACAACGTTACGCCTCTATCTTACTACGACCATTCTCCTCCTTCTTACGCCAAAGAACAACAGCACTTTCATCATCCTCCTCATCAATACGAACAACATTCATACTGGCAACTACCACTAAGTAGTGAGAATAAAAACAATCAATTTTTACTGTTAGAAGATTCTCAACCGCAAATAGAAGAACGGCAAAAACACAAACAATCGCCGACAAATTCTTTGTCAATTCGTAATCAAAACGTTGAATTAAGTGACATACCCGAAGAAAAGAATTCATTTTCGTCGTTATTTTCTTTAAGTGACACTATTGTACAACATACCGACAACCATAATCAATCTAATCGTATTACATCAACACCAATTCTTTCTTCTCTTACATCTTATCGTTTAACCACAGATAAGAACAATTGCCCTTCATTGACATCAGACAAAAACAATAATAGCAAATCATTCCCTGTAATATTAGATAATTTACCTGATCAATCGTCTTCGATATCATCAGACAATTTTCTAACTAATTTTCAAAATACAACTGATATTAGAAAATTAAATAATATGTCTTATTTATCATCATCAGTACGGCATTCACCATTAATATTACATCCATATGATCAACGAATAAGTGATCAAGGTACGAAATATATAATTCAACTTAAAACCGATGAATATCAAGAAAATGAATTTATAATAACACCACGTTCTACACTTAATCAATTAATTATTGATGCTAAACATCGTGAAGAAGATAGTTCCGGTGGTTATATACATCGTGAATTACGTAAAATCTTTATTATTCCAAAACATATCGATTTAAATCAGTATGCATATACATATAATAAAACTACACAAGAATTAACTATTGAAATGCCATATTTAAAAACTCCCTCTATTATTAACGAAAATAAAAATGATTTATCAATAAATTCAACTGTTCGTAATAAAACGGAACCACCATTAACATATTCTTATGAAAATCGAAATCATAGTGAAAATATTTTGCCAACAAATGTAACTCGATCGAATTATTCTCATAATAGTAACAATATACACAGTACTGATACGACAACAACTGATTCAACATTATTGAAAAATTCCAATACAGCTGTTACACCAACATATGAAACATCAATTGGAAATACAAAACCATTTGATTTTGATGTATTTCATCGATCAGCATTTCGACCACAAATTGTTCGAACAACACCCAATGAGAAAAATATAACTAATAATACTAATGAGAAAAAATTATTAATGTCTTTAGATTTAAGTGATTATCAAGCTGAAGATATTAAAGTGACAGTTAAAGATCGTGATTTAATTGTTAATGCAGAAAGAAAAATTGAAAGTGGTACACGTAAATCTCGTTCATCATTTTATCAATCAACTAATTTACCACCACAAACTGATATTGAACATCTTCAAACAAATTTTATTGATGGAAAATTAATTATTGAAGCTCCTTATTTAGAACAAAATAATTCTGATCGTAGAATAAAACCTTCTATTATTAATAATATTAATAGTAGTGGTAGTAGTAGTAGTCATAATCAAGGATCTAACTGGTAAGGTATTCACACATATCTATATAACAAAATAACAGTTACTATCACACTTGTTTTAACAATAATCATTGTTCTTGCTTTTTGTTAGTTTATCTCCACATGTTCTATGTTATTTTGTAATATTTTTCACGATAATTATGCGTCTCTTTTGCATATATATTGCTTCTTATTGATTAACTTTTTTTTGTTTGTATATACAATTCATACTTTAATTCAGTAAGGAATTTTATTCTTATAAAATTTATATTAATTAAAATCGACTGTTTTCTCTTTTTTTGTTGTTGAATAGAATAAAGAAAAGAATGATATATTCTATTATCATTTCATTTATTCAATCCCAAGGCTAATATTCTTTCTCATTTCAATAATTCACATTTGCACATCTGCTTTTTGTTTTATATTTTTTTATACTAAAAAATGAAAGTGATTAATGCCAAGGTCTAATTCTTTTTACATTTTTAATATAAAACAAAATATTTTATTCATATATATATGAATCACTTATTCAATCCATCAGTAAATAAGTATGTATATTTACTTTAAAAATTGTTTATGTTAACGATTAATGTTCATTATTTTTACCTTGACTTTTTTTTTAAACATATGCATATACATATATATATACGATGTTTTAGGCGACAAATAAGTGAATCATATGGAACATCCACCATCGATGATTTATTTCAACATCGAACAGCGACATTTAAAGAATTTGTTCGCGTTCGTGGACTACGAACTCATTTCTCAAGTTGATGTGCAATCAATCATATCAAACATTTATATGTGTATTGAGATAAGCAGGAAAAGAACCAGATGATGTATCTGCATATGTTTCTTTATTCATCTCTTTGCACACATACAGACCTTATTCCGGTGATTGTTAATATTATTCTTCTTCCTTCATCCCTTTCACACAAAAAAAAACTACTCTAATCATATTAATACATCAAACACTAAGCACAAATGCGCATCACAACCACCATTCACAATTATATATTTTTTTTCACAATCATCGTCATCAAAATTTAGCCTAGCGAAATGTTTTCTATTGGTATTATTTAATAAATCATATATAATTCAGACTGATTTTTATAAGTAAAAAATAGAGATACATATTGTCAGACTAAACCTAAATTTAGCTTTATTTCGATTATATGCAGTCATGAAATATTTAATAATACTTCTATATATATACATGTATAGCTATATTTAAGTTATTCGTTTTTCTTGCATATTATTGTATTAAATTATGATAATAGATATAAAATCGACTGTGAAATTAATCAAGCATGATTGTTATATTTATAGTTATTAATTATTGGTAAGCATTGATCACTTTCGCTATGTTCCACTGATTAGTTTCAAATAACATGTAATCAAAGCTCGTATTTCGAGAATGTTATTCACAGAGGAAATCAATTTTTCGAGAAAAATTTTTTTTTCAACAAATATCGTAAGTATTTGATGAAAAATAATAGGTAAATATTAAGTGTTTTTGTTTTCTATATAAACTAACTCCAAAAGAAAAGTAAAACAGTCTGTAAAAATAGATCAAGGACATACATTTGTTGTGTTTCATATATTTGGAAAGAAAAAAAAAAAGTAATTTTTTCATCAGTAAAACTTCTATTTCTCTCAGTTTTAATGTCATACTCAAGGTGGTTTAGATGGAAAAAAAAGAATAAAATATAACTAATCTCATAGCTTGTTTAAAATATAAGACTTATCATTATTTCCGATTATGTCTATTATAAATATCATGAAACAACATTGGAATTTGTCAAAGAGAATCCAACATACATATCCTACAGCTTATAATAAACAACCTATTCATCTTTGTTTAACTAATTTCAAAGGTATATTTAGTAAAATCATATTAAAGATTTAATTACGCATATGTATGAATGGATAATTATTAACGTCATTCGTTTCTTAATATGACTATTAGTTTATAATAAATATGTTTTAAAGATTTTTTTAAACGTCTATGTAACAATAAAGAAGATTGTATTTTTAATTACGTAAAAGTTTTATATATATATATATTTATGCCACTTAAAGTACAACAGATTTACCAATTCCTTTTGAACAAAGAAAAACGTAAATATGAAGTATATGTTGAACTTTCTTTGAAAGAAAGAAAAAGGAAAAAACATTATTCACGCATCATGTCTTTTTCATTAGCATTCACTCATATTTTCATTAGTATGAAGTAATAGCAACACGAAGCATGCTATTGTGACATACACTAATTACGCATGTTTGTATTAAAATGCATCCATCGTTCTTTAATCGCGGGATGATACTGATAAATATGCTGATCATTGCCTAAAATTTTAGACCATTCACCAAACTAAATCTTTCAGGTTGCGTCAGAGTGCTCTTCTTTTTTGCTTCCGAGTATTGACAAAATATTTATCTAAGACACGTCTTTGTCATTGTCATTCACGAATTCCTAGGAGACATATACATTTATCGCTGTTTTATATAGCTATTTTATTTTTTATGGAAAGAAAAAGAGAGATGCAACAATACTATTCTTTTGTTCGATTATAGTAACAAATCAATTTTTGTAGATCATTTTTTCTTTGAAAAGCGAATATAGTCATACTATGATTGTCTTCGCTCTTTTTTCTAGAATATTTTGCCTGAGTGCTCATCAATTGTCAATGAAGGACGATATTCTTCTAATTGATTAAAACATTCAACTAGCCACCCACTCACTCACTTACTTAGAGCTCATCTATAGATAAAAAAAGAACTGTATTATATAAGTAAATCTCATATAGTTTTCACAACTGTCGCGCTCTTTTCATTGTTTGTCGTTATTAAAACCTTGGTCAATTGACACATTAGTTTATATTGTTGATAATCAAATGTGTTGACTGATAAAATACACTATCGTTAGTATTCTACAAAGTAAAAAAAAGACAGATGATAACTTTACGAGTAAAGATGAATATTTATCTTGAGAAAAGACGACCTATGTATATATATGTCTTTCAACGCAATATACATGATAGAATCAAATTTCTGTCGTCAATAACATCTTGTGTAGCTCGTTTTATAATCAACGAAGCATACTGCACAGAACATTATACGTCATTTTCAGAGTTTCTCTGCATTAAGAGTAAGTTATAATTTCATGTTGAATAAAACCTATTTGTTTAATGATTAGTTTCAAATGGATAAACATGAATAATAGTTGGAGAGATTATATAGAGAAAGACAATAAATATATTCTGACAGTTGTTTTTTTTTCAGTACCCGATAGATCGTTAATAAGTTTACTTTTTTTGATAAATAAACGAGTAAATTATGAGATTAGGATTGTATTATGTAACGAGCGGTGATGACTATGAAATACTTTATTATTAAAATATTGTAAGATAAATTTAAATAAGTACAACAATAAGAAAGTATCTTTTTCCTTTAATAGAATAACACATCTTAATAACAAAAAAAACGCTGTGATCCAAGAGTATAATGTGAGCAAAAAAAAAGAAAATTAAGTGAAAATAGAGAGACAGGAAAAAAAAAGAAAGACATCCGAGCTTTTGACGACATGACAGAGATGAACGATGAATGTTTTCAATACTCTTAAGAAACTTAAGGTACATCGAACTATAGTAACACTTCCTATTTAAAGATCACACATATCCACAATCATCACTAGAGTTTATATAAACATGTGTTTTCTGATTTTTTCTATGTCTAGCATTTTTAAAACGGAAGATATATTGCATTAACTCTTTAGAAAGAAAAATAATATATTTATCAAAGTAGGATGATGTCTCTAAATATATCCTTATGGAAAATAGCACATATTCTGTGTGTTAGTAGTATAAATCTATGTAAAAAATTTCGATGAACTTTCTAACTTGTTTTCCTCTTCAAAACCTTATAATGTCTATCATTGCATGGTTTGTAATCAGTCATAATGAGAATGATATATTAATAGATAAATATGAAAAGTTTATCGATGATATAAAACGAAAGGAATAAAAACGATATGTTAGTATTTGATCGATCTAGCAAAATGACAATAAATAATTTCATAGGATATATAGAAAAGAATCGTTTTTTTTATTGATCTTATGAGACAAATAATCTTTTTCTATTATCCATTCGATATATCACGTAGAATGATAAAATATAAATGTTTCCTAAGACCAAATTGTCTGTATTTAATCGTTATAAGAAGAAAATTAGTTTTGACAACGATATAATTAGATTGATGATGATAAACAAAAATAAAATCTGATTGAAAAAAATATTTTCTCTTGATATTTAGCCTTATTATATATTTATATAAATGATTAGATAGACCATCTGTTTTTTGTTTTACGATATAACACTCATTATATAATGGTTTTCTAGTTAATTTTTTGTTAGAAGTTTTTTCTTCTTTTCTTTCATTCTTAATCATCCAAAGAAAAGACGAGAGAGAGATATAGAAATTACTTTTAGTTTTTTTTTCTCTGCATCTATTCGCCCTCTTAATCTTTATAGTAGGAATGAAAGAAATGTCACAGTAAATAGATGTGTTTCTATGATAACTCTTATAGAAAGAGAAAAACTATTTCCATTTATTTCAGATATATTTATCAACACAAAATGATTTATAAATATGAAAATATCGTTTGATCAATTATTACTGTTGTTTAATAGTTTTAATCATCGAACAACAGAAGGTTCTATTTTGTTTTCATACTTAATTTTCTTTTGATCATGTTTTATTGTCAACAAAAGAAAAATATAATAAGTATATATAATAATTATGGGCGACTTGACAATTGCTACGCTATGTCAAGCACTTGCAAATATAACTAATAATCGTTGTAGTTTTATTGAAAAATTAAATACATGTCGATGTTTTGATGAGATCATGACTCAAAGTATGATAATTAATATTAAGTTTTACCTTGAAAAAAATATTCTTCTCTCTGTTTTTTTATTCTTAGAACCAGTAACCGTTATTAATTCTGCACCTAACATAATGTTAAGTGAAGTATTTTTAATTTTTTTTGTTTTGGCATTATGGCTATCAGCTATTGGATTTTGTTTAAATCAATATAAATCACTTCGTCGTCTTGAAACTCAAGTACATTATTGTGGTAATCGAAAAGATCCATTAAATATTGGTGATATTAAAATAGTTGCACGTGAACAAGATTCAATAATATATCATAAAAAACGTTATTCAACTGTTATTGATACACATATTAATCCTGATGATTTAAAAGCTATGCAATATGTTACAGAATATTTACCAAAAAATGTTTCAACATTAGCACCACCCCCACCACCGCCATCATCACCATCATCAATTATGACAGGTCTTGTTATCGGTCGAGAAGATCTTACTGCTAATATACCTTTGTCAATAACATCATCTATATTTAATACAACAACATCATTACCATCAACTCCTTATACTCCATTGACTACACATAATGAAATAGCTGAAGATCAACAATCACCATTAGAATCTGCATCATCATTTACATCTTTTGTTTTAATTGAAACAAATGCTAATAAATCTATTGGTCGTACATCTTTTGCTCGTCTAACAGGTAAAAACCCAACGACGATAATAAGAATAAGTTTTTTTTAAAGTCGTATATGCCAATTATAGAATTTTACTACACTCATAACATAATTGTGTTTTCATGTTAAGAAGAAAATAATGATCACAAATCCTCTATCTCTATAAATACTCGACACGTCATTAAGCTTAACAAAAACTACGTTCATGGTGATGTGAAGATTTCCGAGAAAACATCTTTTCATATTTATATTCTAACCAATATATCAAATAAACATCATAATCATTTGAAATAATGACATACATTTAGAATGTAATTTTTAGAATTATTACAGATATTTTCTTGTTTACAATAGCATACTTAGAATATCTTCTTTTCCTCTCTTGAAAAATGTCCTTAAAGATAATGTCGATTTAGAAAAAGTTTCAATATTTAATTTATTAAGATTATATATTTGAATTATAGAAATAGAAAACTATATTCAAATTTCTGGTTTATCATGTTAATTCTTTGTTTTTATTCGATAGTCTACCTCAATAGAGTTACAAATAAAATTGTTTAGAATTCGAGTAAAGAAAAATGTTTTTACTTCATATTATTACTTCTGGAAAGTCCAGCTGAATAATTTTTGATTTACAAAGTATCCTACAATACAATATTCCTAATGTAGTCATTTAGCTTAAATATAGTTCTAATGTAATTGTGTTTATAAATAACGATAATATTTATTATATATATTCCTGCGATATGGTTCCTAATGCCTTATTATGATAAGAGAAAAAAACATAACATGGGTCATAGAGTTTCCAATAGACATGAATAGAACAAATAACTTCTTTTTCTTATTCTCTTTGAGTTAATGCTTTGATTCATATCTAAGTGTTGTTATTGTTGTTATAGTTGTTTTTGACTCAATTTATTTTTAGTGTTTAAATTGTTGTTTTATAATTGACATAACAGCTGTTCCTATCAGATAAATTTGTACATGTCAATAAATCTTGACAAAAATATGTTTAGGAAGAAAGATTTGAAAAGATTATTTTGTCAATGTAAAAATAGAAAAAATTCTTATTTTTTTGTTTTGTCGTCTACATAAGTAACAACAAAACAGAATTTGATCTTAAAAATAAAATCAATACAACATTTTTGTTTTGTTTTTCTAGAAAGTGGTCAGGTAAAAACAGGTCTTACTGTTCCACGTCTTTCTGCAACAAACAGTTTACGTTCATCTTGGAATGATACATCTATATATGAGACAAGTCGTTCTGCACAACATTTATCGGTACCATCGAATAGTCTTCGATCGACTCGTTTTTCTGATGGTAATATAGCTTTTGGTATTCCTGGCGCTTCACAGACAACTTCAGAAAATCAAGATGAACAATTACTTGATCCTCGTCTTATACCGAGAACAGTTCGTCGAAGTTTATTAGCTTTACATCGTGAAAGTCATGAAAATATAAATATGCAACGTACGAAAGAAAAAACTCAATCAGAAAATGATGTACACGGCTCATTTACACCTTGGAAAATAAAAATGAAATCGAAATTAAAACGTACTCATCATCATCATCAACAAAATCAACCACAACAACAACAACAACAACAAACTCGAGAATATTCAAATACACTTTCAACTTTACCTACATCAGGCAAAAGTAATGAACATGGACGACGTGTATCAGAATATGGAACAAGAAAACAAGAATATCGATTTTCAACACCACCATTACGTTACTATTCTCTATCAAGACATCAATCAATGCGACGAAGTTTAAAACATTATCCAAAATATTCAACACAAAGTACAACAGAAAGTGAAACAACAACAACACAAGGTGAAACATCAATGATGATGACAAATATGTATACATCACCCAATGATAATAAATCAACAAAAACAATCGATGAAATAGATGGAGAATCACCACCGTTAACATCTACATAAATTTTTTTTCTTTTTACATGTATTTATTTCTTGTTTTTATTTATATAATTCCGGTGAATACGCAATTTTTTTAAAAATGTATAATTACATACAGAAGCTGCAAGTTTACTAACACATAAGTGTAAGAAACCCTTATAAAAAGTGATTTCATTGGAGAGAATAATATCGAATTTTTGTTTTTCTTCTCAGACAAGTTTATTTCGTACAGCTAATGTCATGATTTTTTGAATTTTGTTTTTTCTCTCCAGTCAATCGATCATTCGGCACTGATATAATTAATTCTATTGGTATTGTGTATGCCGATAAACTAAAGTACCGTAGTGAAATATGAATACATACGATAAACGAATGTAAAAAGAATAAGAAAAAACGGAATAGACTGAAAATATGATTAGCTTTCGTTCTTTCTTTTTATGTACAAAGTAAATAATGTAGGCATTTAAAGCATCAGAAAAAGAAAATAATGTGACGACAAAAACAAGAATATTCACATCAAATCACTACTTCTTTTTCTCGTACAAGTGACAACGCATAATTCTGTAAGAGAATATGCATCGAGTATTGCTCTTTAAACTTATAATTATTTTGGTTATATTAACCTTCTCACCTAATGTTCAAGGATCATCTTGCACTCAAAATGGTAATACGTTACAATGTTCCTTCACAGGTCCTTCAACAATCAATACAAATTCTATTCCAATTGGAATCAATTCACTTAATATTACATATAGTGGATCTACCAGTTTAAGTATAATGGCACCATCAACAGTAACTTTAATTCAAATAAATCCTGTTGATACCAATGACAATCATACAATTCAAATATCAAATATAAATACTGGTACAGCACGTATTGAGATAAATATTCGTCTCTCAACCAATCAAGTTTTATTAACATTATTTACACCAACATGTTCTATTCTCGCATCAAATAGTACTATACGTATTCATGTCATACAAACAATTTCCGATGCAGCTAATTTCAAAATATTTGATAGTTCAAATACAGGAACAATGAATTTTGGTACTTATGAAGTTATTTTTGATCAAAATAATTCAAATTCTGGCGTAAGAAAATCTTATCAATAAATTTTATTTATTATTTATATTTTTTTATTTTTATAGACTTTAAATTTTCCAAATCTTATTTGTGGATTAAAAAATATTTCAAGTATAATTATATCTGGTAATAAACATTATCTTAATGTTCAACAATCTCAAATGGCGTCACCTATTAGTATTTATCGATTAGCATTAAAAAATCTTCGTTTATATAATCAAGTTTTATATAATGTTAATAATCTACATGAATATTTGATTGAAGGATGTGATTATAACAAAACGGCACAATTTTTAAATTCTAATCAAGATAATAATATATCATTAATCATGAAAAATAACAATCCATTAGATTTAACATTACCAAATGGTGAAAATGCTTTTAATGTAGCAAATGTAAGATTTATAAGTATAACTCTTAATGAACCAAAATTGAATTCATCATGTTTAAATACAATTAAAGGATCAAAATTAAATCTTATAACATTAGTTCTCAATCTTGGTTCTTATTCCGCCGATGATTTTGAGGAATGGAAAGAAGAAAATCCTTATTTTTGGTATTTAACAATAATGAATATTTCAACATTAGATATATTTCCATCGAAATTTTTCAATAGCTTAGATGCTTTAGTTCAAACAACATTACAAGGTACATTTAGTCTGGAAAAAAATCATATATGCATTTTTGCTGGTTTTCCTATTCCGGCTAGACCAGTATCTCCTCTTCTAACATTATCTTCTTCAGAAAATCCAGGAGAGTGGGATAAATGTGCTGATACTTATATAAAAGCTATTAATCAGAGATCAATCGAAAATGTTCAATGTCCTAACGAGAATACTTGTCAAGATTGTGCCGATTGGAGTCAACTTGCACAACTATGCTCTCTCACTACATTTGAAAATCAATGTGAAGACACTACAAGAGCCACAAATAACCCATTTTACTATAGCAACAGTTATTTGTATAGTTTCTTTCAAAATTGTTCATGGTTAGATCGACCAACATGTTCAGCAGTAACACCATCATCACAACCAAATTCAATGAATATTGGTGCTATTATTGGTGCAGTATGTGGTCTTATTGTAGCTATTGCAATTCTTGGAATTACAATTTTTTATATTTATCAATCACGTAGAAAACAAGCAGCTAAAAATTTAGGATCAACATCGAAGGAAAAACCTGGACATTCAGCATATGACTCAACAAATGTGTCGGTAGCAACAAGTAAAACATCTCAATCATCACGTTATGCACTTCAACATTCATTTTTTCCTCCAATACAACCAAATGATGAAATAGCTCCACCACTTTATACTGCACCATCAGAATCGATTGCTCCTACATCACCTTATAATTTCCCACCAGCACCAAGTGCTCCTCGTGATAGTATTTCAACTCATGCAACACATGTATATGAAACAGTTGACAATTAAAAATAATCAAACTATATATTTTTTTAATTCTTTAAATATAATCATTTAAAAATATATTTCTGCTATTCCATCTTCAGGTTCTACATTTGTACCAATAATAAGTGATTGTTGAAATCTATTGAGTTTCAATGGTTTTATTTCACCAGAATAATCTTCACCTAGAATATAGAAATTTTTTATTTGAATCATTTCTATTTTTCATACATACTAGCAGGTATGATTTGTAATGGCCAATGTGTACATGATGTTCTTTGTCGAACACAGTTTTCTCTTAGGCTACGAAATTCTTCTATGTTTTCATATTCAATCATATCAGGTTTAAACATCGATAATGGACTCATACAAATATAACAAACAACACGTAACAATTCTGATTGATTGGATTTTTCTTTAGGAATCAATGCTGGTGTATTACAATGCATACAACGTGAATCCCAAACAACAAGATCACCTGCTTTACATTTAATTAATCGAGGACGAAGTTTTTCAAGTAATGGATATTTATAAGGAACTCTTAAATAATCAGGGTATAGACGTTTTTCGTCAGTTGTTGATTTTAATTCAAGAAAATGTTTGTGTGAATCAGGTACAACAACAAGACCACCTGTAGATTCATCAGCATCAGTTAAAGAAACAAGGCCTTGTATCGAACATCGATTAGGTTTTGTGAATGGATTCTAAAAATTATTTGACATAGAAAATAGAAATTAAATAATACGTTATAATTTACCTGATCCATATGATACCAACCACCTGCTGTTTTCCAGTTTTTATTTAAGCGCCAGTCACGAAAACAACCAGCTCCATCGAATGAAACAAATAATTCATTCGAATTCCAAATATGAGAAAATACTTTTTTAATATTTGGATTTCCACGTACAAACCACATAAATTCAGATTGACCTATACCTTCGTCATTTACTAAACCGTTATGTGGTATTCCAGGCCTATATTTTAAAAAATTACAACCATTAAGTTTACATTTCAAAGAAATAAAAAATTTACCATGGTTTATTCCATGTTTGAGGATTATCACGTCGAATATGATATGGTACTTTTAAATTTTCAAAATGTTTCCAAAGTAAATCTATGCCAGTATTAATTTCATCATTAGAAAGTATATTACTAAATACAGCATAACCATGTTCATCGAGATGTGAAATACCTTGTTGAATTTCATCAATATTCTCAACAGAAAAACGGGGAGAATTAACTTCATAATCCACTTCTACATCTTTCGGACTCTCAAATTTTGGTGTATTCATTTGATTTAATAATATAGAAGAAATGATCTGATCTATAAAAAATATCAAAGTTATTTTATACGATAAATTCCACTTTTGCCAACGATTAATTTCTCACTGAAAGCCCATACAAACTGAATATAATCGATCTTATAAGTAATAACTGTATATTGAATAATTAGTCCATCATAGAAAGTTAGTTGAGAGCCACCTGACTTGGAGACCGTCCCACTCGAAGATCAACTGATCTGGTATCATAGACTAACTATCCAAAACACAACTGTTGCCTATAAGATTGATTTGGTGAATTTTATTTTCGACAAAGGTAGACTGAATCATTTTACATCGTATATATATATTCACTTTTTGTATTCAAATAAAAATGCTTAACTTTCTTTAATAAAGATATCGCCATATCTATAAAATAAGTTGATGTGTCCGCCACGTATTATTTTTATGTTTTCTGAAAGCATTTGACATCTGACTGATGATTCATACAATGCTTTTACTCAACAAAAGGAAAGAGGTTTATATGTTGAAATACGCACTTATAGGTTTACTCAAAAGGTAAAAACATCTAATTCGCTTCAAACGATTTACAAAGAATATTTTTATATGTAAAAATTAATTCGTAATAACAAGCAGATAAATATCTATAAATAATATGTTATTTATTGCGTATTTTTTTTATCTCAAAAATAGAAGATTTATAATCTCAACAAGCTTCAGAATTGATTATAAAGTTTATAAATAGTTACCGTACAAAGGCGACATCTAATTGATTTTCATCAAGCTAGAGTCAAGGTAACATCATAAATGAAATTCTCTTTTGCTAAATCTATTTGTTTATTATTTGTATTCAGATGTTCTCTAGATCTTTTCCTATAATTTTTTGTTAAATTTTTATTGTAGATGGCTGCCATTGCAAATCGTGTCACAGCTCTTGTGCCCAAACTTGCTCTTCGTAAGATTACATTATTTTTCTTCTTGTATGTATTGATAGACTTTATGTTTAGCTGTAGCACGTTATGGACAATCAAAATTATCTCGTTTTTGGTATTTTGCTCGTGTTGAATTACGTCCACCAATGCCAAGTGAATTTGGTCAAGTTCAACAAGGCCTTCAACAAATAGTTAAATCAGCTTCGTCCAGTGGATGGCGTCAATTGACTGTTAAAGTATATACATTCATTTTTTTATTTAAATTAATTTGTATTTTTTTTTATATATTTAGCAATTTGCTTTAAACTCACTTGTCGGTCTTGAAGTAATGTTCTGGTTTTATATCGGTGAATGTATTGGTCGTGGTAGCATTATCGGTTATCGACCAGGTCGCAGTGAAGGTATCCCAGCTCCATACAAATACTTCATGTGATCCATGATATAACAAAAACCTAACTAGTTGGTAGACAAATAAATCCTTCCTTTACTTTATAGCACAGTGACCAACGTCAACGGTGTGGTTTTTTTTCTTCGTTCCTTTTGTCATCCATTTATTTCATCTTTAGTTCATTTTAAATAAAACCGTAACATATAAAACAAAACGAGATAATTTAAGACATCGAAGAATATTTACTTAATTCTTCTGTATTTTTTAGATGTCGTAAAGTATTGAAATGAATGAAACATTCATGGTCCATACCGGAATAAATCATGAAAATGGTTTATCAACAGATAAAATACAGCTTCAATTAAAAACAACATTAAATGACGAACAATCTTCAACGAATCAAACACCATCATTACAACTTGTTATATTACCAAAAAATCAAGATGATATTGTGGTAAATCAAAAAAAAGATATTTTTTTTCATTTTTAATAAAAAATTTTAGTTTCCGAATGTAATTGATCTTAATGTTGGTGGTTTTCACTATACAACAAGTCTATCAACATTACGAAAATATGAAGATTCAATGTTAGCAGTTATGTTTAGTGGTAGATATGAACTTGTTCGAGATAAAGCTGGTCATATATTTATTGATCGTGACGGACGTCACTTTGGGTAAGATAATAAATCAAAATTTTTCATTAAAAATATATTATCCTTCCATATAAGAAAGAAAAAACGATTAGTTATTCTTTTCTTCTTATTATTATTATATAAATATAATGTGTAAATCCCAAATGAAACATTATTTATTTTAGTCATATTTTAAATTATATTCGTTGTGATCAAATGCCACCTGAATCAGTAACATTAGATGTATTACGTGAAGCCGAATTTTTTTGTATTAGTTCATTAATAACTAAACTTGAAAGTTCAAGTCCATGTGTTATTGCATTACGTCGACGAGAATCATTTCGTCGTCTTATACCTGATTATGAACATATGAAAATGGATATTATTAATAAATCAGCAGAAAAACATTCATCATTTCAAGAATCTCGTGTTGTTATAACACAACTTGATCATACAAAATTAAAAGGAACAATACCTTGTTATAATTGTAGTCGAGAATTTGTAACAGTCAATCATGGTAAATTAGAAATTTTCTATTTCTTTTTTGTATATATATTTTCTATTTTTTATTAGCTTGTGCTTTTGATGGTCTCACAGCTGATATACAAATTCAACAACAATTAAAACCTATTCAATCAGATATTCATATTGATATGGACAAACTTGTTGCGTAAGACGAAAAATAATTTTCTTTGCCGAAAAAAATTCAATCGTTTTATTTCTCATAGCTTTGTTGTTGACGAATTAGTTCATGATGGTTTTAATGCTTCAAGTGAACGTGTAACATGTCGTTTTAGTGTTCGATGTCAAAGTTGTACTCTTAGTGGTTTATATACAGCTGGTGGAATTTTAGCACCACGAGAATGTCATAATATTGCTCATGTCATTAAATTTATCTGGTCATAAACGAATTCTTTTTATTTTGTTTGTTTGTTTGTGATAAGTGATTTATTATTGGTATTCAGCATGTTTTATTCTGGTCAAGATCATGTGCGTTTTCTTTCTTTCTTTCTTTTTTTTGTAATTCTCTAGCGAAATGTTTTTTCTTTCTCTCACTCATTTTTGAAATTGTATTGTAATATTTTTCTTTTTAAAATCTATTTGACAACAAAAATGAAAAATATATCTATTGTATTTACTTTTTTTGTTTTTGAATGTATATATATATATATATATATAGATGACAAGTGAATTTAATGATCATATTGAAAAATTTATTAATTCATTGAATGAAAATTTACCCGAGATATATTATCAAGCATTTGATTTTTCAAGTGTAAATGATAGTCGAACACAGTTAATGCAATTGAATTATGATAAAAATAAAGTATCATTTCTTAATCTTGAAATGGTAGGTTAGGATATTTTTATTTCGGATAAAATATCTTAGTTATTTTATTAGATTGCGGATATGTTTCAAGTATTTACTGCGGTTCATAGTGCACTTGAAACAAATTCATCAAAAGATTTTGGTGTTGAAGTACCACATCGTTTATCAAATACAAGATCGGTACGAATTTAAAATAGATCAAATCGAATAAAATCCTTATTAATTGTTAGATTGGTGATTCATTGCGAACTTTCGGTGGGTATGGTAAACCATATGTAATTGTTGTTTCAGTACATGATCGTCTTCAAAGTGAAGAATTATTTGAAAAAATTAATCAGATTGAAAATGTAACAAAAATGACAAAAGAACAAATGCAACAATGTATGACTAAGAATATTGATAATATTCGAAGGGTAAAAAGAAAAATATTGAATGTTCGAGTATCATCTTCCCTTTTTTTTAGTATTATTTTGGAACGACAAGTGATCAGGAACAAGCTACTTATCAAAATCCAATTGGAGAAATTGTTACTAAAATGGTTTCTTCAAAAAATGTTTGATCTGTTATTGTTTTTTTTTTATGTTTAAAATAAATAAATCATTTGATTATGAATATACATATACCATGATATTTACATTTAACATAGTCATAAATCTATTTCTCACCTTTCTTATGTGTTTATATATTCAATATTGAAAAGATCAATCAATATTTCTCTTTAATTATATGTGAAATTCAAGAATATTATTCATTTCTTATATAGTAAAGAAAGAGAACAGGCTTTTTTTTCTTTTATACAGTTTCGATATTCATTTTTATACGAAGAGTATAGACGCAAATATATTTCTTACCAGAAATTTAAGTATGTAACAATTTTTTCTTTTTCTTTCGTACACGCGATGAAATATATTAATATTATGATTCAGCCAATATGGATTTCAGCTATTTATATAAGAATACATATGAATATTACTCCCACAAATTATTAATCATTATTGTTAAAGGCTTCAGCAGACCATTTTTTAATACTTTTTCTTTTACAATTAAATTACTCATAAAATATGGGCAATCAGGTATATTTCATAAGAATTTCAATTTAATATTTAATCTATTTTAAATTTAGCATAATAGACAAAAAACTAGTGTGAAAACACCAACAACATCAACTATCAAACAAATTCAACATAGTTCTGATCAATACCAAATTATTGATCTTGATGAAATTGTCGAACAATGGATATGGTATATGTGGAATAGAACAAAAACAAAATCAGTATCTCATTATAAGTAAGTATTCTTACATAAACATACACACTAGAAATAATAATTACATGTTCTTATCAATCTTGAGATTGATTGAATAAGAATAAAAAAAACGCATTTCTTTTTTTTTATATTTGATTATAGACGTGAAGAATTACTTATAACAATCAATTGGAACCATGTTACATTTACACAAAGTGATGTACGTTTTTATGGTTCGCCACCTGTACGCATACCAAAATCTCAAATACTTTTTCGAACAAATTTTACTAATACAACAACAAATGAACAATTATATATATTTAAAACTGAACGTTGTACACGTTCTATGTTTAAATTTATATTTACACATATGTTAACAAAATCATCGAAATCACCAATTATATTTTGTTTACCAGATGAAATTGTTCAATTAGGTGGAGGAGCAAAATCTGATCAATCTGTAGAAATTGGACAAGATACGTAAGCATAAAAAAGAAAAAGATTTTGCGTTTCATTTTTATTTTAATCTAGTATAAAAGAATATAATATGCGTTGGAATGTAAATAGTCAAATACGTGTTGCACCTCATACGTGTACATATGCTGAATTAAATATCGATGAAGAAGAATTTCATGGTGATTTTTCTGTATTTATTGAATTTTCTGGTCGTATTACAGCAACTATAGCAACTCGTCAAACACCAGATAATTATTTAAGATTTATTGATGGTAATATTATTGAAATAATTCGTGAAACAATGGAAAATAATCATCATCAATTACATGATATTGAAATTATTGAAAACGATCCACCTATCGTACGATTTCATATGCGTGGTAAATGTTCATTTCGATATGGTGTTCAGCAGCATGTTGTACTCAAACAAGAATCTTTAAATACTGATATACATTTACATATTGCAGATAATTAACTATAATACATTGTATGTTAATTAAATTTTTACAGATGTTACTTTCTTTTTTTTATTAAATTTTTTTTAAAAATAAACAGAGATATTACATCAAGACTACCCAATTAAAAAAAGAGAAAGGTTTTTTTGTATGAAATTATCTACATTGTTCGTTTAGTATTTTTGGTTGTTGCTTCTTTTTTAGGTAACACAAAGCTAAGTGTAAGTGTTGCAAATAATGTTAATGATGAAACAGCTGTTAAAAGTACTCGTAATCCTTTAAACCATAAAGGATAACCTGGTTTTGTTACATCATAAAAAGCAAAACCTTGAAGTGATGATAATGCCCAAAGAATAGACCATCGACCTGGTACAAGTAATGCTAACCAAGCAGCAATTGATGGAAGAATTGAATAAGTATATTCTTTCCAATCATTTGATTTTTCAAGTAATGTTCCCCATCGAATACCACCTATAAATGAAAGAATTGAAGCTGAATATGCCAATTGAGTAAATGCTAAATCAGGTAAATATATTCCTGTTGAATACATATATATAGGAACAGCAGCAAAAGGAACAAGACCAAGTAAACCAAATGATAATGGAGTTAAAGGTGCCTCTTTAAGATGACGAAGATAATGAAATTGATTAAAATAAGTTGATGCTTGTTTATCATTATATCGTTGTAGAAGTTCATTTTTAGTAAATTCATTTGAATATGTCGTACGAATATTTATATTATTCCATAATGGATATTGCACTGTACGACGAAATAATAGAGATGAACAAGAACGATAAGTGAAAGAAGTTAACATCTAAAAAACAAATCTTTCATTTATATTAATAGTTTATTTTGATTCTATTTTCCATAAGCTAGATAATCATATTTCTATTCTATCAATGATTTCATAATCGAGTCACAGAAGTAATATTGAGTATCACTACAATCATTTAATAATTATTCTTAGTACTTGTGTCGCTCATATATTTTCTAAGGAGAAGGCGTTTCCATGGTAACAAACATAAAAATGATGATAAATACTACCACGTTTAATTTATGTTAATTAATACATAATATTTACATTTATCGAACAAAAATAGTTCATTAAGAAAAAAATCAATATACTAGACGAATAACCTATCAATAGATTCTTAGTTAAGATATAAGGTAAAAAAAGATAAACAAATCTTGAAAACTATAGACAGAAGATAATGTCGTCCAGTCTCGAATAGATATATCTATTGCGATTACAATACAAGCACATGTTATTTCTTATCAAAACTTTATAATTAGTTCTAAATGTTTCATTTAGTAATGATCGTTTTTATATCATACGAAATTAAATTATATGTATTCAAAGAAAATATAGTTTTGCGTTAAAAGGGATCGTATAACCCTGTATTCAAAATTCAAATATAGATTTTGATAGAATATAGTCACATGCTATATATATTATATGTTAACATAATATTTGTCTCGAAAATACTTCTATAAGAACAAATAGAAACAACATTTTCTTGTTATATTTTATATAAAAACAAATCAAAGAATATTAAAATAAGGTTGTAAGTCAGTAGACACTTGAGAAGGATTACTTTCTCATTATCAATGACAATTATATGTATAAAGCATTAAATCTATTTCAAAGATAAGAAACGATAATGACATTATTTTCAATCTTAATAATAAAAACGAAAATTTCATCTCACGTTTGATAAGGATGAATAAATTTCATATGAATAACAACGAAAATGTTTCTTGTTTTGTTCTCTCAATATTTTTCTTTTTTTTTTCAAAATTTGATTTGTTGCATATTGTATAATTAAAATCTGCATTAAACAAAGAGAAAAACAAAACGAAAAATTACACAACAAAGAAAGACAATTGACAATAATTAAAAGAGTTTTTTTTTCTGTGTGCAGTCTAAAAGAAACGTATAATATATCGACTTATCAGTTAAAAGTCAACGGTGAACATACACCCCATTTTGAAAAGATATATTAAACATGGAAGAATGTGGAACATACAAATAAATATTTGTTTTGATTGTTTCACAAAAAGATATATATATATATGTCATATCTTATTCATCATTTAAATGATTTGTTGTATCAAGTAATTTATTATCTATTAATGAACTACTCGTTGATTCATTATCGTCATTTATCTGATTTGGTTTAAATTTTTTTGCGGAATTTTTTAATGCTTGTCGTTTATTACAAAACCTTAAAAAAAAGATAATTAGTTTGAAAAAAGAAAATATTATATTTATTCATACCAAACACGTATCACTTCTCGATCATAATTTAATTGTTGGGCAAGTGTTGACATATCAATACCAGATGGATGTGTGTTTAATTCAAATGCATCATTTAATCGTTCAAGTGCTTGAGGAGTGAAAGATGTACGTCGTTTACGTTTTTTTGTATTAAGATCAGTAACAAGTTCATGTAAATTTGTTGGACCATTTTTTAAGCTTAAATATATATATAGAAAATTAACTAAATTCAATTAATTAGGAATGAATTTATCTTACCGATCACCATATTTTAATTCAGCTTCATGCATCCATTTTTCAAGAACCGGTTTAATTTTTGAAGCACTCTTTGGTGTTATATCAAGTTTTTCAAAACGACATATAGCTGATTGACTATATGCTGGTCCACGCGTAACACTCAATGCTTGACCAACTTGTGTCTGTGTTAAACCTAAGGCTAATCGTCGTAATTTAAAAACTTTTGCAAATTGTTTAATTTCTTCTAAATTTATTCCATCAATTGTTGTTGTTGTTGTTATTGCTGTTTCATCTTGAATAATAAAAAAAAAGTAGAACAAAAATTTATTAATCAATAAATATACTATTATTGTTAGGCAATGTAGCAAGTGTTGTCGCTATTGTTGGGGAATTATCATCATCATCTAGTGTTGATTTTTCATTGGTATCTGATGAACTATATGTATATATATATATATATGATATTAAATAAACACAAGAAAATCTATAAATAATTACTTGCAATCAACAGATTCATTTTTATATTTCATATTCACAGGTGAATTAGCTCTTGTCTATAAATAATATAAGAAAAAAAACTAATTATTAGTTTATTTAATTAATGATTACTTACGGAAATTGATTCTGTATGTGATGATTTTTGTATGTTGTTATTATCGACAAGTGTTGGTATTGGACAAAGTGCTGTTTAAAAAAAAGAAGAAAAACCGGAAGAGAATAATGACATATATATATATAATATATAAGAAAAGAGGAGCTTACAAGAATTTTGTTGTTGAAAAAAGAGAGCACTATTATTGAGAAGTAATTGTAATGCATTTGTAAGAGGATTATTAGTATATGATAATAATGGTGGACATGTTGCTCCTAATAATAAGAAATTATAAATGATTTGAAAAAATTAAAATAAAATTTATTTACCGGAAAGTAATAATTGTGTAAAAATTTGTTGTTGTTGTTGTTGTGATGTGAGATTAGGAAAGAGTGTCGAAAAAAATGGATTCATATGAAAATTTGATGGTGACGTACAAGATGTATTCATTAAATAGGCTATGAAAATTTGTAAATCGAATACATAATATATTTACAATGAAAACAATTAAAATACCTTCAGATTTTCGAGATTTTTCAGAAGTAGTCGGAAGTGTCATATGTATATATATTCTAAAAGAATATTCATATGTATATGTATATATTTGACTTATCTATATTTTAAAATCAACTGTTTATATGTCTCTCGCTTCTATTTTAACTTGACTGTTTATGTATTCTTATCGTGCGCGTGTGCTGCTCTCGCACTTGCTCGAGAATGTGAAACACACCACACATACTCTATCACTTTAGAGTAAGTAAGCACCATCTCCTCTCGTTGTCCCATTGGTAATTTGATTCCACAATTTTTTTTGTTCTATACTACTTGATGGCTATGCTTTGTGTTTTATGCGCAAACGAAAAAAGATAGATAGGCAACAGCGACGCCGGAACGAACTAAAATATAAATTGACTTTCGCTGTTTAGTGCTACATCGAATGAAGTCAAACTCGAACCAGGTGCAATTTTAATTGTATATATATATATATATGTGTGTGTGTGTGCGCGCATATCTATCTTTATACGCATAAGTGAGATTCGCACCCACCCTCACCAAACAACTATAATAAAGTAGGAAAGAGAGCGAAAAAAAAATCTCGAAAGAAACACATAAATTAAAGAGATTGTTCCAAATGTAAAAGAAGAACAGTGAGAGAGAGAGAGAGAGCGAAAGAGAGGGAGAGAGACGGAGAAAAAGAAAAAGCTCATTAATATTATCTCGATAACAAAATCGAAGTACATATGAGAAAAGAGTGAAAGAATAATGATGATACTGTTTATGCAAATATAAAGAAAAAAATTCGTTGCTCTTGCTGTCGCTTTGGATAATTTATGCTAAACGCACATCAACAGACAAAAAAGAGGAGAAAAAAAGAAGGAAAAGACTCTCTATCACATCCAAAAAAAAAACGATAAGAATGAAAAAAAGAATATCCACAATTATGCACAATCCACACTATCTTTCTTTTGCTTCTATTCTATCTACTTGCTTTGCTTGTCATCGACCGATTCACATTTCTTTTCTTCTTTTTTTTTTCAGTCTCTTTTGTTATATGTTTCCAATATGTGCAAGAAGAATAAAAAAAAGGAAGGAGAAAGAATACGAAGCAAAAAAAAGATTTCTTTCGATCATGATCATATGATGATAATGATGATGGTGATGAACGTCTCTACTCGATTATTATAGCACGCAACCCCACGATCTTACTTACTATATATCTATAGAAGTTTTCTTTCTTTTTTTTTTTGTTATTGTTATTGTTGTTGTTAAAAATACTTAATTCGGTCGCTTACTGATCGAGAAAAAAAAATTTCTGATAGGCCTGCATTATAAAATAAGCTTCGTCACACCCATTATCTTTTTTTCTCTATGCATTATAGATCGTTTCTTTCTCTCTCTCTCTTCCCTGATTATAATAAATCATCATCTCTTTTTCGGTCGGTCGTCGTCGGAATCACATTAGCAAAAAATCTTTTCCCTTCTCGTCTTCTTCTTTCTTGCGTTCATTCAAATGAAGAGTAGTGAATGCGGAAGAGAGGACATTATCCCTAAAAAAACCTCCCTATGTCGCTCGTGCAGAAATAGTAAGAGAACTTTTTTTTTATATATCGTCTCCATAATGATGTAGAAGACGCGACGTCGAACAAATTAGTGTGTGTATGCTGACGAGTCTGTAAATTGGACAAACATGTCTCTATCGGAGTTCTCGCTCGTTCACTCACTCACTTATATACTCATGCATTCACTCAATCGAACGTTCGAGATATATAGAAAAAAAAACTAAAGAAGGAGGGAAGTCATTCAGTGTCAAACTTAAAGATAGCTAAATTATAGTAAGAAAAATGTGATGGATCAAATAGAAGAAAATGTTGTCGTGATGACAGAAATGTTTAATATAAAAAATAATATATTGTATAAAAATCTATCTTAATAAAACTTTTGGGAATTCGGAAAAGATCAATGACTGATAGATGAAAACGATGTGTTAATAAATAAAAAGCATTATTAAAATATACAATAAAATATTCAAATCAAGTTAAAGCACATAAAAATAATATTTATATAATAAATTTCATTTATTGACACTTCTAATATCATAGATAACAGTTAGATTATCTGAATATATATATTCCAATACAAGAAAAAAAATCTTCTAGGTAATTTTATACTTGTTATGACAGAATGAATTACATGACTTAATTCTCAATATAGATTCACTAACTGACTAAATATAAATATTGATACAAACATAAAGATTAGAAAAAAACCGAGATTTTATTCTCTCTCTATTAAAAGATTTGTTTTACTTCATATGAATATATATTGTTAATTTACGAATAACAAATTATATCATCATATTACGGCAATATTAGTAATACTAAAAGAAGAAATTGAAATTTGATCCGAAATAGATAACAATCACTCCAGACAATTCATAAGATCTTTTCTTTTATATTACTGATGATGATGATGATATAATTGAAATAAATACTTATTTTAATAGAAATTCTATATTTTACTTTATTAAAGTTCGTCATGTCCGAAAATTTTGTAATTATTTTTATGATGAATAATGATATGTTAGATTAGACATATATAAAAGTATTTTATGATATATCATTTTTCATACTTACATAATTTTGAAAAAAGAAATGATTTTTTTTTATTGATTATTTATTTTCAATTGATTAGAATGAGTAACTACTAAATATTTTTCATTTATCTAATTCCGAGTAAAAATTAAGACATCTTATCGTACTTTGAACGGAAACAGGAACTAAGATTGAACAAATTTTAACATTGTTCATAAATAAATTCATTCAAGTCTATTCATAACGCATAAAATCAATCAAACGTAAAATGTGGGACAAACAGAAATAAACGAAAATAGTATTTGAAGAAGAACGATATGGAAGCATAAAATCAATCAAGATTCATATTTTCTAACAAGAAAACTTTGAAATTAGTATTTAGTTTAAAGAAAATTTATTTCTATGAAGTTTTTTCAACGTATATTACTATTCTCGCAAGAAACAATAAGTATCTTTATTTTTCATGTTGAAATTTCCGTAAGAATTTGAGTATAATCATAAGAAGAACTACAATTCATTGGTACTGTTGATGAAGACATTATTTCACGAATCCATTTATGATATGCAGATACACGTGTATAGATTCCACCACTATTTGCACGACTACAACCATCACCAAATGATACAATACCAACAATATACCATCGATTATTACTAAGTAACATTAATGGTCCACCTGAATCTCCACGACCTAGAAAATATGAAAAGACATAAAAAACATATTAATATATAATCTTATTTCTTACAAGCATCTTTTTTTCCATCAGACCATCCAGCACATATTTGATAATCATTTGATTCAATAGATGGACAAAGAGATTTTGGAAGCATTTGTAAATCAGCATGCATTAATGTATTTAAACTTGAACTATATTCAGCATTTGAACCCCATCCAGCAACCCAAAGTCGACTACCATTATTAATTATTTGTTCATTTGTTGGTAAACAAATTGTATCAATAAGTGAACTACGTATGATTGGTTGTTTTAATTTTAATATAGCAATATCATGTAAAAGCGTATTATGGTTAAAACCGGGATGAATACATGCATGTTCAAGTGTATATGTACGTGATTGTTTTTTATTATTTATATTTCCATTATTTACTATATCATTTTCAACATCAATAACATCAAATGATACACGATATGTATCTTTTAATGATGATTGATAACGATTTGGTAAACGCATTGTATCAAATGTTGGTAATTGATTACTAAGACAATGTGCAGCAGTTAATAAATATCGATTTGCAATTAATGTTGCAGCACATTTTTGTGTTATATTTATCCAACGATTTGTATCATCACGAAAATAAACTCCAACAACAGCCATCCATGGCCATTGACCACGATATGATTGATCACCATTAACAATTCTTGCTTGTCGTCGATTAACAGGTAAACCACATTCTGTACATTCACCAGTATCACTTGTTGTTATATTTAATGTACAACAATCAAAACGATCTCGTGTTAATATACAAGAACGACCACGTTCACATACAGATGGTCTCAATGCACATTCATTGATCTTTGAACATTGACCATTTTCATACATAATATGACCCGGAAGACACTAAAAATAAATAAATAAATAAGAAAATATTTTTCTTTTTTTTCTTTTGTTTACTTGACAATTATATCCAGTCGATGGAGATGCAACACATTCACTATGAGGACCACATAAATCATTTTGTTCAGCACAAATATTTCTTGGTATACATTTATCATCATTTCCTTGATTACTTAAACATTGACAATAATAACGACCAGGTAAATTAATACAAGTACTTATACTTGTATTACATGGTCTATAGACATCACATTCATTTATATCAACACAAGAATCTTTATCATTTTCACGAATAAAACCTGATCGACAACGACATATATAACTACCCATAGTATTTATACATTGCATATTAAGACCAGTACATGTATGATATCCAGCACCATTGAGACATTCATTTCTATCTGTACATGTACAAAATGATGTTGAGAAACTTTTTTCATATCCATTTGGACAATGACATGATGTTAAACGAATACCAAAATTTGTTGAAAAAATTATAAGTAAAGTAATAACTAATAGAAGTATTAAAACAAGTATAAATATAAGTAAATATCGATAACGATATCGATGAAAACATGTTTGCTTTTGTTGAATATCTGTTGCAATTGATGGAGTATATGTTGGATGAATTGATAATGATAGATTTGTTCGAACTGATGTTGTTGTTGTTCGACAAGTATTTGTTGAAGTTCGTATAGTACCATTGAATGGTTGACGTAAAACACTTAGTGCATAAAGTTGATAAAATAATAAAGGTGATGAAGGTGGTTGATGTGATGATACTGAAGTAGAATGTGTTTGAAATGGAAGACCATAGAGAGTACGTCGAAAATTTCTAAAATTTACAATGAAATAGATTTTATTTCGAATATTTTTGATTTTTGAATATAGAAATTTATTTTAAATTATTTCTATTAGCACTAACCGTAGACTTATATAGAATTACGTTGTACATGAATTATAAATCAATCGTAATAGAAAATCATTTCATTTTGATTATATTTATTTAAAACTGGATAATTATCTTCTATAATTCTTATATTATTCGAATACTACTATAGCATACTAATAAAGACATTAAAAGTAATGGATAATAGATCGTATATAATTAATGATAGAAAAAATTTATCGAAGTTGAATATACACTATGATTTCTATTTAAATAATAATATATTTTAAAAAATATCTCCTGTTCGATAACCAAATTTACGGTAACTTTCGATATTATGATTATAACATGTTATACAACTATAGATGAAAATAAATGATTTAACTAGTTTATTCATTAATCTTCTTTCCTTGATTTATTCTATATTTACATTGAATTCTTATTTGTACACAAGACACGTTCTAAAACAAATCTATTCATATGATTTGTAAGTATCGATCTATCGTAATGATTATGTAATCATGAATGAAATAATTTGAAAATTAATAATAGTATAGGAGAAAAAAAACTCAGCAGAACCTGTGGTGACTGATTCATATATGTTTTTTTTGTTGTGAATTTGTTTCTATCTCGTATACACTCGGGAATATTAAAGAAAGTAAAGAACATATTTAGTTTGTTTCCATTGCCTTTTCATTACTCGCGATCTATCAAACGATAAAATATTGTTGATATATTAAAAAATAATCATATATTTCGATCGAGGTTTTTATGATTTTTTATTGACATTGTCCAGATAATTATTGTTCTAGTTTATGATTATTCTATCGTTATTTTGTTGTAGGTAGTAGCTTATATTCTAGTAATAAATAAAAAACAGATGTCTAATAGGTAGAAAAAACTTCATATGAATAATAAACAATAGTCTCATAAACTCGTGAATATAAAAGAAAAACAAGAATTATACTAAAAGACCTACCTGATTGTACTTGGTGATATTTTTGTTATCGGTATTGATGTATCACTATTACCATCAAATAAAGATGGATCATCAATAACGATTTCATTAGAATTAATGGCATTATTGTCAAACTGAGATATATCCACTTCTCTAGTCATCCATTCAACATACGTAAGAATCGTGCTTGTAACAATGAATACTAGTCATTTATGACAAATTGTAAGATGACAGTAGCCGAAGATAAATATCACCTTCTACGTACGCGTATAAACTTTAAGCCATCACACTATTAATATAAACATAAGAAGGCGACAGTCAACGTCGGAGAGGACTATAGTATTATGTATCATATTTGTATAGTTCGATAACAAAATTTGTTAAAAAAAAATTGTATAAAGAAAGAAAGTTTTGTTCGTTTATTTTTAAATATGAAAACTTTTCGATCCAAATGATAATTTCAATAAAATATTTTATCTGCTGTTTTTTTTAATTTATTTTTATAATAATATTCAAAAAAAGAAATATTTTTATTGTACAGATAGTATTTGACTATACATGTTAGTGACATATTGCATGACAATGATTGTTAGAATCTATCTGCTTATATATTTATATATGTGTTGCATTTTTTTCATAAGGAAAAGAAAATGGGTGGGAAAAAGAAAGCGAAGAGAAGAGAGAAAGAAACGCAAAGAAAAAGAGAAAATATTTAGTAAAGTAGCAATGAATATAGTAGAGTAAATGCAGATCCTTGCGGGATTTTATGCTAACTAGACAGCTTTCTTATATGTCGCAAGGCATATGTTGATTGTACTATTATAATGACGACTTTTACTTTTATTTTTTTTTTGGAATGAAAGGTAAAATAATTTTCAAATTAACTAAGAGAAAAGAACTTGTGCGTTATTCTAGATACCATGTGACGTTCACATGAGAAATATTGGATCGGATATTCAATGACATCATTCATTATATTCGCGTGAGAATAGATAAAGAACAGGAGGGTTATTGCGAGATAAATTATTTCCGTATTTATTCAATGTAACTATCCTATTTTTACAGTTGAGTAACTAACTTTTATTCTATAATATGTCTGTAAAAGAGAGAAAAAAATTTATTATATTACTTTTATTATTCATTATCAATGACAGATCTTTTTATATATTATAATATAGAACATTTCTCTTTCTTTTAATAAACCCATTAATCCTACTATTTTGACACTTTAGATGGAATCATTTTTTCGTCATATGTCATCAATTGTTCGAAAAAATAGTAAATTTAGTAATCCTGATGAAGATGAACAAGAAATTCATGATGATTATAATGCACAATTAAGATATCTTCGTGAAATGCAAGAACGTCGACGTTCGGCACCTGACATTCGTCGACATAACAATTCAATGTCTAGAATGTCAATACATTCAGAAGAAAATAGTGAATTATTCCCTCAAATGAACTCAGAAAGGTCAACAACGCAAATTGATTCTATACTCTCTACGCCAAATCAATACAATCCACCACGTAAGTTATCTATTTAAAAAAAAAAGAATCTTTATAAACTAACAGAACAAACAGAATTTTATTACGAGCAGATCATCGAATTATTACCATACCAAAAGAGAATTATCACTCTTTTCAAGACTCCTAATAATAATATATTCCCTAGAAATGATTTTATAATTGCAATAATTCACTACATATTTTTTTTCTAACGAGATTTTCTATTTATAACTTCATTGCAAATTACAATAAATCATTGCGATACATTATTACATTTCGGAAATTTTTATAAACTATTTCATATTAATAATCTGCTTTGCCGTTCGAAATTTTATGTATAATGATGTACGGATATAGTATCACTGAATTTTATTTTAATATAATCGTATAAAAATAGATGTATAATAAATAATTTAGATAATAAATTGAAAGAAAACAAAAGCTATTTTAAAAGCAAATATTAATTATAAATAAAATTTTACAGAAAAAAAGAATAATGGATTATATCTATAAATAAAAAGAATCTTTATTAAATTTTATTGTTTTAGAACTATTGCTAATTAAAATTTTATTCGCTTCTATCTTAACATATAATAAGTATATGACATATTTAGTAATATCTCAAAAGTGAACAGTTGATATATGAATTCATGTATTGAAAAATGACAGTGTCATTTCGTATTTCCTATTGATCAATATTAATACGCACGTCTTGTGTGAATAAACTTCGAAAGAATCAAGTCAAGTTTCTGTTTTTTGTATCAGAATAGTTTGTAATTTATGTATGAAGTTGTACGAGGATAAGTTATTAGATGTTTTCAATAAATTGAATTGTTATTTTGAAAAATATCTTATTTAATGGTAAATATTTGAAGTATAGTTTAATTAGTCTATTTAAAAAAAATATCATATAATTTCCAAGGCTTCAATCTGTAGATTTAATCGCCGGAAAATCATGAATAAAGACTTAGTTCCTTTTTTTTCATTCAATCGACGAGAATGTCACGCAAATTAGTTATTCATTCTTTTTTTCTCTCGTACTGTTAGTTCTCCTTATTTGGTATCTCGAATCCTTATATATATATTTAGTCAATTTCCTTGTTTTTTTTGCAAGTTATACACAAAAAATGCATGTTAGATTCTGTTGACTGACTTTATATATATATATATAAATGGATAGATATTACTGGGCAATTGTCAATATTGATTTAAACTTATCAATATAGCGACAAATATAGATTTAATATGTTATGTAGCAGAAAGTTTCTCTTTTTATTGCCTTCAATCGGAAATAAAATAATTAGCAGTATGTGTTCATTTGAAATAATATTATTGAATTGAATTAGTTTCTAAACAGATGGTATTTGATCTTCACTTGTTGTTATTATGGTAATTTTCCATCATATTATGTTTTTGATGTTGATCAGTTTCTTATATGAAAGAAAGAGGTATCATCTTATATGTAAACGAAGAGAAACAAGACAAAGAAAATATATGAAAAACAATCTAGAAGACAAAGAACGGGAAGACACACACTCACAATTGATTGTTTGTCTTATTAGATACTAGACTATTCAGTCGCCCGCCTTCATCACAACTATTGTATGTGTTTCCTCTATAGTTACTGCTGTTATTGTTCCAGCGGGACACCGAGATATAGAGAAGGAGAGAGAGAGAGAGGGAGAAAAAGAAGTTGCAAAAGAAGTAGTAATCAAAAAAAATAGAGTAAGAATAAAGCACATACGAATGAGAGAGAGAGAAACGAGGGAATAATCAACATTTTTGTTTATTACTCGTTGACTAAAGTTTACACCTGCGTGACTAGAGTTGTGGAATCAATATGGCAATTCGCTTTGCAATTCTCAACTACTCTATTATATTTTACTAAACTCTCATGTGATCATTTCTATTAATGATTGTTATTTATAAGAAAAAAAAATAAGTCTACATAGAAACTATTAATCGGAATATTCATTCAAAAGAGGCACAATCTATGGCTAAATTGGGTTCGTTTTTTCGCCGTTTGTTTACTCCGAATACTGCTGATGATGCTAATTTATCATCATCATCATCTTCAGCATTAACAACAGAATCTCACAAAAATGTATTTATCATGCCACCCTTATCGTCATCCAATTTAACAACTTCGAAAATAACTTCACTGACTACTCGATCATGTACAGTATCACCTCGATCATCACCACAGCCAGTTTTGAAACAAACAACAATAAATGCTGATCAAATTAATTCAACGCCTAACTCAAATTTTCTTTCATCCGATATCATTAAAAGCAATGTTCGTCGACTTAGTGCACCACTTCTTATTCAAACATCAACTAATTATTATCCACAATATTCATCGACAATTGTAAATGAAAATACTACAGCAGCATTAGTATCTTCATTACAACGTCTCTCATTTTCATCTTCACCAGCAACGATTGAAAATCATAATAGCAGTCTTCTTAGTTTGGGTAGTAACGGTGGCGGTACCCCAGCAAGCCCATTATCACGTCCCGAGGTGCGTTCAGCATCTTTCAATTTAACACCGTCATCTAGTTCAGTTAGCAACAATCTAGGAAACAATATTTCATCAGCATCTGGTAGGTAGAGAAATATTTTTTTTATCTTGTGCTAGACCTCTTATGTTTCTACACATTTATAAATATTATGTATATGTATATAGGATAAGTGTATATAAGTTTTATTTATTCTTTTTTTTTCTGACCAACGATGTCAATCAAACAAATATGATTTATATTTGTAATGAAAAGAAACGAAGAAGACAATGAATAAAAGAGTGATCATATCTCATTAAACAGAATCAAAACTGATCGCTTTTCTTCGTACTCAGCTTCTTCTTGTTATTATCTTTTATATGCATCGTATAATCTGTCTTGAGATCTAATTTATAAAAAAAGGGGATGGAAATTTGTGTGATGTTAACAGACATTGATTGAATGACGTCTATCGTTTGTATTGTTCTTCAGTTATAAATGCTTTTTTCATTATTTCGATTGTTCACAAAAGAATTTTGAAGGACAAACAATAAGAACGATGATCATGATAAGAAAATACAGTTTCATCAAGATATATCAAATATCGAAATAAAATGAGAATAGAAGAAACGGAAATTACAACGGTATAGTTGAATAGATTCCGAAGCACTAAAAAAAAGTAAAAAGGAGATCAAGATGAAAAAAATAAGATGAATATATGAATATGATAAAAATAAAAGCAAAAAGATAAATAACTGCTTCGTAATTGTGACTTCTTCAAATTGTCTTTGTTTGAAAGAAATGAGCATTTTATATATATATAAGCTCGATCTGATTCAGTGTGTGTTTTTGATTTCCGATGTCGGCATGCTGTATGTTCATTAGTAGAGCGTGCTTTTTTTGCTAGAGTGTTAAAAGGGTTCAATATGCTCGATCTTTTTTTTTCTCTCTCTCACTGTCTCTCTCTCTCTCTCTCTCTCTCTCTCTCTTTTTCCTTCTTAATATTATTCTTTTCCGAACGCGCGACAAAGAAAAAAGATGATCACTGAAGGGAAAACGGGAAATAAGATTGTAACTACTCATACGTCTCTGATTTTCTTTTCTTGACGCCTATGTTCTATAGATTATATAATCTTTAATCGATCTCAACTTAGTATTGATGTATAGGACTACTTATTATCATAATAGAATAGCAAAATATTATAAAAAATATAGAATGATAATAAACAAAATCTACTTGATCATTTATTTAAAAAAAAAAACTTTCATCATTTATATTCATATGCACATCTATATGATGAGTTTAAGTAAAGAGAATAAAGTTATATAAGCATAATTATAGAGATCAGTGCCAGATCACATACTACTTTTCTTCTCTTTATGTGTTCGCATATGCGTCCCCATTTCATTACATACTGAAAAATTCTAAATACGGGACGACGTCAACAACAGTAGTAGCAGCAGCAGTAGTAACAACAACGAAGAAAGCTCATCAAGCTCTCTTCTGTGTTTTTTTTATGCTATATTTCTTTTTAGCTATTTCTGTCTTGTCGTTAGTAATAAAATTTGCACAACGCTCATGACTGAATTAGACATGAAAAATCGGAAACTTTTCCATTATATACGTCTTATTTTATTTTTATATAGGCACACCGCCGACACAGTTTGTCATCGGACCAAAATCCTCATCAACACGCGTTAGTATTCATTCCAATAGTTCACCAGTACATAATAGTGTTATGAAAGATATTTCACCAACAGGTGAAACTATAACAAATATCCAATCAGATAGAAAAATGTCATTACCAGCAAGAGGACGACGTCCATCGATGTTTGATCCAATTGATCCAAAAGAATTACAGCAAGCTTTATATGCTTCAGCTGCCGCTGTAAGTTATTGTTAATAATTTATTACATCGATAAAAAAAGAAATATATTTTGTTCTTTTCTATATAGAAAGCTTGTATACCATTGAAATCAGAAGATGAAATCGATCCAAATCGAGCTATTTCACATATTAAACTTCTATATGATCGTGATGGTGAACATGTTTATATTGATAGTTTATCTTTTGAAAACATGCAAATGCTTGATTCATTTATTAATAATAATAATCAAAATAATAATAATAATAATAATAATAATATGAATTCTTCATCTACAAATACTAATGGAAATAATCATGATTTTATACCATTTTATTGCCGTTTTCGATTATGTCCTGAAAAACGTAGTTTATTCCAAACTGAAGTTGTTCGTTATCCACGTTCTCAATCATTTTTTTTATTTGATTTAAAACAATTAAATGATTTTGAATTATCCTATGAACAATTAAATAATCATTCGATTGAAATACTTTTTTATAAAGTTGGAACAGCAAAACCATCATATAAAGATATTCGTATAGCTACAGTTAAATATGATCTTGAAGGATTAATTGAAACTGATGAAATTTCACTTAAAAAACCATTGGAAGAATGTGATCCATCATCATCTACGATACAAGTTAGAAAATTCTTCTCTTTTTTATTTTTCTATGATTTTTTATTTTTTTATAGGATCCAGATCTAGGTAATTTACTTGTTTCATTATCGTATTTACAAACAGCTGCTAAATTAGCTGTTGTTGTCCTTGAAGCAAAAAGTTTACGACCACTTTCTATTGAAAGTAAACCATTTCCAGGTAGAAGGATTTTAGTATAAAACTTAGCGAAATAATGCGATTTGTGTCTTTTTTTCTAAAATATTATAGAAGCATGTGTAAAAGTAACATTATATGATCGTAATGGAAAAAAATTGAAACGTAAAAAAACGAGCGTACAAAAAGCATCTGATTGTCCGACATTTAATGAAGAACTTGTTTTTGAATTACGTCGTGATATAGCACAAGAAGTTATGATTGAACTACGTATTGTACATGAATCATTATCTTATAAAGAACAATTAGGTTCAGTTATATTTGGTCCAGCTATAATTAATATGACAAAAGGATCTATGAATCAAGAAAATGCTTATTGGTCAATGATTTTATCTGGTGAATCTCTTAGTGCACAATGGCAAATATTAAAATCACCTATACGAATCGAAGAATCGAAGTGATAAAAAAAATAAAAAAGATTTTCATTTTTCTTTTCATTTCAACTAAATAAGACAATATGATTTCTTCTTTTATGTTTGTCTATATGTGGTGTTCAGTCATATTTTGTTTTTGTTGGATAAAAGAAAAAGAAAAATATATATTATACATATACAAAACCTTGAAAACTCGGATCATTCAATGACAAACTAGATGTACAATCGAATAATAAATAATGACTCTTGTTGAATAGAACAGAGAGAGAAAGAAAAGGGTAATGTAAACTTTTATATTTAGTTATGTTCTTTATTAATAAATAATATTAAACAATGCATATATGATTTGAAGTTTTTTATTAAAAGGAAAAGTTCAATGAGTACCATTCTATTCACATAAATGATAATAATAATAAGAAGAAATAAAACTATGTTTTTATTCGGAATAAGAGTACTTCCTTTGTGTATGTCAAAGACAAACATCATTATAAGAAGTATATATTTATTGTCGGGCGTTGATGTTAAATAGAAATATTTAACTACGTACTATAATTTTTAAATAAAAACAAAAAAAAATTACTCTTCATTTAGTTATTTAATAATATATATATTTATTCGAATTCCAGTCATATAATATTGCAGATACAAGAAATCTAATAGAGACAAAATATTTCAAATAATTTGACATTGTAAATAATTAGAAAGGTCGAATTGAACTTTAAAAAATAATGTACCCGTGTATTCTTTGTTATAAATAAAAATAGATAAGATATTAATTGTTTCTTTGATTTTATAATAATTTAATTGAACGTCTAGACGATGATTGCTATTATATATAGTATGTTTTATTCTTAAAACTATCATCTCGATTATAATTTCACTTATTTATTTATTTTGTTAATAACATTTTTTTGATAAATCAAAGAAAAAGTGATTATTACTTGATGTTAAATCTACATAAATTTCATCGATCATATAAAGTAATTTCATCAAAGAAGCAAAATTATATAACATCATGATAATTTATACAAATGATTTGATTTTTATTTTTATTCTTACTGGTAAAGAAATAGACATAGTTAATGTATTATTTCATAAAACTTGATATTCTATTTGTAAATATTAATTAAAAAATAATAAGAGAAAGAAGAATGTTTTTGACAAGAACAGTTTGATCTTTATCATATAATGACAATCGAGCAAGTTGAGAAATTTTTTATGAATGATTCCATACAACTCGAGATTGTTAGGTTAATAATAAATTCAAAATTTTCTTCTTCCTCTATGAATTTGAGTTATGAATGTAAGATGTTTTTGAGTTCTTTTTAACAGTTTCATAACTATTGATATTGTCACTTTTTTTAATTAGATTCTAGCAAGAACTATATAATTATAAAAAATTAAACTAAGTAATCTCAATATATAATTAACTAATATCGCGTAGAATGATTTTAGTACATCTTATTTTTAATAATAAAGAAACAACACAAAGACATTGTTTCGAAGCTTAGAATGGGTAGATAGTACACGTCATTAATTGGAAAAACTAAACGGATTATTCTATTGAAAAATTGATATGAAAAGAAAACCATATTATGTCCATTAGAATAGAATTGCTAGAGAAAAGCTTTCGATTTTTAATTAACTTATCTTAAGTGAAAGCACTACTCAATCGCCTGTCGAATCTGAAATATTAGATCATTTGATTTTACTTGTGAGCTATACGAACGAGAGTAGATATACAGAGTCAATTTAACCCTACAAAAGTTACCAAAAATAAATTATGCGCAGTATTTTAATGATACTTTATACATAATAAGCCTCTTTAACTTCCGAAACTTCTCATTAAGTAGAAACCATCTTGAGAGTGTGGGTGTTCTCTACACATTGATCCACATCCTCTACACTACCGTTTTCTCTTTTTTCAGCTCATCTTTCTTTCAGTAAACCACATATGACTTTATCTCTAGTCGAAATTTCAATTTTACCTACAACATATGTTGACAAATTATTTCTCTTTACAATTTATTTTAATAAAAAACGAAGTAAAAAATAACACTTTATTTTTCTTTCTTTTTTCTTTGACCTTCTTTTGTCGCAATTTTATCTTGAAGTTTTCTTTCCAAATATGGTCTCTTCTCTTTATGTATTGGGTTATTTTCATAAACAGGTTTAACATTTGAATGGGTTGTTATATGTGTTTGTCGTATATCTTTACGTGCTTGATGACCACAACCATGAACTTCAGGCATTGAATGTTCAAAACAATAACGACGATTACAATATGAACAAAGTTGTCCCAATAAAGTTATTTTGATTTTACATCGTTGTGCATTACAAACATTATCTTGTTTACGAGCTGCTTCCAATAAATCATCGAATGCAGCATCATCATCCATTGATGCTAATTTATCTTTCTTTTTGTTCACTGTTTTTGGACGATCTGAAGCAATATTTAATTTAGAAGATGTTGCTTCCTACAATTTCAATTTGGGGTTAATTTTCTATTTTAATAAAACAATTTAACTTACAGATATTTCATTATTTACAGTAGTTACTGACGGTAATGGATTAACACGTTCACAATATAATTGATGTAATTGAAGATTTTGTGGTGGAATATCTTTATGGCAATATCGACAACGATTAGTTAAATCTAATACAGGTGATTCAGACTAAAAATAAATGCTTTATATGAATATAATATATTGAGAAAAATTATTATTATTACTTTTTCTGTTGAGATTATCTCTTCACTAGATATTTCTGTTGATGATTTTCTATTTTTATCAACTATTGGACTTGAATCCTTCTTTTCTTCAGATAATAAAGAAAATGTACGAAATTGTTTATTCGTTTCTTCTATATTATTTTTAACTGTTTGTTGTGGTTTTGGACTCGTCTCTATTGAAGATTTTCTCATGACTGTTATATGTCTTTGATCGCCAGTACCTTCACTCATATGTTGTAAATTATGTTTTTCTGCAAGCTAATTAGAACAATATTAATAGAAATCTTTTCAAAAAATCCTTCTACTCATTATACTTCATGTACATAACGTCTACCAAATGGTGATAAACCATCTTCAAATTGTAATTGTTGAGCATTAGGATTTTTAAGAAAATCATCAATACGTTGATCAAGAATATGAGTAAGAGCATTTTCAAGTGTTTCAGTTGCTTCTGAACGTGGTTTAGTTTGTTGTCTAATAAATATATATACATATAATGAGAATATTCTTTTATTTAATTACTTCGGTTTCTTTGTTTGTTGTTGTTGTTGTTGTTTAGATTGTTTAGATGATGCTGTTGATTTTTTTGATGAAATTGTTCCTCGAAAAAAATTATCGTCTATGAAAGAAAACAAGATTTTAAATTTAATTTATGTAGAAATAATGGAATACCATCAACTAATTCAAATGCTGAACGAACTTGTCCATTTTCAAGCATATAATCCATTAAACGTTTTATAAATGGATCACGACTAACTGTTTGAACATTACATATAATACATAAATGTCTACGTGCACGTGTTATAGCAACATTTATTCGACGAGAATCCGAAAGAAAACCAACTTCACCTAATAAAAAAAAGAGAAATAATTTATCTCAAATAAATATATAAATTTTCTTATTATTAACCATGTAAATTTGATCGAACCATTGATATAATAATAACTTCTTTTTCTCGTCCTTGAAATCCATCAACAGATTTGATTTCTAATGTTGGATATTGATTTAAAAGTTTTTGACGTAATAATTGTACTTGCATATTATATGGGGTTATAACACCAATTTGATCAATAGATACACCGTAATTTTCAATTAATTCTTTAACGTGTGTATTAACAAGTGCAACTTCACCTTCATTACCACGTGAATTTTCATCATCATAACATATTTCTGGCATATCATAACCAGTTGTATCAATAAGAAATAATGGACATTGTGAAAGATTTTCATCGTCATATTCATCTTCATCATTACGTTTAGAAATATTTGATAAATCTTTTAAAAGATGTGATTTAACTGATTTATCAGCGATTAATTTTCCTTGATAAAATTCTTTCGATGACCAGTTCATTATAGCTTCGTTCATACGATATTGAATTGTTAACATACGAGTTATCTAAATTTATATAATAAAATAAAGTTTTTTTTATGTTTTTTTCCTACGAACTTTATCATCAAATTGTTCAATTAATCGTTGCATTAATGTAATAGATAAACCATCTTTCGCAGCTTTTTCACTTAAGATTGTTGGTGGTAATTGTAAATGATCACCTGCAAGAACACATTTTGATGCACGTAATAAAGCAAGCCAACAAGCGGCTTCAAGTGCCTAAAAATAAATTGAATGAAATCTTATTATTATTATTGTTAGATTTGACACATACTTGTGAACATTCATCAATAACAACTAAATCAAAATGATTTGGTGGTAATAATCTTAATGGACTATCATCAGTTGCTGATGTTAATGTACATAGAATGACATTAACTGATTTCATTGCTTCTCGACTTGCTTTTTCTTCATAAACTCGAATATCTTTTCGTAAATTTTTTATTTCTCTTTTTAATTGTTCACGTTCACCACGCTCCGTAGATGATTTTCGTAATTTACTCTTTAAATAAAAATAAACAAATCAATAATAGAATTTCATAAACAAAAAATCTTACAAAACATTGATTTAAATCTTCACGTAAAGCATTTTTAACATCTTGATAATTTTCTGTAACAATTGATTCTAATGAAAAACATTGTATGGATTCAAGTAAACGTGCTGGATGACCAAGACGAATAAGTTTTAATTGTTTTTTTCTTCCAAGACGTTCAACAAGATTATCCACAGCTATATTTGATGGTGCACAACAAAGAATTTTTGCATCACGCTTCAAAGCTTCTTGTAATATATATTCAACAATTGTTGTTGTTTTACCTAAAAATAAATTTTTAGATTGAAATTAAATATATATATATATCTATATTTACCAGTGCCCGGTGGTCCATGAATAATGGATATATCACGTGAAGCTAATGCGAAACTAACTGCTTCTCGTTGAGATTCATCAAGATTTTCATTAAACCATTGTGATGGACCTGTATTTGGAGAGAAATTTGTTGGAAGAGGATCACCATTATCAAATGCAATATCAAGTAAATGATGAGCAGTTCCTTGACGTTGTTTCATCATTAAAGTAAGACCACTAGAATATATATTAGAAAAAATAAATTTCTGATTTCTGCGAATATGAAATAAACGTACTGTTTTAATCGTCGATAAGTAACATCATTAGCCATTTTAATAATCATAAAAAGACAATTATCACCGAATGAATTAAATTTGTCATCATCATTTTCTTCAATAGTTACATGTATTGTATTTGTTGTTAAACGAAATATAAGTCCATGAGTTAATGGAATTTGTTCATCAATTGAATGTCCCTGTGGATAAATAGCAGCAATATCACCTGAATGAATATCAACAGAACATTTATTTATCTCCTTTTATTTATTTTAGAAATACAAACCTGGACCAAATGTTTGTACACGTGAAAGAGATTCACCCTCGAAAACAAGAATTGTTCGACCATATAAACCTGTATATGTATATTGAAAACGAAGACGTGTCAAACATAATCCTTTTTCAGCAAGACGTTTTATTGGTTGACCTTTTAATGCTTCTCTAGAGAAATTATAATTATAAACAAAATTAATTATCTCTTATTGAATCTCACGTTGATTGTTTAATTTCTTCTTCACGTTCAATATCTATTAAATCTCGACATTTTTCAGTAAATAATTCTACACCTGTCATCTATAAATCAAAAAGAAAAATACTATCTAATCTTGTTCTTCTTCTAAGTTAAATAAAAATATACAAGAAAAGAAAAACGAAACAAATTACAAATCAATAAATGTTATTTATTTTTTCTTTTTCTTCTTTAATTTCAATGCAAATTTAGCTGCTAAAAGAAAATGATCGGATGCAAATTGATGATTTGGTAAATGTAAATTTAACATTTGTTGTTGTTTATATAAATCATAACGACTTAATAGATTTAATCTATAACGATCATTATCTTGTTTTGTATAAAATATATAATCAACTAAATTCGTTTCATTATTAATACATGTTGTTACATCAGATAAATCATTTAAATCATAAGCAGAATGAAAATTTTTATTGTGTGTTAATATTGCTGATGATGTTTGATTCATATAGTTTTTAAAAATAAGTTCATCTTTTTCATGCTGTGAAAGTTTTTTTGGAAAACGACAATCAGAAGTCACAAATGATGTTGGTAATAGTTCATTGGATGGAAGTTGTAGAGAAAAACGATTATTAATAACTGATCGAGGAATTTGACCAGATATTTCAATAGAACGAAATTTATCATATTTAATATGTCCATTGATTAGAAATTTCGATAGTGGAGATTGTGGTTGTGCATTAAAATCTCCACATATAATAATAGGATAATACGAATTTAATGAAGCATTTTTCATTGATAATCGGTCGATTTCAGCAAGAAAATATTGTATTTGGGCTAATTTAATATCACCACGTTTAGGTGAAAAAAGTAAATGAGTTGTTGCAACACAAAATAAATCATCTGATGTAGCTTTTGATGTTACCGGTTGAAATAAAGCAATCAAACCACAGTTGTCTCTAAAAATATAAATATTTCAATCGAAATTTTAGGTTTAATATCAATTTATCAAGAAATTAAAATTATATTCAAATCATTCATAGTAGATATCATCCTCTATTATACTGAATTTATAAATGCATCCAGACACTCGGTCCCGATTTCGACTAGTCTCTATCACGTTCCAGTCAACACTGGTATCACCTACATGGTAATGACCATTCTAGTGGTTCATAATGGATTAGGGGTCAAAAAAATATTATATAAATAGGTCGGTCAAATAAATGCAATTTACTATAGAAAAATCAATGAGAGACTACCGGGGATGTATATCAAGTTCAAGTCATTAGAACTGACACCGATGATACGACAATTCAATACTACATAATATATTTTCTGGAATTTTTTTTATACTGTTTATTATTTAATGTATGACTATTTCATTAATAACAATTTTCTGAATTTACCTGTCTAATAGTTGAATATTTCTTTGATAGAATGGTACTGTTTTGCTATCAATTAATCTTAATCGATCTGTTTTATAAAATAAACAGCATCCGTCGGATTTATCACCGGAACGTTTTATATAGATTGAATCATAGCCTTTAAAAAATTAATGATTAAAATTTGAATAAATTCCTAAATAAAATTTTTTTTTCTTACCATGATGACTCATTTTTGGTCGAAAATCATATTTATAATGTTCTTTTTGCATTTCTTGTAAACAAACAATCTAAATAAATAAATAAATAGAAATCTTCATAGATAAATTTATTTGAAAATATACATCAGCATCTTGATGTAAAATTTCTCTTAATAAACGTTCTTTTCGATGATTCCATTTAAGATTATTTTCTTGACAATCATCATACAAAGATTCATTGTCTTCAATTAATTTTTGTGCAAGAATATTATAACTAATGATATGAAAATTAAAATGATGATAACGACTTTTAATTAAATGTTCTTCATAAATTGTATTTGACCATGTTCGTTTCGGAAGATTTGATTCGACTAAAATAATTTTTAAAAATTAAAATTCAATGAAAATGAATTATTTCAAAAAAGAATTACAATGTGAATATTTTTCACGTTTATTTGATATTTCAGTATGTGATTCATATTCTCTTGAACGTTTAGGCATTGATGTCAGATGTGAAGAATCAAGAAAATAAAGTTGATTTTCAGATAATAAATTATTTCGTTGAGAAAATGGTCGAATTTTTGGTATTGTCTGTTGTTGAAACCAAGAATCCCAATTTTCAGTTAATTGATCTTCTTCTTGTTGTTCCGTTTGAATTTGTTGTTGTCGAAAACGAGGATTCCAATGAAGACTTGGTTCACGAGGTTGATGAGTTAATTTCCATGAATGAAGATTAATTAAATAATGTGTAATATGTGGTGGAGTTGTTTGATTTTCAATAGAATAATATTGACGATTATTGGAAGAAATGGAAAAACTAGGTACTAAATAACGGGTTAGGCGTTGGGATGAAGAATAAATATTAGTTCGAGCGACCGTGGTAAACATAGACCATTAGATTGTTGAATAAATTCTAAGAGAAAAAGAAATTCATAATGAATTTACACACTCCTTTTCTTTGATATCGGATATATTTGATATTATTTTTCATAAATTTCGCTCGACATTAATATTAAAAGTTGATTGGTCTACAGTTCCAACAAATCATATATTTTTTCATCCTCCTTACTATTAATGGCTGTTAGTTTGGTAGCGAAACAACTAACTGGTTGTTGTCAACGTTATATTTCATATTTAACCGTATAATTATCAATTTTTTCTATGTAAACGTATCTGACGAAAGAACATGAAATATTTCTCTTACGAATTGTAAAGCGTCCAATGTTTTTTTTTCTAATAGAGATAGTTACGAAAGTTATTTTTTATTCTTCTGACTAATATTAATAATATGAACTTAGTTAACCATTAATGATTTGTATATATTTTTCTGAAAGATGTTTTATTCTAATAGCTGTTTTATGATTGCAACTAATCCTTACTTCCTTTATCTGTTATGTATTTTTATTTTTATTTTTACAAAATAAACATCTACTATCAACGATATTATATCACTGTTGAATATTAGTAATCCTGAAGAGTAGAATGTTGTTTATTCCATATTTTGATTTTATAAATGCATATAAACAATATGAAGTGGATTAACTATTTTTAAGAAATTGAAAGTATGCAGAATAATTGATATATATATTGAAAATATTTTCTTTCGCATTATACAAATTTATTCAAAATTTCGAATAGCCTCCAGAGTATTTTATATAGAAGAAATAATATTATTTATAAATTGAATCGACATTGGTACGAATTTTAGACATATTAATCTATTTACGTTGAGTTTAATCTCTTTTGATGTTTTTGTATTATTTAATGATTAAAAACTATCGAGAAGAAGCTGTAGAACCTCTTTGTGAAAATTGTAAATAATGAAATATCAGATTTTATTATTTTCTCTTATAGGCAATAACTCGATAGTTAACATTGTTTATGTTTCTATTCTAGACAAAAGCCACGATACTAAATTTGTATAAATATTCAACAGTGAAATAAATGGTATACAACACTTTAATTGATGAACATTGCTCAACAATTCGACGAACTGGAAGTGATATTGACGCCGAACAATTAAAAACTTCACTAGATGTATTTGTTTCGATTTTAAAAGAAACTAATGATTATAAACTAAAATGTACTTTTATTGGAAAAATGACTTCTCCATTAATTAATCTATCATATAAAAATAAAATATTCGCAGAATCTGATCTTATCACACATGAATTTCTTATTATTCTACGTGATGAAATAATTATCGATCAATTTCATCGAAGAAATGATGATGATCACATTACACAAAAACTTTTACAACAAATTACACTTTTTTTTACGAATCTAAGTCACAATATCAATGATTCGAATATTTTGGGTTTTAAACATTTACTTTTCCATAAAATATTAATTGATGAACTTGCAAATTGTCTTAATGAGATTGGTACATATGGTAAATATTTAGATGATTTTGTACTTTTACGTTCAATTAAATATCTTTTATTAACATATAAGAATTATTTAAGACATCCACTTATAGACAATGAATATTCACAAATTAAATCAATATTTTCAGGCGTTATTCAATGTTTATGTTCTTCCTTTATTGTTGATATGATTACTAGTCTAAAATACAATTTTTCTCAAACACTCAATGATAGTCAAGTCTTATTTCTTGATACAATGCCATTTTATTTACAATGGTATTCAGATTATGGTAATCCAGATAATTTTCTTCGTATTTTACGTATGTTCTTGAATAAATTCACTACATGGATGATAAACTGTCCGCCAGATTCTTACAGTCAATGCTCTGGTCAGATCGGACGTATGATTCGTCACCTGAATTATTTTCTCGTCCGTCCGATTGAATCAGAGAACGTATATATTTTTAGCGAAGAATTCTACAATGATTATTGCAGATTAGTTTCTCATTGGTCATTGATTTTGTCATCAATATTGACGTATTCTTCCGATAGTATAAATGTAAAAAGCAATATACGAACTATTATAAAAAATTTATATAATTTTACGTTACATCTCAATGTATTAAATCATATGAAAACTATACCGAATTTAATTCCAATGCTTTTACAAGTGACCGATATTGATGATGATGAAATACAAGTCAATGCCTATCGTTGTCTAGGCAAAATTATGATGGAAGCAGATATAAAAATGATGACAAATCCAAGTAAAATTGCTGCTGTTTATATTGAATTTATTAGTAATACTATCAATGATCCATATCAAAAAGAAAGATTTCATAGTCTTTTAGAGAGTTTGAAAAGTAAGTTATTTTTGTTTTATTATTATGAATATGAATAAAGTTAATATTCTTTCTAGATTTTGTCCAACATGATCAAGTTAAAAGTGAACTCATAGAACACAATGCACTTCCTTTATTAGTTAAATGTACTGTAGAAAATCAATTCGATCCAATTAAAGTACAACAAATAGCTCTTGAAATTCTTCTTGCTCTTTCGTTTAATAATGATGCTTGTTCTTTTTTTCGACAAAATCAAGATTTTATGAATCATATACGAACTCTTGTTGAAAATCATATTGCCGATCAATCAGGTTTACAACGAGCTGCTGAAGGTTTACTTTGGAAATTAGAAGAAGAAGAAAAAGCTGTAGCTAAACCATCGGTTTTAAATTTATATAAATATGATATTATGATAAGTTATTCTCATAAAGATCAACGAATTTGTCATCAAATTCATGAACAATTAGTCAAAGATGGTTATCAAGTATGGTTTGATAAAGATTGTTTACGTGGATCAACAATGGTTGGTATAGCAAATGCAATCGAAAATTCCAAATATGTACTTATTTGTATGTCAAATACGTATAAACAAAGTGTTTATTGTCATTCAGAAGCTCATTATGCATTTGAACGTGGTTGTCGTTTAATTCCAATAATTATAGAACCAAATTATAAACCTGATGGATGGCTTGGCATTATTGTTAGTGGAAAGATTTATGTTGAATTTGGTAATGTTGAATTTAAATTGGCTTATGAAAAATTGAAGAATGAAATTAGTGAGCAAGAATATGAAAATTCAAATCAATCACTATTACCATCATCAGGAGAAAAAGATCAAATGAATACAGTTTTTCTACATCCCGAACCTCTTGCAATAGTTTCTGCAGCAAATATGTGAGTTTTATTTATTTATTCTGAGTTCAAACTAAAAATCTTACATTCAATAATTTTTATTGATAAGAAATTAGATACATTAGCTAAAAATTCTATCGCCTTATTTATTTCGATATCAATCGTTTCATAGAGTTTTATTATAGTATACCAGTGTTTTATCTAGCGGGCGGGTTGTATGGGCGCCGCCCACTCGATAATTCGGTCTGCCCACCCTCAAAAATATAGTAACTGTATATTTTGGGTTGGTCTGGATGAACGCCGTCTACTTGAAATTTCAATTCGCCCATTCGGCACACGAAACCTAGATAAAACACTGTATAATACATAATTTTATTGTAGTTTTAAATGATTTATTTTTGTTTTTTAGTAACTTACCTAATTGTATCAGAGAATGGACTCATGATCATGTCAGATCATTTCTTATTCGAAATGGACTTGGTAATACACTTCTTCCTCTATTGACATGTATGGATGGTCATCGTCTTCTTCAACTCTACGAAATATGTCTTCTTAATCGTGAATCAATGTATCAATCATTAAAATTTGAATTGAATGAAAAACATCGTGTATTACTACCAATTGCTGATTATCTTAATTTTCTTCATGAAATTAAATTATATATTCCATTGAATTCTTCGAATGTTAAAACAACTCAATATTCCCTTCTTTCTCTTACCTTCTGTAATGTTTTATAGTAATATCTGAAGTCATTTTGTATGATATTATAGATACGACAAATATACGATAAATATATTTTTGATTTTTCAATTAAATTATTTACTTTTATTTTTTGTAGAAATTCAATTTTTTTAGGAGATAATCATTATAATCAAATTATCAATTACAATTGAATAGAACTAATACATCCAGTATAAAACTAGTCGATTTAGATCACAAATACTAACAGATTAAATGGAGAATATCCTTAACAATATAGAATATAATAGGAAAAAAAATTCTTTCGATATATGTGAGTTCAAGTATCTTGTTAGGTTATAATAAAATATCTTATTCATGATAAAAATAAATATAGAAACGAATTGATTGATGATTATTTTCTTACAAAATTTCATTGTTTTAGTTTGAATGTTTATATTTTAACTCTGAATTGTTGCGACCTCTTTCTTTTTTTCTAAGATATTTCATGAAATTGACATGATGAAATTACCAACCAATTGGTATATTATCAGCTATATAGTTTTTTTTCATTATAAAGACTACATTTTACCTAAAATATATGTCGATAACATACAAAAACAAAGAAATAAATTTGCGTTTTATAAACAGTTATATCTTGTTGATTTATTTTCTTTAAATCTTTATTTATTTGATAATGACTGATTTCGTGGAAGAACCATTTACAGTTATTTCACCACGTCGTCAACATAAACTATCATGTATTTTTCATCGAAAAAAATCTCCTTATATTGATGAAGAAAATCGTGAACATATTATTATTTTATGTCATGGATATATGTCAAATAAGAATGGTGTTTTTCTTCCACAATTATCACGTGAAATATCTTCTTCGTCTACTAAACAATTTCATTCCGTTCGTTTTGATTTTCATGGTTATGGTGAATCAACTGGACGTGATGATTGGGATTATGGAGGATATGAAGATGAAGCCAAAGATGATTTAAGATCTATTGTTGAATATTTACGTAATAAAAATGAAAAATATTTTATTCGAGCTCTTATAGGACATTCACGATCTGGAACAACAGTATTACTTTATGCTTCATATTATGATGATATACCACTTATAGTTAATGTAGCTGGACGTTATCGACTTGAACGTGGTATAACTGAACGATTTTCTAAAGCACAATTAGATGAATTAGAAAAAAATGGTTCATTTACACTGAATACAATCAAAGATGGAAGTTTTCGTATAACAAAACAAGCAATAGAACGTCGAAAAAATGTTGATTTAGATCAAATAAAAAAGATTCGTAATGCTAAAATTTTAAATATATGGGGTGATAAAGATGATGTTATACCTGGTGATGATATTTATTCATTTGATGATCAATTAAAAAATACAAAAAAAACTGAAATGATCATTGTACCGGATGCTGATCATTGTTTTAAAGGCAAAGAAAAAGAATTAATTAATATTATTCAATTATGGATACAACAATCCATTGATTAGTTTCTATTTATTTTTCTATTTTTATTCTAGATAAAAAAAGATTTTTTTTGTAATGGATATGCAAAATATTGTCGGAAGTACAACAACTGCATCTAATGGAGACAATAATAATTTTTCATTACAACATTCAAACGGTAATACAACAACATCACCATATGAAGGCAATTATCAAGTTGATATATCATCAACAAATTTTGAACTTGAATCAATAACATCATCCTATACTGGTCTTGTACGTATTTATCGTTTGTTATATGTAGCTGAACATTGTTTAGCATTACGTAATGAAGCATTTTTAGCAAGTCTAAAATATTTACAAGAAACACATTTTACAAATCTTTATAAACAAGTATATTTAAATTATTATTGTTTTGTTTTTATATATTAAATTTTGTATATAGATACTTGATGAAATTAAAAAACAAAATATTTCATTGCCAAATGATTTCGATACAGCATGGTATGAACGAACACAACGTAATTATATACATAAACTTGAAAAACTTGATACTGATTTAAGAAATTTTCGTACAAATTCAATCAAAGATTCGATACGTCGTGGTCATGATGATCTTGGTGATCATTATTTAGATGCGGGAGATTTTTTTAATGCTGTTCGTTGTTATGTACGTTCAAGAGATTATTGTGTGACACCAAGACATATGATAACAATGTGTATGAATGTTATAAAAGCATCATTTTATATGCAAAATTGGTCAAATGTTTTATCATATGTTAATAAAGCTGAACAAGCTATTGAAAGTCTTGAAACAACAGCTAAATCAACAACTACCACACCAACAATGGTTAATTCAATGGAAGTATCAAATACTTCAACAACAGTTACATCGGATGCAGTATTAATTTCACGTTTAAAAGTATATGCCGGTATTGCTGAATTAGCAACAAAAAGATACAAATTAGCAGCACGACATTTTCTTAGTGTTTCATTTGAACATTGTTCAAATCATTTTCAAGTAAAAATTTAATCTTTGAATATATTTTTCTATATGAATATATTCATTTAGGATCTCATCTCACCACAAACATTAATTCAATATGTTTGTTTATGTAGTTTAGCAACATTTGAACGATCAGAAATTCATCGTTTAATTTTAATGTCAATAAATATGAAACAATATCTTGAATTAGAACCATCAATTCGTGATATATTTCATAAATTTTATGATACATCCTATTCATCTTGTCTTGCTATAATGTCACAAGTTGAATCAATATTTGCATTAGATCAATTTTTAGCACCAAATTTACGTGCATTATATTATGAAATACGTCATAGAATAATTATAACTTATTTTTTACCATATAAAAATGCAAGTATGACAACAATGGCAAATCAATTAAATACAACAATTGATATACTTGAAGATGAACTTGTTCATTTAATTCGTTCAGGAAAAATCAAAGCACGTATTGATTCAAAAAATAAAATTTTATATGTTGCTGATACAGATCAACGTTGGTATGCATATCAACATGCATTAACAATAACAAAACAATCAGAAAAATTAAGTCGAGCACTTTTATTACGTTCAGCTATAATCAAAGCAAATTTAACTGTTCGAGATGAATCAATATCAATTCGTTCACCAAATAATAATAATAATAATAATGCTTCTCGTCGACAAATTGTACCTAATGTTGCTGGTAGTATGATAATGGATACGGATGAATTATCTGATGAAGGAGCAATGTAAAATTATTAGAATAATGTGTCTTTTTTTATATATTTAATGATAAACGAGAAAAACTTTTATTTTTATTTGTACCTGTGACATGTATCTCACCTTGAATGAAATCTATAGACGTATATTTAATTGGCATCAACTGTGGTTTTATATATAATTTTTTTAAAATTTATTTAAGATCCTTTCCTCTTTTTTTTTCTATTGTTTATTATTTCTTGATGATGAACTTCGAAGAGAAAAAATATTTACAAAAATAAAAACGTTATGTTTGTGATGATAAAATAAAAAGAAAGTCTTTTCTTTCAGATGTCGACATCTCAAAAACGAAAAGCTGAGGAAGATAATATTCAATTGTCTTCGAAATCATTTAATAAAAGTAAGTTTTGATTTACTCGAATTAAAATCATTTAATCACGTTCGATATTTTCGTTTTTAAATTGAATCTTTACATTTAATTGTTTATATAGAAAATCGTGCATCGATTAATAATGATCAAACTATGAGTGGAAATTCTAATCCAACTATTACTCAACCACATTATTCACCACTTTCATATTCACATAGACCATCATCATCAGATACACCACAAATATGGAATCCAACCGATAGTCTTAATTCATCATTTTCATCGACATCTTCAAATTCTGATTATGATTCAATATCTCAATCATCATCGTATAGATTAGAAATGAGAAATCAGAAGAATTCTACAACAGTATCAGAAGAATTGTCAGCGATTTCTAATATAAGTTATCAACCAATTATGAAAGAAGATCATGATAGTAAAAGAGAATTATCACCACCATTGAATCATATACAACCACAAAAGAAAAAGATGAAAGCTGATGGAATATCAACGTTAAAAACATCGGATGCTGTAGATAAAATGATGGTGAGAAAATTTCTTCAATATAATATTAGAAATTTTAATTTGTTTAATTTAGCAAAAAATGGGTTATGATAAAAATCGTGGTCTTGGTCTTAATGCACAAGGTCCAACAAAAATCATTGAAGAAAGTAAACAAAAAGGACATCGTGGTTTGGGTTATACCAACAAAGGTTTCAATGATATTGCAGCCGAATGGGATTATGATACTGATCCTGTAACTATTATAGATGTCTATTAAATCATCTTCTCATGTATATTTGATCTCTAGGCTCCAATTGAAGAAGAAGTTCATTGGTGTCCATCTAGTGATCAAACAGAAATTCCATTAAATCTTGATGATATGCGTGAATGGATTAAACTTGGACCAGTAATGAATATAATATATATTATCTTTAAATAAATTCTTTTTTTAGAAAAAGAGAGTCATCGATGATGAAATTGAATTTTGTGATGAATCTATTCTTAAAGAAATGCTCAATGGAAAAGTAAATATTTTATAATATAAAAAAACAATTTTCAATAACTTATGCTTTAATTTAGAGTATATTCGATGAATTAGCACAAAAAGAAATGGAAGAAGCTCGAACACGTAGTAATGTCTATGAAATAATTGGACAATCAATTTTTCTTAATCGGTATAGATATATAAAAACGAACTGAGTTTTCTTATTTATATTATAATAAAATAGAGCTGCAGTTAAAATGGCAAATCTTGATGCTGTTTTTGGACGAATGTTTACTGATCCAAAAACTCCTAATAATCAAGTGGGTTACTTTAATTATAGTTTTTCTTCATAATAATTTTTATAAAATATTTTCTAGAGATCACTTGTTCATCCTGATGAACCATTTTATTTTGCTGATATTTGTGCTGGTCCCGGTGGTTTCAGTGAATATATTTTATGGAAAAAACAATGGCGTGCTAAAGGTATATTTCATACATTTATTTAATCACTGATTGTTAGATTTTTCTTCTTCAAGGATTTGGTTTTACTCTGAGAGGCAAGTCAGATTTTGCTCTTCATAAATTTCTTGCTGGTGCACCTGAAACGTTTGATCTGTATTATGGTGTAAAAGATATTGAAGGTGATGGTGATATATTTAAATCGGAAAATATCGATGCTTTACAAAATTATGTAAATAAATGTACAATGCATCAAGGTGTACATATTGTTATGGCTGATGGAGTAAGATTTTAAGAGGAGAAAAAAAAGAAAATAAGTTTTATCATTTTTTATTTCTCAGGGATTTTCGGTTGAAGGACAAGAAAATATTCAAGAAATTTTAAGTAAACAATTGTATCTATGTCAATTTTTAACTGCTCTATCAATACTTCGACCAGGTAAATTTATAAGATAATAATATATTTATCGATTGTATGTTCTTTTTCTCAGGTGGTCATTTTGTTTGTAAATTATTTGATATATTTACTCCATTCAGTGTTGGACTTGTTTATTTAATGTATCGAACATTTGATAAAATATCTATACATAAACCAGTTACTAGTCGACCGGCAAATTCTGAACGGTAAGAAAAAACAAACAAAAAGACATGAGTTTATATTGATAATTTTGTTTTTTCTCTAGATATATTATCTGTAAAGGTCTTCGTGGTGATGTTCGAGATATAGTTCGTGCATATATGTATGAAATAAATGCATTACAGAATAAATATGGAATTGATAGTGAAAGTAATGATGTTGAATCTATTGTTCCAATGGATATTTTAAAAGGAAATGAAAGTTTTAATGAATATATACGAAAGTCAAATGATGAGTAAGGATATAATTTCTATATATTTGATTATACAAATAAATTGTTTATAGAATGGGTGAACATCAAATAAGAAATTTAAAAAAAATTCGTGCTTTCGTTAGTAATACATCTTTGAAAGATTCTCGACAACATGATATTCGTCTTCAATGTCTTGAATATTGGCAAGTACGTCTTACATTTCTCTATTTTTAGAACAAAAGAAATAGTTAAAAATTTTCTAGTTACCTAATGAACCACGACAAAAACCAAAAAGATTAATGTGTGATGAAGTACAATATAATCTTTTTCAACAAGTAACATTATTTCCTCTGTTTTTTTTTTTTTCAAATATTAAATTCAATTATTTAGCTTGAAAATGGTGTTAATAATATGCTTTTAAATACACCAAATCTGTTTAAAAATTCTGTTCTTGATCAGCATCGAATACAATCATTATTTGATTATCGATGTGTTTTTTCATTAGGTGATCCTGTTTTACTTTTATCATGTGGCGTAAGTTTATACTCTAAATATATATTCTATAGTTTGATTAATTTAATTCATTTATTTTAGCGAGGTTTTGTTTTTTCCCGGGCATTAAAAACGACTAATAAACAATGGTCACCACTTCAAAAAGGACAATTTAAAATTGAATTACCACCGTATACATTAGTACTTGCTGAATTAGTACAGGAACAATTTAGTGATGTAAAAATAGAATAGTTTTTACATTTAAGATTATATTATAAGATGATATTTTAGGGTAGAAATATTCGACAACGTCCAGCTGTTTATATAATTGATGCATATTATATTGGAAGTGAAAATATGCTTATTCAAAATGGACAACCAGTAGTATTCATGGATCGGTATATAATAATAGTTTTAGTTAAGAAGAAGTCATTATTTATTTTATAGTTATCGTTCATTGAAATTATTTGAAAAAACAATTAATAAACCAGCTCGAATTGATCTTGTGCCTATTCGAATTAGTGACCAATTACGTATGGAACAAATGGATGTACAATTTGAAAAGTATGTAAATACCTATGGATATGCTCGATCAATGTATTACCTATAGAAACACTAACAGAATTATAGATTAAACAAAAGGCTATTCGAAAAAAACCGTACCCCCTATGGCAAATTTTTTATTTAATCTTTAATAATTTCGTAAATATTATTTAGATTGTGTCCTCCTGATTCACTGAAACAAATTGATAACGAAAAATTATTCTTTACTAATACAAATATTCCAAATAAACCACGTGTATCAGTTTGTGGTTTATGGATATTTAAATTTGTACAACGTTAGTATAAATAGAATGTATTATTTATTTCATTTATATTTTTGAATATAGATCCATGGACACTTATATTAAGTAAATCTACACAATCGAAATATTTTCATAATCAAGTGACTCGCGCATCGTTACAACATGCTCCACCAGATTCGTCTCATGTAGCTCCATTAAAGTAATTTTCGAAAAACAACATTTATTATATTCTTCTATTTGTTTTGTTTTAATATTTTTAGATCAATGCTTGAAAACAGTTTCTATTGGGATTTTAATAGTCGTGATGATTCTGTACAAAAATCAAATTTTATTTCATTTATTCATGGAAAAAATCATGAATTACAATCACAACAACGTATTAGCAATCATACAACTACTAGTGGTAGTCATTAGAATATGAATATTCTATTGTATTAATCCTCTTGTTTTAGTTCTATTAAAAAAGCTATTGTTGTTATTATCTATATCATTTGTTTTTTAATTTATGATATTTTCCGTTTAGTTTTACTGAACGATTAGAGAAAACAAAGGTTCAAACGAAAACACATTGTTTAAGATTATTATTTTTCTTTTTTCGTTTTTCTGTTCTTTGTTGCTCTTGTATGTGTTTATTATGACTATCACAAATAAGGATATTCTTTCTAGAAACGAAACATATATCAGATATGTTGATGCGATTGTATGTATGCGTGTATTCATTTGATCTGAATTTGTTTCTTTCTCTGTTTTCGATTACAAAAAAAAATAAATCATGTGTTATTCACTCTTTTCGGTCGATTACCAGAAGACACAAACACTAAACAATTTTCTTCTTATACATTTATTATTGAAAAAAGCTTCGATTTCAAGTAGATCTTATTCTCTTTCTCGTAGAGAAGAATCTCGCAGAGAGATAAATTGTTTGCTTGCTTGTATGTCCGCACTTCATCCATTGATCGAATAATCATGTTAAAACAAAAGGTAATCGGGGTCGAAGAATTCAAATCTGATTTCTGTTTTGTTTAATTCTCTTTCTCGTAGAGAAGAGTCCAGTAGACATAAATTGTTTGCTTGCTTGCTTGTGTGTCCGCAGGGTCAAAAAAACATTGAAAATCAATTTTCTGGAAAAGACATTTCTAGAGGTTTGTCGATGCGTAGACTTCGCATCTGAGGTCTGTTGGGTGACCATGGTAGGGGGTGGGTGAGAGGTCAAAAAAATATCGATAATCAATTTTTTACGGTTTTCATTTGTTGTTCCAGTAAATGTGAGGAAAATGGATTTCTACGAGAAAGAGCTGAGCGAGTCTTTAGACTATCTTAAAATTGATATATATATTCTGTAGCGGTAAAATTTATTCGTTCAAGACAGAAAATTGCTACAATACATATATGTATTTGAATGTTTTATTTATTTACAATAACGATCAGCTTTCATTTGTTCACGTCTATCAAGTAATGCTTCATGTAATGTACCAGTTTTCTTTGCTTCAACTAATTCGTTAACATCTCCTTGATTAATTCGTAATTTTTTATCTTGAAATTTTTGAAATTTTTTAACATAATTTAATTCTGTTTCCCGAATTGAACCTTGTTCTTCAGCTGGTAATTCTTTTTGACGTTGATCTTTCTCAAGTATACGTTTCGAATTTGAACGTATTTGTATAAAATTTGCTTCGGTTGCACCATCATCCATTGCAACAAGATCACCTTCATCATTAAAACGAATAAATTTATCATTACATGCTGATAAAGCTAAGTTTCCATTTTCAAATACAGGTTCAAAATGTTCACGCATTCCAATAGCATCTATATAAAACAAAATTAAAATCTTAATCTTTCTATTATAATATTTGCATACCTGAACGACCAATAACTAAACCATTTTTATTAATTGCTAAATATTTTCCAAAACCAGATTTGAATGCAACTTTATTATCTGATATACGAATAGCTGTTAAAATTTGTTCTTGTTCAGGACCTTCACCAAATGGTCGTGTTGGACCAACACAAAACAAACCATTATCTAATGAATGAGCATAACTATTTGTACCGAATTCAATAGCAACATTTCCAGTGATTTCATGAAATTTCGATACTTTCCACCAACTACCATGTCTAAGATGAAAAATAATCGATTGTCAAGATATAAACAAAAAGAAAATACTTACTGAACATAATCTTGTTCGCCATCATCTTCTTCATTATCATTTAGTGGTTTTTGTTTTTTTGAGGATGATGATGATGAATGTTTTTTTCTTTTCTTTGAACGATCATCGACACCTTTTAAACTAAGTTTTCCTCCACGAACTGCATACATCTGAAAACAAAAAATATAAGGTGTTGATTTTTTTCCCTTTACGCACAAGGCAATTGAAAAGAAAAAAAGAGAAACGTTAAAATTTTTTAACAATAAAATGATATAAATATCAAAAACTGTTTTCACTCTTCAATTTTTGCTGGAATAACACGACAAATAGGATTTTGTCGACACATTTCCAAATCAACTTTTGGTCCAATTAAATCTCGAATATTATCAATACCATAAAGAATCATTGTTGGTCTTTAAATAGAAAAAAAATAACATGAACAAGGACATAGATATTAATCAAAATGTTTACCGTTCAAGTGAAAGACCCCAAGCAATAACTGAAATATCTTCTGAAAAACCCATTGGAAGTAACATTTCAGGTCTAAACATTCCTGAATTTCCAACTTCAATCCATCTTTGTAAACCTAAAAATTTCATTCCAGATTAATTTCATTTTAAACAAAACTTTTTTTTCCCATACCTTCATGATAACTGAAAATTTCCATTGATGGTTCAGTATATGGATTATAAGCTGGTTTGAAACGAAGTTTTGTCATACCAAGTTTACGAAAGAATTCATAGAGAATACCAATTAAATCACCTAATGTTAAATTATAATCAGCAACTAAACCTTCGATTTGATGAAATTCAGCTAAATGTGTTGCATCAAGATTTTCATTTCGAAAAACTTTATCTATTGAAAAATATTTCACTGGTTTGAATATTTTCTAAAAAACGAAATTTTTGTCATATTTTTTTTGTATTATGAATTTTTTAAATATACTTCTTGTGCTAATTTGTAAAGCATTCGTGTACTAACAGCCGTTGTGTGTGTTCGAAAGACATTCTTTTGTGCTTCTTCACGTGCCCATTCATATTGATAACCAATTGAACCAAATGCACCAGTTGAATGAACTTTTTTGATTTTTTCAAGATAATCTTCAGGAAATGTTGTTGTTACAGCTGGATCAGATAAGAAAAATGTATCTTGTACATCACGAGCTGGATGTTTCTGTGGAGTAAAAAGTGCATCGAAATTCCAGAAACTATTTTCAACATAATTATTTGTTGGCATTTCTGTGAAACTAAATGAAATAATATATAGATATATATATTCGATTTTCACTTGTTATATCAATTATTTATACCCCATTTCAAGAAAGATTTGTCGATATTCAGTTCGAACTTTTAATAATGGATGTAAACAACCATGCGATGGCATCATTCCTTTAGCATTGAAATTATATTGTTTAAAATTTAATGTTTTCCATGAACCACTAAAAGATAATCAAATTTTAAATTGAAATATGATTTTGTTATTGCTTTTGAAAATTTATGTATATTACGTTTGTAACATTTCAGCAGTTAATTCAGCTTCACCTTTTGCTATGTTTGTAGAAAACTCCGATGATTTTGTTACAATAAAATAATTAACAATCCTAACAAAAATAATAAAATATAATAATCAAAATAAAAGATTTGTCTTACACATCTTCAACTAATTTTCTTTTTTTCAATTCAACTACTTCTTTGACACTGGCATCTTGTAATTCTAATGATTGAATACGTTTGAGTAAATTTTGTACTTCATCATGAACATTCTCGACCTAGGGAAACAAAAAAAAATACATATAAATATATGTATAAACGAGTTAAGATGTGTCAGATAACCGCATCAAGATATAAATCCTGATGAATCACAGAAAATCAATTATATAAAGTCTCATCATCCACATCAAATCTCGTTTACCTTTCGTTTAACGATAGCTGGTTTAGATGATTTATCAACTTGTAACCAACCACTAGACATTGCTTTAGCAAAACCAATAGTAGCATTTGGAAATTTCTAAAATGAAAATCAAACGATTAGATTTTAGACGAATGATCGAATGTAGATTCGAACTTAACAATTATTATCATTAGACTATTAAACTATTTTTTCTCAAATTTTAATAAGTAGAACAAACGAAAAATTTTACCATAAGTTCTGGTTGTTCAATGCCTTTGTCTGCAGGAATAGCTTGAAATAAATTATATTCATAACTACCATTCTGAAGTAATAATTTTCCTTCATCACTAGGTGCTATTGATCGATTTGTATGTTGTTCAATTTTAATGATCTATATAAAAATCAAAATAATATAAATTTCATAAATAAAAATTTTCGAATTTTACTTACATCACCAATCGATTGAATACTACGAATAGTACCAATGACAAGTTGATGATCGATCTTATGTTCATTTGCGTATGTCCATGTATTTAATTCATCATGTGTACTCAAATAAGAAAGAATATCAGTTTGTAAAGAAGAGGATGTTGGCTTCTACAAATGTTTTAAAAAAAAACAAACAAATACATATTTAATTGTTTATTTTCTTTATAAATAAATTTAATAATTTACCTGCGTGGTTGATGAACATGCAGATGCAGTATTTTCTTTTTGATTATTCATATTTCGACTTCTAAAAACTGATAAATGTAAGATGACGATTTCTTATAAGTGATTTCTTCATTCTCTATTTCATCATCCTCTCTAACCGGTTCTTATCATCCAGCAATCATAGATTTTCTTCTATATCTAGCGACTTGTAATGAGTGACATCTAATATTTAAAGAAAATAATAAATATATATATTTCTTCTAACAAGTGTTACTAATCGAACTCATGGTCGATAATTTTTGTATGTCTTATCTTTTTCTAAGGAAAGAAAACGTGGAAAAAAAATGATGATAATAATAAATAACATGATGAAATATATTTGATTGTGCAATAACAAAATAAATTAATGTTAAAAAAATAAAATCAGGTCGTCGACGGCAATTTAAGAACGAAAAAGAAAAAAAAAAAGAAAACCCTTTTTCCGCTGAAGAAAGCATTGTATTTCTTTCCCTTTTACAGTTAGTCAGCACATTTACACCGTTCACATACTAAAACATAACATAACCGTTAAATATTCTATTTTACACAAAATACGAATGACAGAATCAAATAATGATACGCTACAAACGTGGAAACGTGATGAACAATGTAAGATTAAATAATATTTTATTTATTTTCTTATAAATAATTAATTATTAAAGGGGTATCACGTGTTATACAATATTCATCTCAATATAATGATAATACTTGGTCTGCAAATCAAATTATTGGACCACCAAAAGTCTATCCTCGATATGGTAAATATTTTATATATTTATTTTTGCTATATATATATATATATATCAATTTTGAATAAATAGGAGATTTAAATGGTGCATGGGCACAGGGTCATCGAGCAGCTGATGAATATATTATAGTTGAATTTGAACGAGCAGTTTTTCCAGATCAAATTGATATATATGAAACGTATAATCCAGGTGCTGTTGTTAAAGTATCTGCAAGAAATGGTAAATCTTTTGAACTCAAATAATATATATATATATTTTTAAATAAAAACATTAGGTAATGATAATGACTGGATAACTGTTTGGGAAACTCCGTCTCCACATACTGAAGCTCATTGTATGTAATATGAAGCAAAAAAAACCTTTAATATTAATTTCTTTTTAGCTCGTATATTCACTGTTCCATGTTCAAATATATCATCTCGAGAAATCAATCAAATTCGTCTTGATGTTAATTGTACTGCAGCTGGAAGTTGGTGTGAAATTGACTGTATTAAATTAGTTGGATATGCATCTCATCGAGGTTCATCATATAAAGAACTAGCTACTAATTTAAAACAATTACTTCTGAATGATTATCTAGCTGATGTCTTTTTTCAACTTGATGATGAACAAATAATACCATCATATCGGAATATTTTAAGTAGTCGATGTATTTATTTTGAACAACTATTCGATGAATATCCATTAGATAATAATCAACCAATTAGAATCAAAAATATTTCCTATGAAGCATTTTATCAAATACTTCATTTTATTTATACGGAAACAATTGAACCAGTATTACCTTATACTATATGTCTTGAATTAATGCGTAACGCTGAAGAATATTATTTAAGTCCAATATATAATGAAGCATTTATGATTTTAAAAAAATTAATAAATAAAACCAATGTTGTTAATATATTTGTTGATTCACAATCTTCATCAAATGATAATCAACAAGATAAAATTATTCTTAATGATGCTATTAGTTTATGTGTAGAATTTATTCAAAAAAATCGTCGAGATGTTTATCAAAGTGAACAGATTCAATCATTAACAAAAGACATGCTATTACAACTTATACAACTTGTTCTGTGATATATAAAACTGTTGTTTTTATTTTTATTTTCTATTTTTGAAATATTTGCCATAAACATACATATATATAGAAGTTTATTTTTATAATAATAAAGTTATTTCTTTATCAATTGTAGTCAATAATAATACGCGGTAAAGTCTATTAAATATATTTTTTTTTTGTAAATTCGATCTTATGTCGCGAGTCTCAAATGATAAATTAATTACTAGTGTAGAAGGTGGTTTGCGAGTGGATACAAAACTAAAAAGAATTATTTCGAATCGTACTATAATCACTGCTATATCATTTTTATCTAAAACATATGATATTTTACCATGTTTTTGTGAAAATAATTCAATACAAATGATAAAATATCGTCAAGAATTAACGCTATCAAAATCATCAAATGCATTTTGGCGTCGAAATAATAAATTCGCTGATAAGAAAAAACAAAGAAATAATTCGACTTCATTTGATACTGAACAAATAAGTTCACCGCATTCAGATAATATTCAAAAATCATTTCGAAGATCTTTCATTCAACGATTTAAACAAAAAGTACCAACAATTACAGCTCGATCTGTAATACATAAACATGAAAATATTATAGATGATCATCTTCCTTTTGATCTTTCCAATACATTTCAAACTAGCTTTAATCGACCTTCATCAACTGAACATAATAGTGAACATTCCTCATATGATTTTAATCATCTTACTTCGGATCAGAATGATACATTGAAACCAACAATATCATCATTTAAATCCGAACAACAGAATATCAATGCAACAAATAATACAAGTCGAATGATTATCAATAATATCGAATCATCGAAAAAAATTAAATGTAACAATTTTGATTCATATATAATGTATAAAAACTTCAGGTTATCATATTGTTTTTTTTAATTGTAGCTACTTCTAAAAGAAAAAAATCAAATAGACAAAAGAATAATTCAAAACGGAAAACATCTTTATCAAAGAAAAAAACTATCTCAACATCTCGATTAAAAAAAATAACTTATACACATAGTCCTTTTCTTAATCCAGATCATTTCCATTCTATACCACAATTACAAAATTCGTACGTATATACCTATCTATGTATCAATTTCTAAAATTCATATTATAGAGATGAAATAACTCAAAATAATGTTCATGAAAATCATCTATGCTGTAAACCGATCACTTCTGTAAAAGGTTTATCAACAAGCGATCAAAAAAAATTAATTGAACATGATTATTTAACATTAATCTCTTTATTGCCAATTTATCTCGGTTCACAAGGCAATTTTTCATATAAAATTCATGAAAAAACTAATATTAGTTCTGATGGTGCTTTAGTACTTGATCATTTAATGAATGAATGGAGTTCAGCACGATTATTTATTAGTGCTACTAGTCATAACAAAATATTAACACAGTCAATCTGAGAAAAATAAATTTTAGTTTATTTTAATACATCACTTTTTGATACAAAAGGAACATACACACACACACATAGAAAGCATCGGAAAAAGAACAAAACTGTTCTTTATTTAGTTTTTAGTGAAGTAATACATGATACAAAATAAATAAATAGATCATTGTTATCTTGTTGTTTTCAATTCTAAATCAGTCGTAGTTTTTTGAAAAAATATATTTCTAAATATGGAATAAGTTTTTGTTATTTGATGACTAGTACATGTATCAATAAGATGAAATGATTTCGAAACAGTTCCATCGATATGTTTACGTATTGAATTAATAAATTGTTTTAGAGTTTCTGGTAAACTAGTCAGTTGAATAATAATATAATCGATTAATGTTAATATCCAAACAATAGATTTTTGTTGTGTTGATGATTGAGAAGACGAGATTGAGAAAAGATCACTTGTACTAGTGGATGTAGTTGGACGTCGTACACCATAAACTTGTAACATTAAAAGATAAAGATATTTAGTTATTATAAATGGTAATAGAAAAAGTTGACCAAATAAACATACAGCATGCCAAATAGTAAATAATAAAAATGTTATTGGATTATCGGAATGAAGAAAATCACTTAAATTAAGTTGTTTACGTTCACGAATTGATGCATAATCAACGAGAATAGGTTTTGGTGATGATAGTATTGGTGGTGATTCTTCACGTCGTGGTAAAACATTAAAAGAAACACCACGTCGACGTAATGGTCTTCCTTCTCGATTTGGTTTAGGTGTAGACATGTTTGACCTCTCCTCCATTTCGTTTATTTTAATACAACTAACGTAGTCGAGGTGTATATAAATATATATGTATATCAGTATCTATTTGTCTCATGTCAGTTAAGAAGAACGAAAAAGAGAGCAAGATAGCTTACAAACAACTGATTGGCTAGTAACTACAACATGTCAAATTGATGCAAGCTTATATAAAACGAAGGGGTCGCAATAATTCAGAAATAAATTCTTAATGAATGACGAAGTTTTATCGTTTTTGACTCGAAAATTATTCATTGTATTTTATCGATTGAAAATATTTAGTATTGTATGTATTGAGATTTATTACAGCTGTGTATCTTTTGAATACTAGTCTAAAAAACTATTATCGACATTTGTCTTTTCAATTCAATGTATAGATAAGAGTGAGAAAAATATCATGGTATCAGTTGTGAAGATAATAATGTATTTCGTCTTTGTTCTATTAAATTTGATTCTTTTCAGAAGGGTGTGGGTGTGGATGTGCCTGTGGATGTGAATGCGCATCTCTTATCCACCCACACCCACATCCAGTTAAAATTTTTTACTGATAATTCACAATAAAACTACTGGTCGCTTTTACTGATCATTTTGAATAAAAAACGGACCATTTGATTTGTACCCTTTTGGTATTAAAAGTGTTCTGAAAGAGAATTTAGTAATAACTATCATACTGAAATAAGACAGATTGACAAAATCGAATGATTTGCAAGTCGATCAGTTTTTCATATGAATTATCCTAATTCAATTCTTCTATTGACAAAATAAGGTTTGAAAAGAATAGATTAAAGCAACAATTTCAATCAAGAATATTTATATAATTATTATACATCAAAATTTGAATTAAAACTGTCATCAAATTCAAGAAAATTTTAATATTTATAAGAAGAAAAACTGAAACATTATTGTTAATAATTTAAAGAATGTAAAATTGGAACAAAAACAAAAACGACAGTACAATGGAAGATGCATAATAGTGATAAAGATGTGAAATAAAGAACAAAAATGAAACACAATAACAGATGAATCACTGCCGATTTTTAAAAAAATGAAGTTTATATAATTATTTTTTTTTTCATAAAGGAAAGTACATTTTAACTTGCATAGACAAAGAGAAAACAAAAAATTTTTCACTGCATTGTCTCTGGAATAAAAATTAAGACGAAAGACCACTTGGTGAAATTATTTTGTAGTATATATATATTTTCATTAATATTGACCATTGTCTCCTAGGAGAAAAATACAAATTTAGTGTTAAAAAAAAATTAATATTATAATTTACCTCTCAATACAAGTGTAACAGGTCCTGGATGCATATGTCCAGCTTGTAAATAGATCGATGGAGATATAGGTGGTGTTGGATAATAAAAAACTTGCATTGGATAATAAGTTGCATTCGGATGAAGTCCATTCATAGCAGCTGTTGTCATTTGACCGTTCACTGTTGAAGCAGATGAAGTTGATGATTGTGCAGATGAAAGAGAACCATTAGATATATTTGTTTGTTGAGATGAAGTAGCAAGTGAAATAGGCATTGATGGTGGAAGCATTTGTTGTTGAAGCGTAGATATTGGTACAAGAGATTGAGCTAAAATGAAATATTAATAATTAATAATTTTTGATTCGAAAACAATGGTAGTCACTTTACCTCGATGAGGAGAATACATTGGTTGACGTTGAATATTCTGTGGTATTAAATTTGATGGAACAAGACCAAGTAGAATATGATTCATATCTTCACCTGAGCATTGAAGTATTTCAATATACTTTTTTTTACCATTAAAAAACATATATTTATTATTTTTATGTGTTGCTGCATTATATGAAGCTGCTTCAGAATCCATTTGTATGAATGCTTCACCAGATGGTTGACCCTATATATATATAATAGAATATTAATTTCAATCAAATTCTTTTTCTTTCTAATAACATACATGTGCATTATAGACCATATGAACACCTTGCGCTACCTAAGAGAAAAAGAATAATAAAATATTTTCCTGTATAAAAATAAAAATGTTTCTTACAATATGTTGTGAATGAACTCCAAGAAATTCAAGTATTTGTTCAATACCACATTCAACAGGTAAATTACGAACACGAATACAATCTTTTTTATTTCCACCTGTTAACATTTCTGGTGGTAAAATTGGTAATGGTGCAAATGGAATATCTTTTAATGATGTTTGAAAATTTTTTGGATCTTGACTTCGACGAAATACCTAACACAAATCACGTTATTATTTTTGTAATCTATTGACATTAAAAATAAAATGAAATTAACCTGTTGTACTTCAGCTGTTGTACTACGAAAAAGTTCAATATATCGTGTACCCATAATATCTTTATGTTTAAGTAATGCTTGTGCTGCTTCATTTTCTGTTTTAACCATAACAAAAGCATCACCTGTACTTCTTCCATCAGGATAATGAACGAATAAAACACCTTCTTCACTATCAACAACATAGGTTGGTATATCTCCACGTGTAAAAAATTCAATCTAAATATGTCAATACAAAAAACATAAGAAAATCAAACAATTCTTTTAACAAAAAATATAAAATAGTTTTAATTTTTAATGCACCCAATTTTTAAAGAGCAAAGATAGAAAAGATTTTTGTTTTCTTCTTTTGTTCCTATCAATTATTTTATCATATTTAGAAAACTGGTTTTAT